TGTTTCAGGAAATGCCCAGCTTCAGAAAAAGGGCTCCTTCAGGGCTGGGTCTCCTGGACTCTGCCGTTAAGGTGCACTGATGTCTTTCAACTCAAAATGGGAAAGCACCCAGCTCAGCGGGGAGGGTAGGAGACCTCCAAGCAGAGCCGGGTTCCTTCCCAACTGGAGCAAATGAGCCACAGCGCCGGTCAACCTGCCATTGCCACCACTCTGTGGTTGGAAGTACGTGTGTGAGCTTTGAAATGAAAGCAAGCTGCCCTGGAGCTTATACAGTGGTACCTCAGGTTAAGAACTTAATTCGTTCCAGAGGTCTGTTCTTAACCTGAAACTGTTCTTAACCTGAAGCACCACTTTAGCTAATGGGGCCTCCTGCTGCCACCGTGCCGCAGGAGCACGATTTCTGTTCTCATCCTGAAGCAAAGTTCTTAACCTGAAGCACTATTTCTGGGTTAGTGGAGTCTGTAACCTGAAGGGTATGTAACCTGAGGTACCACTGTATCTTGGGCCCAAAGGCAGGGAGAGTGTTAAACCTGTTCCGTTTAGCCATTGAGCAGCGCGCTTTGCCAGAGGATGCTCACCTCAGATGACACATACCTGGTAACGCCTGTCCTCTTGTGGTCGGCTTCCTCCCCATCTTGAGCCATCAGGGAAGTACCTGTAAGTCTGCTTGCTTCCCTTCAGTCTTGTCAAACCACCAAGCGGGTGAGCCTGTGTGTTCTCCAACCATTGAATGACCAGGAGGTGGGTCTGTGTGTACAGCTCTGAGTCCCTGCCAGTTCTTTTGTTTTGTTTTTAAATAGCAATATTGGGCTCTCCTGCCCTGTCCCTTTGTCTGCTTTGCCACCCGGTACACCTGCATGCAGAGTATATGCCCTGTTCCTAAAAGAGGTGGGGAGATGAACGGTGTTGAGCATTCCTTGCATAGGTATAGAGCCATCCTGCTTTTGAGGGCAGCAAATTATACAATGTGGACTGATCACCCGTGTGGACCTTTGCTGGGAGGGTGCTGTGTGATGAGTGGAGAGCCTGTAGCCCTCTGGGTGCTGTTGGAGTATTATACCTCTCCCAGCATCCCTTTTGCCTCACGGGCAAAAGATTCCTGTATTGCACAGGTTTGGACCGAATGACCTTTCTGGTCCCTTCCAACTCCACAATTCTGTGATTCTACCACCATCAATAAACGTCTGCAGAGTGTCGTCTCTCAGCAAGAATTCTACCACTGCCTAAGCAGACCTTGAATCGCTTAACAAATAGGGACAGCTTCTTAGGTAGAGCATGAGGAGAAGAAGAGTTTGGATTTGATATCCCGCTTTATCACTACCCGAAGGAGTCTCAAAACGGCTAACATTCTCCTTTCCCTTCCTCCCCCACAACAAACACTCTGTGAGGTGAGTGAGGCTGAGAGACTTCAAAGAAGTGTGACTAGCCCAAGGTCACCCAGCAGCTGCATGTGGAGGAGCAGAGACACGAACCCGGTTCACCAGATTACGAGTCTACCGCTCTTAACCACTACACCACACTGGCTACAATGAGATGATGATGATGATGATTTATATCCCACCCATCTGGCTGGGTTTCTCCAGCCACTCTGGGCAGCTTCCAACTCAATATTAAAATACAGTAGTGCATCAAACATTAAAAGCTTCCCTAAACAGGGCTGCCTTCAGATGTCTTCTAAAAGTCTGGTAGTAGTTGTTGTCTTTGACATCTGGTGGGAGGGCGTTCCACAGGGCGGGTGCCACCACCAAGAAGGCCCTCTGCCTGGTTCCCTGTAACTTGGCTTCTCGCAGTGAGGGAACCGCCAGAAGACCCTCAGAGCTGGACCTCAGTGTCCGGGCAGAACGATGGGGGTAGAGACGCTCCTTCAGGTATACTTGGCAGAGGCCGTTTAGGGCTTTAAAGGTCAGCACCAACACTTTGAATTGTGCTCGGAAACGTATTGGGAGCCAATGTAGGTCTTTCAAGACCGGTGTTATGTGGTCTTGGCGGCTGCTCCCAGACACTTAATCTCGGGGGTTGGGGGTTCAAGCCCCATGTGGGGTGAAAAATTCCTGCATTGCAGGGTTGGACTAGAGGACCCCCATGGTCCCGGCTGATTCTACGAAAGGTGCTGCTCTCTAGAGCAATTCCTTCATTGATGTGGCAGCTATCTGCTAGCGTACCTCTGCACCCAGGAAACCCACCTCAAACAAAATGGCCTTTTCTAAAAAAAAACAACTCCCCAAGTCTTCACACACTTACCTTAGGAGAGGGGACTAAAAATTTGGCATTAGCTTATGAGGCTGTCGTAGGCAGAACAGCTCACCTCACTGTGCAGGCAAGGAGCCCAAGGTCTGCCCCAAAGTCCTAGGCCTCAAGCCTGTTCAAGTATAATAATGTGCACAACACATAGTGGGTCTTTTACAGTTCATCATACAAACTTGGATTTTCCACTTTATAAGACTTTCCCTCGCACCCACACCTATGATGTATGGAAGGAACATCCATATGATTCAGCATCAACTTAATAGTGATAGTATTCTGGGACAAATCGAGCTTTGCTGCAGTCGTACAGCGCCATTACTTCTGTGGGATGGTGGGACCACAAACTTCCGGGTGCCTGCAGATAAGTGCTTGAGGTAACTTGCTACATACTTGGAAAAACCACTTCCTTAAAAGATGTCTCCATCACAAGACTAACACATGACTTGAGGGATAATGCAAGTGATATCTCTTAACCTTTAACTGGGTTCTAGCAAAAAGGTTACTGTTGATAAGAACCCTTGAAGCTCCATGGAGATGGTGGAAGAACTGCCTAGGGAAACTCTTGGAACTACAAACCAAATGCATCATAACAGCAGCAGTGCTGCTATAATGAAGCCCAAAATCCATGATTTTATGTGTGCACAAATGTTGATTAAATCGGTGAATAAAGATGCACTTGATGAGGCTCATCTCCCTGGGCTGGATCCAACTTAAGTAATTCGGCTTGCATGCACCAGTACGAGGGGTCCTGCTGGCGCAATGGAGCTCCCACCACCACCCACGTCCCCAAATCGACTTTTTTGGGGGGGTCAAGAGAACCAGAACAATGTGCAAGGAGGAGGCGAGACCAGACACACCAAGGTGTTTGCATTGACAGAACATTTTGTTTTAGAGCACAGTTCCCCAAACTTGGGTCTCTAGCTGTTTTGAGGACTACAGTTCCCATCATCCCTGACCACTGGTCCTGCTAGCTAGAGATGATGGGAGCTGTGGTCCAAAAACAACTGGAGACCCAAGCTTGGGAAGCCCTGTTTTACAGCGATGTTGCGTCCTTCCCATAATCTGTATTTGGAAAGGGCTGTAGCTCAGTCGTAGAGCATCTGTCTTGTCTGCAGAAGATCCCAGATTTGGTACTTGGCATCCCAAGGTAAAGCAGGGAGAGATTGCTACCTAAAACCCTGGAGAGTCACTTGTCAGCATAAACATCCATGAACTAGATGAACCAGAGGAAGTCTGATTCAGCGTTTTTTCAGGGGTTCTTCAGGGCCATTTGCAGGCGAAATAATGGGATGGGAACCTATGACCTTCCAGGTGTTGGTCTCCAGGTCCCATCAGCCTCAGCTAGCACAGTTAATGTTCAGAGAAGATGGGAGTGAAACATCTGGGATGCTACTGGCCTTCCCTCTCGCATTTCCATTTGCTCGGGGCCTAAGAACATAAGAAGAGTCCTGCTGGCTCAGGCTGAACCTACTACTTCATCATTCTGTTCTCACAATGGCCAGCCACAGGCCTATAAGCCTCCCCCAAGCAACATCTGAACACAACAGCACTCTTCCCCACTTTTGCAACACGGCAACTGGGAATTCAGAGACTTCTGTTTCCAACAGGTAGATGATCACTCAGGGATGGTAGCCACTGACTGAGCAGTAGCAGTAGCTACTACTATGCCATAAGATCCACTGTCCTGTAATATCACACATGAGCTTTAACTACTGATGAAGCCCAGGACGGCGAAACAAGGCCAATATTCCGGAAATCCTTGTCTTAGACTTTGTGAAAGGATTCTGCGGAACTGTAACAACCTTTCATGTGGATGGCTTGGACTTTATGAACAGACAGGTGGAATGGACACCATTACATGGATGTACCTTATGCATGAACTGACTAGAGAATGATCTGATCCACTGGGTCTTCTGCTTTGTTCGTTTGTTGAACTTTATGAGTTACTTCTGTTGAAATTTACAATTTGATACTATGAATAGTGTATCTTATTTATCTAAGAACACAGCCGGTTACGTCTCATGTGTTTACTGACTGAGCAGTAGCAGTGATTTTTTTCCCTAGGGGGTAGGTACTCAAAAAGGGACACGGGTGGCGCTGTGGGTTAAACCACAGAGCCTAGGACTTGCCGATCAGAAGGTTGGCGGTTCGAATCCCCGCAACGGGGTGAGCTCCTGTTGCTCGGTCCCTGCCCCTGCCAACCTAGCAGTTTGAAAGCACATCAAAGTGCAAGTAGATAAATAGGTACCGCTCCGGCGGGAAGGTAAACGGCATTTCTGTGCGCTGCTCTGCTTTGCCAGAAGCGGCTTAGTCATGCTGGCCACATGACCCAGAAGCTGTACCCCGGCTCCCTCAGCCAATAAAGCGAGATGAGTGCCGCAACCCCAGAGTCGGCCACGACTGGACCTAATGGTCAGGGGTCCCTTTACCTTTACTTTAGGTACTCAAAGCTACGCAGTACTGACACCTCTTTTTTCCTATAAGAAAATCCCTGAGCAGTAGGGTCACTGACTGTCTTCCAGTTACATGAGCCTCCATCCTTAGGGACTCTCCGCTCTATATTCGGACTTCCTTGTTCATGACATAAAACTCTTTTCCTGTGTCATAGCCACACACTTCCTCCTTAGCTGACAGAATCTGCGCAGGATAAAGTGATGGGATAGAGCTCAGCAAAGGCAAATCTCAGTGGGGCTGCAGTTGGGTCTGCAGGAGCAGGCTGCTTCCAAGTGTAGATTTCCACTTTCACAACAAAAAAGATGAACAGGTAAGTGCGCTAAAGGACAAGGAGTGGCTGAGGCAACCCAGCAAGACGGGCGGGCTATAAATAATAGCATGATTATCGATTCAGGTAGGTAGCCATTTTGGTTTGACGCAGTCGAAATAAATAAAAATTGTTCAGTAGCATCCTAGGGACCAACTAAGTTTGCTCTGGGTGTAAGCTTTCATATGCATGCACACTTCTTCAGATACACTGAAACAGAATCATAGAATCATAGAATCATAGAATGAGTCGCCAAACCATGGGTAGGCAAACTAAGGCCTGGGGGCCGGATGCGGCCCAATCACTTTCTCAATCTGGTCCACAAACGGTGCAGGAATCAGCGTGTTTTTACATGAGTAGGATGTGTCCTTTTATTTAAAATGCATCTCTGGGTTATTTGTGGGGCCTGCTCGGTGTTTTTACATGAGTAGGATGTGTCCTTTTATTTAAAATGCATCTCTGGGTTATTTGTGGGGCATAGGAATTCATTCATGGTTTTTTTTCAAAATATAGTCCGGCCCCCCTCGAGGTCTGAGGGACAGTGGACTGACCCCCTGCTGAAAAAGTTTGTTGACCCCTACACCAGACCCTAGTGGGAGGGTAGGGTGGGGTTTTTCTCAGAAGGGTACTGAGAGATGGGTGATACGCTAAAGCTATTTTTGGTCATCTGCATACCATCCCTTGCTTTTCCTGTTGGACTAATTGCAGTCCTTAACAGTCGTCAACAGGTTTACCATACCCATTGAGTCAATCACCCATTCCCACCACCCTTCTGAGAAAAAACCCACCCTACCCTCTCACTAAATATAAGGGTCTGGTGACTTCTGTTTCAGTGTATCTGAAGAAGTATGCATGCACACGAAAGCTTATACGCAGAACAAACTTAGTTGGTCTCTAAGGTGCTACTGGACAATTTATTCTTATTCTTTTCTTATTCTTATTCTTATTCTTTATTATTCAAAGTTGGAGGATGGTTGTGAGATGTGGTTGTGAGATCTGTCCCTGTCTTGCCATCTTCCTCTTTGTTGCATATTTCTCTGTCTTTCCTTTCCCTGGCGCAGGGGTGGTTAGCCTGGGGCTGACTGTCTTGGACCTTGGTCTCCCAATAAAATATTTGAGGGGGCTGCCCCCCCGAAAAGTTGGGCATTGCCATTCAAAGTATGTGTGCGCGCCATGTCATGTGATCGATTTTCCGCAGCGGAGCTTACCTGTGTTGGACTTTCCAACTCCTGGCCAATGGGATGAGAGGAGTTGGAGCCAAACAACTTCTAAAGGACCACGAGCTCTTCATCCTGGCCCTTGTGGATATCAAAGAAGTCTTCAGCAGCAGCTGCTTCACTCTTAATATTGACTGTAGAGACAGACCCTGCCTCCATCAACTGGTGAGGGTGTCAGGATAGGACCTGGGAGACCAGGGTTGAAATCCCCACTTGACTATGGAGCTCACTGGGTGCACTTGGGCCAATCACTGCCTCTCAACATAACCTAACTCACAGCTGTTGTGGGAAGGAAATGAGGACAGAGGAGAACCATACATGGCACTTTTTGCTCCTTGGAGAAACAGCTGGGATATAAACACAATGACATAAATACATTTTGGGATCATTAGGTCCAGTCGTGGCCAAATCCGGGATTGCGGCGCTCATCTCGCTTTATTGGCCAAGGGAGCCGGCATACAGCTTCCGGCTCATGTGGCCAGCATGACTAAGCCGCTTCTGGTGAACCAGAGCAGCGCACGGAAACACTATTTACCTTCCCGCCAGAGCGGTACCTATTTATCTACTTGTAGTTTTGGGTTTTCGAACTGCTAGGTTGGCAGGAGCAGGGACCAAGCAACGGGAGCTCACCCCGTCGCGGGGATTCGAACCACCAACCTTCTGATTGGCAAGTCCTAGGCTCTGTGGTTTAACGCACAGCGCCACCCACGTCCCACATTTTGGGGCCTAGTGAATTGCAAATTTCTTCACGTGTCATATGACGTTTGCAGCAGCTACCAACGAGTCAGAGGAAGATACGGAGAGCTGCAATCTGGTCATGTGTTAGGAGTGTCCAGCAAGTTGACTTCAACAGGCTATATATAGATTTTAGAAAATCCACTGAGTCTACATCGGCTGACTTTAAAAACAGCCTTTTCCTGGGGCAGCAGCGCTAATAGGTGCCAGTACTCACCATGAAATTGTTACAGTAAGTGCCACTCTTTTTAACAACCACAAAAAGAGGTGCCGGTAATGTGCTCTTGAGTACCCCACTCGGGGGGCAGGGAGCACTGAGTGGCAGTATCCCACAAGTAAAAATGTGGGCTTAGATTCTTTACCTTTGTTCTGCCAGTGAAAAGCAGGACAGGAGAGCTCTTTGCCTCACAGCTTGTTTATAGGGTTCCCAGAGACATCTGGTTGGCCGCAGTGGGAAGCAAACACAGATCCTCTGTGTCCCTGTTTTCCAGGGGCAGTCCCAGATTGACAGAAGCCACCCCGGTTTCTGATTTCATCCCAGAATGATCCCCAAAAAGATTTCCTTAAAGGTAAAGGGTAAAAGGACCCCTGACCATTAGGTCCAGTTGTGGCTGACTCTGGGGTTGCGGCGCTCATTTCGCTTTATCGGCTGAGGGAGCCGGCATACAGCTTCCGGGTCATGTGGCCACCATGACCAAGCCACTTCTGGTGAACCAGAGCAGCACACGGAAACGCTGTTTACCTTCCCACTGGAACGGTACCTATTTATCTACTTGCACTTTGACATGCTTTCCAACTGCTAGGTTGGCAGGAGCAAGGACCCAGCAATGGAAGCTCACCCCGTCGTGGGGATTCGAACTGCTGACCTTCTGATCGGCAAGTCCTAGGCTCTGTGGTTTAACCCACAGCGCCACCCACGTCCCTATTATTATTATTATTATTATTAGGACGTCCCTATTATCATCGGAGAAATGTTGGAGGGTATGGAGTTATCCGACCCCCAAGCCAAGGAGATAATAAACTTTACAACCTTTAGAAGACATCAGAAGGCAGCCCTGTGTAGGGAAGTTTTTTTAAATGTTTATTGTTTTCTTATGTTCTTATATACGGTATGTTGGAAGCTGCCCAGAGTGGTTGGGGCAACTCTTATCAGATGGGTGGGGTATAATCATAATTAATTAATTATAGTTGAACAGAACATCCCTATTTTCATTGGAGAAATGTTCAAGGGTATGCAAACAAGGTGTGGCCCAATTCTTTTACATTTGTTGTATATTACTAACTGCTTTGAGTGGAGGGGTTAAGCAGGATAAAAATACTATTATTTCTATCACATTTACCCCCTTATAATTTTTAGTTTAATTTTCCATAATTAAATGTTACTCCCAATGTGAGGAATTGTGCAAATGTATCTAAAACTATACTTTGCACAGAATAAAGAACAATCAAACTTTTAATGAAATAAAATATTAGATCATAACACTGATTGTTGTTTCCTCTTCTCCAGGATGGGAATCATTACCAGAATACTGTATTTCTGTATTTCTATTCTTTTCTGTGATGGAGAAGGTGGATTTCAGCTTCCAGACAAGGTCTATGTCTCCAAACCCTCCGATAATTACTCTGCATTTCACTCTGAATTACAAACTCCAACAAGAAGCCATAACTTCTCACACAGCTTTTTGAAAAAAATTGCAGGAAGGAAAGCAGAAGGCCCCAGTATTCAAGGTTTAGTTCCTCAAAGCAATCAGAGTTTCAAAGTTTTACTTAACAGCCCACCACAAGAAGTGCCACTCCCTAAGTTCTCACAAATGAATGAAATGGTGACTTCTCCACAAACTGACCCATCCTTATGGGGCACCGTGGGATCTCCTTTTCCAGCAGAGAAGCACAAAGGACCTAGTAGTCTTCTAAATGTCCATTCGATACTAAAAAGGACTGTTCTGGGTTATGAAAGACAAGATGAATCTGGAACAGTATTTCCACCTCCTGCGCTGAGGATGTCTGCAGGTTGTGGCAATCCAGTGGGTGGGATGTTTGATCTATCTGACAGAAACCTGTCTGAGGAAGATCTGAGGAGGGAAATGGATCCTAGGCATTGCAACACAACGTTGGGAAAGGTTGTAGAACTGGATGCCAGTCACAACAATCTGCAAATGGATTTAGGGACCCTGCTTTCACTGCTCCTGAAAATGAAGAATGTTCAGTCCATCGACGTGAGTTACAACAGCATAACTGTATCAGGTGTGCTTGTACCCAATAGGTGTGACTTAAAGCACAGCGAGCTGTTGTTCTTAAATCTCAGCCACAACCCTCTTACCACTTTGAAAAGCATCTGCCTCCCTTCGAGTCTCAAAGGCCTTGATTTGTCCTTCACACGCATTAACCAAATACCACGTGAGTTTGCCAGAACTTACTTTCATATAGAAGAGATGGATGTTCAAGGAAACCATTTTATATACAATCCTGAAACGCTGATGTCTCTCTTCAAGTCTATACCAAAAACCAGGATGGAAAGCTTGTCGATTGTCAATTTTCCACAACGCAGCCCCATCGAAAGCCTCCCCGTGGAAGGAAGGCGTCTCGTAATGTCAAACTGCTCCATCGTAGAACTTCCAGAATGGTTTGCAAACACCATGAGAAAGCTTCTCTTTCTAGACCTGAGCAACAACCCCTTGCGCGGTTTTCCTCAGCCGCCAACTTCATTGCAGAACCTAGATTTAAGCAACAGTAACATCCAAGAGATAGCTAATCTTAACATCTTCCCTAATTTGACAGTGCTTAAGATTCCAAGCAATAAAATAAAGGATCTTCCACCTGCGTATCTTCCAGACTCCTTAAAAGAACTGGATATCAGTAAGAATCAAATACCTGTGTTCCATTTATGCAGGGCTCCACAAGAGCTGGAATTCCTTAATGTTTCTAGAAACCTCATAACGCATCTGAATCTAAACCATTCTCACCACCTCACCAGCCTTGATGCAAGCCACAATTTAATTACAGAACTGCAGGACCGCACTGGAATATTTCTGCCGGAACTCAAATATCTGAATCTGTCAGGAAACAAGATCTCTTTTTTGCAACCGGGGTCTCTCCCCGAATCTTTGCTCGAGTTGGACATAAGCAACAATGCCATCACCATTATTATGGAAGAGACCTTTGGCCGGTTGACGAACCTGAACGTCTTAACCCTTCAAGGGAAACATTTCTTCTGCAGCTGTGACTTGTATTGGTTTGCGAACACGTACCTTGGGAGCCGGCAGCTGCAGATAAATGGCCAAGAGGAGCTTTTGTGCAGCTTTCCTCTCAAGAAACGGGGCCTTTCGGTGGAAAACAGCAACCTAACGATGCTGCGTTGTTCTCTGGGACTTCAAATGGCAATTACGGCTTGTGTGGCCATCTTGACAATGTCCCTCTTAACAGGCCTTTGCTGGCGTTTTGACGGCGTCTGGTACATTAAGATGGGATGGTACTGGTGCATGGTGAAAAGGAAACAATATAAGAAGAGGCCAGAAGACAAAGTGTATGACGCATTTATCTCATACAGCGAAAACGATGCGCTGTGGGCTAAAGAGACCCTGCTGGAAAAACTGGAAGCCCTCGAGTTTAGAGTATGTTACCACGAGAGAGACTTCACGCCAGGGCACCCGGTTGTTAGGAACATTTTCCACTGCATTGAGAACAGCCACAAAGTTCTCTTTGTGCTGTCGCCCAGCTTTGTCAACAGTTGCTGGTGCCAGTATGAACTGTTCTTTGCCGAACATCGGGTCCTTAACGAAAACGAGGACTCTCTCATTATGGTTGTGCTGGAAGACCTGCCGCCCAACAGCATCCCGCAGAAATTCAGCAAGCTCCGGAAGCTGCTGAAAAGGAAGACCTACTTGAAGTGGAGCCAGGAGGAACACAAACAAAAGCTCTTCTGGAGCCAGCTGACCGCTGTTCTGAAAACGACAAACGAGCCGATGGCTTTGACAGAGGAAAATGGGCTGTGCTAGGAAGCAGAGGAGGCATGTGGGAAATTCAGGGTGCATGGATGAGGAACACAAACATTTCTGGACTGGTGAACACTGCGATGTTGGCTTGGGGCTGTTGCTAAGAAAAAGACTTGATCAAATGCTGTCAAATGGCAGCCAAGTGTTTAAACATTTGGTTGTGTTACCAGAATTTATGGAAAGGTTTTTTCCTGGGGGGAGGGGTTGCCCATCCTGCGGACATCATATACACACACACCGTCTACCAAAACCAACACTCCTGCAAATGGGGAAACATTTAGAAAGCCATATAAAATTGCTCCCATATAGGATTTGCGTCGTTCCAACTTTGTTCTGCTTGGGAAGGAAATGGCTACCAAGTGGGGAGCCTGGGACATGGGCAGGGGCAGCCATAATCCCTGAACCCCGAGACCAGGTACTCAGCAGTGTCCTTGCCAGGGTGATAATCGCTGGCATCCTGGCCCTTGAGTGCCAGACAGGTAGCCATTCCAGAAACAATAGGAAACCCAACCTCAGTTTATTAGGAGCTTGGTCAAGACGAAAGGGTGTGCTTAACTGGACCTGGATAACAGTAACATGTACATACTCTACTTAATGGGTGTGAAGTGGAAGTCAAGGGAGGTGTAATGTACGGAGCTTGGATCCTAGAACAATAGGCAGGTAGGATCCTAGAAGGCAGCAACCTGATTGGTCTGCAGGAGCCATCAAATCCAGGTCCAGGAGGAAGTGAATCAGCAACCTGCAGGAGCCGCCCAATATGGCTCCAGGAGGAAGTGAATCAGCAGCCTGATTGGTCTGCAGGAACAGTCCAATCTGGCTCCAGTAGGAAGTGAATCAGCAACCTGATTGGCCTGCAGGAACAGTCCAATCAGGCTCCAGGAGGGGAGTTGAATCAGCCAATCACATGGGACCCATTGTGTAAATAATGCATATATAGCCAGAGGTTTTGGGGGGAAAGCACTCACTCAGTGTTTACCATGAGCTGAAATAAAAAGCATGAAATCAGCACTCAACTCTGAGTATGTTTCAGGAGGGATGGGGGCAAACCTGAAGATCAGGTTTCTGCCAGAAGACCCCTCCCAGATTATGACATAGTTGTGATGTATATATGATGTGATGTATATATATAGTGAAGATATATATCTTCACTAAGGGTGCTGTGAATAAAAAGGGAAACTTATATAAAAAAGGAGCGATCCTTTGTTCTAGGCTTCTTCCTGCTTCTTCCGTATGGTGGCTGGAAGTCTTGTTTATAAAGATCAGGCCTACAAGCTGCTGTTTTGCTCCTATAGTCTTCGCTGGTGTCTTTGTTTGGCAATTCAAGTGAGCCTGGAAGATTTTCCTATGACAGTTATTAGTAGGGCTGGGCAGTATCTGGTTTTCAACATCACAATATATCACCAGCTAAACATCGCGATACACTGATATATCACAATGTCTGAAATAGGGATGGAGCTATATAGAGGCATTAGCTGGCTTCATGGGTTTTCCTCACATTGTGATTTTTGCATAGCACAGGCACACACACAGTTTCGCAATATATTGCCAGGTCAAAAATTACGAAACCAGTATCACGATATGGACCAGTTTTGGATGATATGTCAATAGATCACCCGGTCCTAGTTATTAGAACAGGGACAGTGGGCAGAGAGGCTTTCGTGAGATAAAAAAACAAAAACATGCTGCTTTTTAGAGGACTCATCTGCACTATGCCAAATTAATCAGAAGCATTATCCCAAATCAATGGTAACCTTGGCTACTGGGTACTTGTGCGTCCCTGCGGACCAATGTACATGCATGTTCTGGTTATTTATTTCGGTGTACAGCTAAGATCTTTTGTAATGTAGGCTTGCAAATGCAGACTACAAACGGGTGGGGGACAAACTTGGTTGGCAAATGTATGTATTGGCACAGTTCATCCCCCATCGAAGGCAAGTGGCCTAGTTCTCAGAAACAACAGATGGAGGAGGTAAAATGGGTGTCTGGACAGTACTGGACAGAAAAGGGACTCACGATAGAACATTCCACCATACCCTGGTGTATCCCTGAATATCAGGGAGGCAAATAGGCTAGAAGTTTTCTCTGTGTGTGGATGATTTGTTGGGAGTTCAGTCCTGTGAGCCCTCACCTGAAGAGGTCGGAAAAGGTACAACCCAGAAAATAGCTTGGTTGTTGTTGTTTTTACCACCTCACTGAAAGAAAGAGGCTGAGCTGAGAACCAGCAATTCCCCCAGTTCAATCTTTGTAAGCCGCTTAGAGGTCTTTGGTTTGGGTTTTGAACCAAGCGGTGTAGAAATCTTGGGAAATAAATACCGTATTTTTCGGTCTATAAGACGCACCAGACCACAAGACGCACCTAGTTTTTGGAGGAGGAAAACAAGAAGAAAAAAATTCTGAATCTCAGAAGCCAGAACAGCAAGAGGGATTGCTGCGCAGCAAAAGCAGCGATCCCTCTTGCTGTTCTGGCTTCTGTGATAGCTGCACAGCCTGCATTCACTCTATAAGACGCACACACATTTCCCCTTACTTTTTAGGAGGGAAAAAGTGAGTTATAGAGCAAAAAATACGGTAAATACCGCCTTTGTCCATTAACTCAGCCGGTGTTCACATAACTGGCTTAAAACACAGCAGGGTAATTCCACACACACCCACAACTGCATTTCAAATCACATTTGCACATGGTTATTATGATAAACCACAGAGCCTAGGACTTGCCAATCAGAAGGTCGGTGGTTCGAATCCCCATGATGGGGTGAGCTCCCGTTGCTCGGTCTCTGCTCCTGCCAACCTAGCAGTTTGAAAGCACATCAAAATGCAAGTAGATAAATAGGTACCGCTCCGGCGGGAAGGTAAACAGCATTTCTGTGCACTGCTCTGGTTCGCCAGAAGCGGCTTAGTCATGCTGGTCACATGACCCGGAAGCTGTCTGTGGACAAACGCCAGCTCCCTCGGCCTATAGAGCGAGATGAGCGCCACAACCCCAGAGTCGTCCGTGACTGGACTTAACTGTCAGGGGTACCTTTACCTTTACCTTTATTATGATATACATCAGTATGGCTTGTGGGTGGGTTTCCAAGTCAGCCGCTGCCTGTCCACACCAGAGGGTGGAAAGAAGGGGCATGGATGTCTTCCATGTGGCTTATGCTTTCAAATTGCATCGCAGCTGGTTGCAGGTGGTGGGAAACATATCAAAACACTGCAATTCTCAAGAAACCACAGGATAGATGTGTATTGTGGCCAATACTGACTTCTGAAACCAGCACAGGGAGCAAAGCAAAGTAAATAGGAGTGTGTACCCAGTCACGGTCGGTGGCTCACTTCGGAAACCCAGCCAGATTGGTGGGGTATAAATATATCATTATTATTATTATTATTATTATTATACCATCATTTTAAAAAGACAAACCACAAACAATATCGGGGGTTGGTCGAAACATCACAGAACACGGAGACTCCTTTATTGTAGGAGAACACATTAAGTATGAATTGGCACAGAATAGAAGGAAAAGTTTGATCCGTATCCTTAGATATCCCTTTATAATCATGACAGCATGTGAGATTATTTTTATATATAAAAAAATACACACACCCTAAAATACCAAAGAAACACAAGGGCTAACAGCAAGGTTCTTCCTCTAACGTTTTGGGAATGAGAAAATGACTAACGTGAAATGTTTTAGCAAAATATTACTTCCCTAACAGATTCTGCACAACCATCATTCACATACTGTACTCAGTTTTGCTTGTGTTAGGTCATACGGTGCCTATGATTATCTAGCAAAAAAAAATTTAAAATTAATTCAGTCCTTTATATTTTTTCTAGAATGGTCATTTTATAAGCACCAATGTTTGCCTAATACAATTGGTCCGCAATTATGAGACAGTTATTGCAAAAGACACATATAATCATGTAACAAGAAGAGATTTGGCTCTTGCAAAGAGCATTTACAATATGCAAGAATGGGAAGTGTGGAAATTGGGCCCCTGAAATCTCAACTTTTAATGGGGGGAGGGGAGAGGGCAGGCAGGGAGTTTGGTTATTTTCTAGCCTTCGTGATTTGCAAGAGTTTAAAATTGCATGTGTGTGCCCAACCCCTCACCATATCTAGAGTTATAACAAGCAAGCAGAATTCTTCATATGCTACAGTTGCGTTGCTAAGAGGTGGGATTGAACACTCTGCCAAAGTAACACAACCCCCAGAGACTGTTCTGACTGGAGGGTGAGAACAGGCCTATATTAGAAGGGGTGAGGGTGCAGAGAGATAGTTTAAAAAGGGCTTATAAATAGCCGTGTGCTTTGTCGCCAGTGACAAAAAATCATAAGTGTGGTTGCCTTTCATGTCATTCACGAATCAAAACGAGCTAAGGTTTCGGACAAATCAGCAAACACAAAAACGCTGTGGACTAGTAACTTGGAATTATTTACAAGACTGACGCAGATCTTGCCTGAGAAGAAGGCATCTCATGTCCTCAACATACATAAAAGTTGACATTTCTTGTTTGCAGTAAACCCATGGATTTAAAAACACTTTCTGTAAAGTTTCCCCAGTGCATGTAGCTTTCGAAATTCTTTCGAAACGCAGCGAAGCAAAACCGTAAAATAAACTCTGGTCCTGACAGAGTATATATATACAACTGGGGATAGGATAGGATTTGGCGCATGGGCTGTATCCTTTCACAGAAGCTATGGCCCTGGCACTCTGAGGAGCCCACCTTCTGACAACTTTTAATTAAATAATAGTAATAATTACGATGGTAGTGCTGAGCAGCTTCCAGCCACCATCTTGGGCAGGCATAGGCAAACTCAGCCCTCCAGATGTTTTGGGACTACAATTCCCATCCTCCCTGACCACTGGTCCTGTTAGCTAAGGATCATGGGAGTTGTAGGCCAAAAAACATCTGGAGGGCAGAGTTTGCTTATGCCTGATCTTGGGTGTCCCATTCCGCCGCCCCCTCCCACAATACCCCAGAAGTTAGGTTAACACAGAGACTATGGGATGGGGGGAAGGAAGTGATATGGTTGCTGCCACAGTTGGGAAGCCCACTGCACTGTGGGGGGGGGGGGGAATTAAATTAAAAGGAGGTCCAGAACAGGCATCAGCAGTAGAGGGTCCACTGATGGAGAGGATGCTGAAAGCCCTCTCAGTCTTGGTCCCCATCCTGGTTTGGGGATAGGGGTTTGCCACTCCACATGCTTTGCCAACCAGCACAATTAAACACTCTTCAATAAATAAATAGAAAAGCAAGGTTCCGCATCAAACCAGTAAAATATATATATATATATATATATATATATATATATATATATATATACACACACACACACACACACACACAATTCAGAGTAGAAACTTTTAGAAAGCTCTGTCAATGCTTAAAACCGTGCACTTTCATGGGGATACCACACACACACAAAAACGGAAAAACAATACCCGGTCCAGTCTTAAAGAAGAGTTGCCACAGGTGATTTCGTGGTTGGCAGCTGTTTTGACAGAAAAAGCAGTATTGTGTTTGAGGGTGGTGGAGTGAATACTTTGGGCAGGGTGGGGGTATAAGACCCACTGAGCCTTGGGGACTAGTAACCAGAAATCTTGAAAGATGGGGGGAAAGAGAACTAGAGAGATAGTAGGAAAACATGTGGCCAACCTGCGAAACCAAATATCAGAAGCAGGCCAGGACAGGAGATGGTAGTGCTGAGCAGCTTCCAGCTTCTCAGAAGCCTGGCTGAGGCCTAGCTACTCCTGCCCCTTCGTGCGCCAGCTGCTCAGCAGACTGAAGGCAAAAAGGCCTTAGAGCCACCCTGGCACGCTCCAGTTGTTGCTTGACTACAACTCCCATCATCCTGCCCAGTGTGGATGGGAGTTGTAGTCCACGGCTATCCCTGCTGCGATGCGTACGAGAGGGGCACGATATCATGCTTCGGATGACCCGTGGGGGCATATTTGCCGCACGGACACACACACACACAAAGAAAAAGGTCGCCGCCATTGTGGTCGAAAGTTAAAGAGTCTCAGCTCCTGGTAGCTACACCGAGGGAACCGGTATCTGCTTAGCAGAAGTACTGTCGAAATCCCTCACTACGTCCGTCATCGCGTGATAGTGCATGGCAATGTAGGAGTTGGCGAATCCAAAGGGAGAGTTTGTGGGCTGCAGGCTGTTGGGAGTGCTCACCTCCTGGGAAGGGCAGCTGTTATAGATGCTGTAATAAGGTTCGATGCGAGTGTTCATAGGGGTAGAGCTACTCTGGGCCCCATAATGCTGGCGGCCGGCGGAAGCCTTTGGGCTCAGCATGCTCTCCTTGGAGTGACTTGGGCCGCAGGCCTGGTCCACAAACTTCTTCTGAGGCTTCGGAGACAGCATGTAAGCGGAGTTGGTCTCGTGGTGGGACGACTTGTTGCGGTTGGCCTCCAGGCTCCCTTTGCCCACGGCGCGGAGCCGCGTCTTCTGCTTGCAGCAGAAGAAGACGAGGGCGAAGTACTGGAGGCACCAAAGGACTCTCCTCCTCAGCCCTGCGCTGTTCCGGGAATATATGAAAGGGTTCAGCCCGGACTTGAAGAAGATGAGGGTGAACCCACACAGTTCGAACTGGTAGAGGATGAAGCCGCTGTTCCGGGACAGAACGTCCTGCACCAGGGAGATGCCGAGAGGCAGACAGCAGACTAACACCGAGAGGACAATGACGACACACGTCACCACGGCCTTCGAGTCCTTGGCTGTCGACAAGTTCACGGTCGACACCAGCTGGAACTTGCTGGCCGCAGTTGCGGGCAGCTGGCTGAGGTTCTTTGTGTACGCGTGGGTTTGGATGTGCTGCAGCTTGTTGTAGTTTTGGTTTCTGTAGAGAGCGGGCACGGCGCACTGCACGCCGTCAGCGCACCCAGCAGCAAGGGGTCCGATCAACGGCGGAGGCCTGGATGCATCGACTGTGATGATGGGGGGACATTTGCGCACCTGGGCGTTCTTCCTCAAGGCCTGGGCTATCAGGATGTAGGAGACGGACACCACCGCCACGCAGCAGATGAAGTCGATGACGTACAGGTAAGGGACCACCTTCCCCTCGCCAATGACCAGGCTGGAGATGGGGAGGCAGAGGCGGGATTTCTGGGTCCTCATGGTGGCCAGCGTCGCGAGGGTGAAGCTCATGGACCACAAGGCCAAGGTGAGCAAAAGGGTGCAAGGGAAAGAGGCCGTCCGGTTGGGCTGCTTGCCCAAGACCATGCGGAGCCGGTGAAGGGCGATGACGGCCACTGTCTTGAGGGACATGATGATGAAACCGGAGCTGGTGAGGTGGAAGGTGAAGCAGAAAGCGTCAGGGATGCCCGCCGCCGAGTCCAGGAACAGGGCGAAGGTGAACATGGGGGCGGTCACTCCGCAGATGAAGAGGTCGCAGAAGGACAGGTTGAGGATCATGAAGTCAAAGTTGGTGCGGAACTTCCGGAAGGCCGGGTCGAAGAAGGACAGGAAGACGATGAGGTTGCCGTAGGAGCCCAGGCAGAAGATGACGGCCAACAGGAAGGTGCACGTCACCAAGGTGGCTGTGTGGATGATGTCTTGGAGGTCTCCTTGGAAGGAAAAGGTGTCATTGCTGCCCCGAGGGTGTGGCGGTGGCGGCTGTGCAGAGGAATTGGAGCGGTCTGTCCACTTCGCCTCAGCCCAGCCCGTCAGGTTCATCCTCACAGGAAGCAACGCTCTGCGGTTCCGGCACCTCAGAATCAATCGCCTCCCATTAGAAGCTTGAAGTCCATGGTGGGTGAAGCCTGTTTGTATAAGCAGAAACACACGCCCCGTCCAAACGTAAGTCAACAGATAGCTAATATTGGGCCTTCAAGTCTTCTCCTGTGTACTTTTAACAGCCATGATGTGCTCTGAAGAGGAAACTATGTCTGCCAACTCGATCACTGTAAACCTGCAGAAGATCTCACAGAGTAATTGCACTGGAAACTTGATTTGCTCTCAACCGCTGCTTTAACACAGAGAGATGTTAACTATATTTAAATAGTATCTTTTTTTGCTGTTTTTTAAGCCTGTATTTATCACTATTCTTTAAAACCAGTATTCTATGCTATTATGTGAACTGCTCTGTTACATTTTTGATGTAACATATGTATCTTGCTGGTTAAAGAAAATCAAATACGGACAGTTCACACCCAATATTTTGACTGCTGATTATTTAATTCTGGGGGCAGGGTGGAAGGAACCATTGTTTTGTTTCTGTGCATTAAGGGGAGGGAACAAGATCGTTAAAGTCCCTGTTTCAGTTCCCAGCATCTACAGTGAAGAGTTTGGCTCCGTCTTACATTTAAAGAAGAAAATTCTTTAAACAGATGTGGCTCCCAACGAGGAAACCGTGGGAACTGTAGTTTGTTAAAGGTGCCGAGAGGTGTTAAGAGACCCCTGTTCCCTCACGGGGCTAAGATTCCCAGAATGGTTTAAGAATCAATCCTTCTTCCCGGGGAAGAATTGAGGCTCCGCGAGGGGATTTTTGTTGTTGTTGTTGTTGGACTGTGCCTCTGGGGGTTGGGTCAAACCGCTGGAGAATCACAGCGCCTGCTGCCTCCCATGTTGTTTTTCCTGCATCTGCAGTGCCAAACTGCCCTTTCCAGGAACAAGAGTCTCCTAACAACTCTCAGCAGCAGGGAACAAACTACACTTGCCAGGATTCTGACAGTAAGCGCCGTTCGACAGGGGAACTGACTCTCTCAGGAGGTTGTGGACCCTCCTTCCTTGGAGGTTTTCAAGCAGAGGTTGGGTGGCCATCTGTCATGGATGCTTTAGCTGAGATTCTTGGCATTGCAGGGGGTTGGACTAGATGACCCTTGGGTCCCTTGATTGTTGACTCTATGATTGTTGGAGTGCAAGGACACAGTGCAGTCAGGCAAAAGCATTTGGGTGGGGGTAGTTCTGAGGCCCAGATTAGAAAAAAAAAAAAAAAACCAAGAGGGCCACATTTTGAACAGATGTGTACTCAAGTGCCATATTAAACCCTGTGGAGGCTCCTAGGCAGTTCAAATCTCTGGGGGCCCCATGCAAATTATCTCCTAATAATTGACCGTAATTTTCTTTCAAGATCAAATCAATATTATTTAGATCCGTTGTCGTGGGGCCCCTAAATGGCCTGGGGACCATAGTTTGGTGCCTACCCTGCCGATCTGGTAACCTGGCACCGATGAGACTGCTTTAGTGCAGACATGCCCAAGGCAGCTTCCGACGGGTGACCTCAAAAGAGTTAAGCAGTGTGTCCTGAGATAACATCCCTAAGGAAAGGAATGCAGCGCTGGAAAAATGGAGCTGTACCCCAAACTCTTTAGGCCTGACCCAAATTGGTTGCCTCCAGAGACTAAGCCAGTTCCTGCGGCACAGATTCCTTTTTTGGGGTGGGGGTAGAATTGAATAAGAACTACCTCCAGACTGTAAGAAGAACCGGGCTGGATCAGGCCAAAGGCCCACCAAATCCATCACCCTGTTCTCCATGGGGGCCCCCTCTGCGCAACGACGCTCTTGCCCACTCGCGGTTCTGCCATTCAGCGTGTTATCATTCTCCTAACAAACGGATCCCGAGTCTGCCAAACCCCTTCCAAAGCCCCCCGACGGGGAGAAGCGAATCCCACCCCACCGCCTGCCGCGGCGCGTGGGCTCCTTCCCGCGCTTCTCCCCCCAGGCCCCGGCAACGGGCAGGAGCAGCGGAGGCGTCCGACGCTCCCGGCCGCTCCGTGGCGCCATTACGCGCCGGGCTGCGCCTTGAGGGTCCGGTTGGAGAGGAGAGCCCTGTGCGCTTCGGGCCAGAGCGGAGGCCGAGGCCATCGCCCGCCATCCCTCCTGGCCAGGACGCACGAAGCGCGCCCAGGGCGACCCACCTTCCGCCCTACCCACCAACCCCAGGCAGCGTCTCCTTACCCAGCGCCGGCTCCGGGGAAGCAGCGGGCGCCGCTCGCCTTGTACCTCGGCGCGCAGGGAGCGGGGAGCATCTTCTCCCGGCCAGGCTGCCCAGGGCAGCTCCGGAGGCGGCGGGCGGACGCTGAAGTCATCGCCGACGTGCGGGAGAGGATGGACCTCACTTGTGCATTGGAGGGGGGGGGGGATGGAGAGAGAGAGATGGGAAAGGAGGGAGGGGGTGTCGCCGCCGCCACCGCGAAGCCCGCACACTATGCTGCCCGGTTGGCGGCGCGCGCTTTGCTGGGGCTCTCCAAATGCGCAACGGCGGCTCCTGGCCAGGGGTGGGGGTCCTCCGGTTTGCTCGCCGCGCAGCCCCCGAGGGATCTTGCCCACCCCGCCTCCGCTCTCGCGCACGACCCCAAAAACAAGGGCCGGGAGGGGAAGGGAGGGCAGCGCGCGCGCACACACCTCGGCGGGAGTGCGCGCGACTGCACCGGAGCCGCACGCGCGGCACGCAGCGCAGCGATTGCGCATCTGAGCGAGCGGCTGGGAGGAAGCGACGCGCTCTTTCTCGTTCTCTCACATTTCTTTTCTAAATAGATCCGGGCAAGCAGAAGCGACGCTTTTGTATCCGAGTGAGAAACGCTTCGGGCGGCCCTAGGCGCGCAGGGAGGCGCCTTTTGCTTACCAAGAGCCGCCTTGGCTTTTTGGTACCCGGTTTCGCCAAAGCAGAGATTCAGGCCGCTCACGCATCATCGCTGATTTGTTTTTGGCGTTTGTGGGGGAGATGCAGGAGGAGGAAGGGGAGGGAAGCCTGTGCAGCTCCCCCCGCCCCCGCTGCTGCTGGGAGAAAAAGGTGGGATGTGTAAATGCAAATAAATCCATCAGCAGGTTTGAGCTCTAGGCAGCTGAAGCCAAATTGAAGGCTCCCGAGGGCTCCTCTTGAGCAGGTTGTCCTTTGGGATGCTCCCCTGGCTGCAATGGGCATCCTCAGGTGCCCCAGGAGGCTGGGTTGGAGTCAGGGTGGAAAATCTTTAAGGATGGCTATAACTCCCAAGTCCTGGACAAGAACATGAAAGGGGGAGAGAAGGCCTGGATAGTTACTGAGAGCTGGCCCTGCCACCTGCCCAGGTTCTGGTGGCACCTGGGGTCAGACCTTTGAAGGGAAGCAAATGAGAATCATTTGTGCCCCTGTGCCGAATTGCAGGCACACAGGTGTTCTACGGAGAAAGTACTGTGAAATCCAAGTAACAGGGCGAGGAAGAGTGGGGACTTTGTCCCACATTTCTGCTGCTCATAAACAGGTTCAGAACATGAGTCCAAGACCTGTTCACTTCCGTCCAGGACCACAAGTTAAAGAGGTTGTATTCCAAATACAGTGGTACCTCGGGTTAAGTACTTAATTCGTTCCGGAGGTCCGTGCTTAACCTGAAGCACCATTTTAGCTAATGGGGCCTCCCGCTGCCGCCGGAGCACAATTTCTGTTCTCATCCTGAAGCAAAGTTCTTAACCCGAGGTACTATTTCTGGGTTAGTGGAGTCTGTAACCTGAAGCGTATGTAACCTGAGGTACCACTGTACCTATGACACAAGGGGACAGGGGGTGGGCACTTTCGACTCTCAACTGGCCCGGGGGTCTCCTACGCATATTTCCTGCCACGGCAATGCTTCCGAGAGCCCTGAGAAAGGTCAAAACAGAAGGCAGCGGTTCTGCCAGTGCTCCCCCTTTGACTTCAGTGGCCTTGGTTTTCAGACACAGTAAATTTAGCGACAGGAGACCCTTGACTGGGGGCATCCCTAGGCGTTGGTCAGGTTGGCCTGCCATGTGGGCAGACCCCGGGGGTGCACAAAAATCGCAAAGGAAGACAGAGTGAGCCGGTGATTGCCAAGGGTGCAAGGGACTGGGGTGCCACCGATACAGCCCCTTGCCAAGGATGCAAAGGAGCCTAGGTAAGCCTCTTCCCTTCACCCCTCCCCTCCCATGCCAGCCTGGCTAAGCCAAGAGATTTGCCACCCTGACTCCTCTTGGCTTCAACTGCACTTTTGGCACTTGAACAGCAGCTTCCAGCAACTGGTATGCATAAGCATAGCCGTCATGGTTCATAGCCAGGGTTAGCCTTTACCTCCCATGAATTAGCCCACTTTTCCTCCAAAGCCAATCAAGTTGGTGGCCACCATTGCCTCCTGTGGGAGTGAGTTCCAAAGTTTAACTATGTGCTTTATGTGCTTTTACCTGTCCTTAGGGACATGGGTGATGCTGTGGTCTAAACCACTGAGCCTAGGGATTGCCGCTTAGAAGGTTGGCGGTTTGAATCCCCGCGACGGGTTGAGCTCCCGTTGCTCAGTCCCAGCTCCTGCCAACCTAATAGTTCGAAAGCACATCAAAGTGCAAGTAAATAAATAGGTACCACTCCAGCGGGAAGGTAAACGGCATTTCCGTGAGCTGCTCTGGTTCGCCAGAAGCGGCTTAGTCATGCTGGCCATATGACCTGGAAGGTGTACGCTGGCTCCCTCGGCCAATAAAGCGAGATGAGCGCCGCAACCCCAGAGTCGGCCACGACTGGACCTAACGGTCAGGGGTCCCTTTACCTTTCTTTACCTGTCCTAAATCAGCTTCAATGGATGTGCACAAGTTCTACTGCACAACTATTATAGTTTTATTGTTGTGAGACAGGGAGAAAACCCACTTTTCCCATGCCATGCATATCCCTTCCGCCATGTTGCAGCTGATCAACCACTGAGCTTCATTCACACACTGTCCTGGAAAAGAAAGAAGTTGCAAGGGTTTAGAAACAACTCCAGATTGCATCCCTTTTTAGGCTCAACTCAAATATTAGCTTTTTGCAGAGCAGGAGACGCTGCCCAGTGGAAAAACAAGTTCCCGGAGATATGTGCTGCACAACTGGAAACAGACAGGTGACATGTTCATCGCAACAAATCCTGATTCTGCGCCTTCTGTCTCTTTCCATCCGGTTATGTCTCTCCTGAGTTCCACTTTGTGTGCTCTAGGTTGGTTGTGTTGCTTGCCAAGTGCTATGAGCTGGGCCAGCATGTTGGGTATCACACACATTCTGAATATCACCAAGAGGTTTGCGCCGTACACTGGTGTCCAAGGGATGTATTTGACTACGACTTCTTTCGTTTATTGTTTGCTTACATATAGCATCTCCTCCTAATTTAATCCAAACATGTTCAGGCAGTGCCTTATTTCTAGGACCAGCGGTCTGTTTTGTAGCCTCAATTTTCTGCTGGTAACAAATAGAAAAAGCTCGAGGTAAGCCAAGATCTTGATATTGGGCTGTTTCCAGAACAGAGGCTCCACAGCTCTAAAAGAAAATGTATGTATGAGTATTAAATGAAGCCAACTGTGTTTTCTACTAGGAAACATGTTTCCTACTAGGGACCAATTTGATACACAGTAGGGCTAACAGCTTTTCCCCCTTCATATATATCCTCAGGTGAAAGGGCTTATCTTGAAGAAACTCTCCCCTGAAAAACAAGACACCATGCGCGCACAGATCTTACAAACAATTCATTTATTCAGCTTTAAACTAAGTACACAACTGAAAGGAGAAGGCGGCATTTTGGCACTATGCTATACATTAGTTATTTCTGTGTATCAGTTCTCAGGAGATACTGTACTGGTTACACTGTTGTGCTTTAAAAACATGGTGTTGTTTCCCAGCAGGCAGAGGATTGAAGAGAAAAAAATATGTATTCCTGTTTTTACAAAGGAAAAAGTACAGGATGTGCAGAAGATGAAAATACACACAATTCTCATATGATTCCCCCCCCCCCAACACGGGAGGCATTCTTGTACTCTATAATTTACCACACACCAGAGTATGTCACTTGCTTGCATTCCCAAAGTGAGGGAGCGGGTAGGGGCAGAGTGGCAGAGATTACGTAGTAAAAACCAACAGATTCACTAAAAAGTTAAATGAAAAATCAAGCCCAAAACTAAAGTCACCTCATTAGAGGGAGGGGGTAATATTAAAAACCAGAAGAAATTGGCATCGAATCAGATACAAAAAGCTGAAAGCACTATTATCAACACCTAAAAGTGCGATTGTTTAAAAGTTAATTCTCACAAATGAATTATGTAAAATTTTTGCAAACTGTACAGTGCTTTGCCAGTGCAGTGCCTCTACAATTTATACAGTCCTTTACATCTATGTAACACATATTGAACATGTTGTGAAACAGCCAGCCAATAGCCACCAGAGTTGCAGAAAGAAAAGAAATTTGGGATGGGCGGGCAGGCGGAGGGAGATACAGTACTTCTGGGGGTTTTTTAAATGCAAGTTACATACTTGTTCCAAGATGTGGTGAGGCAAATGGAAAGATGTGTGACTAGCAAACAGGGAATATTTAAAAAGTCTTTAGCCACTCATTATTAACATATGTACATACTCTTTTGTTCTCTGAAATAAAACCAACAGCTGAGAGACACTCTTGTCTGTGGGCTCTACTGAACTGAGGACAAAAACAACAAGACTGCCGCTTACGAAGGCAGGCAAAAGTTAAGGTTCAGTACCTGGCTGGAGAATCTTACTTAAAAACCTGTCAACAGAAAGGACAACTCTCTTGCTCTGATGTGGACAGCAATAGAGGGGGAAATATTTGCTCAGAAGGTAAGACTTCAAAAGAAAACCAGCTCAAAGTTCTGCATAGCCTGGTATTGCATGGGAGCTGGAAAGAGACAGAACAATGTTATGGGGGACATTTTTGGCCTACGCTTACAAGCGAGTGGTCAGCAGTTCACAGATGCACACTCTTGCAGGCAGATCAGATGGAGAGTTTGAGCACCCAAAATTGCAGATAATTAGGTTCGAAAGTCCATGTATGTAATGTGAAGTTGCAGCATTAGCCACCTGCACAGAATAAGATTTCTTTTTAAAGGGCTTCAGGTTAATGCAAGGAATTTACATGAAAGTGTGGAAATAAATCATGATTGCTCCCTTCAGACACAAAGACTTGCCACGCTGCGGCAGTCCCCTCTCCCCAGTGCAGCAGAAATCCTCAAGAGTCCTTCCCACAGAGACTTAAGGTATGTACTTCCTTAAAGGATTCCAGCGCTAAGCCTCAGAGTTACCATATCCAAAAGGGTTCTATACACAATAAATTAGTTTTGAGTTTCCTTTATTTTTGCGGAAATGGCAGTGGGCCCTCCTTTTCCCGGGAACCTGCAAGACGGAAGGAAACAAGAAAGGAGAGCTCGGGTCATGTTTTGCAAGAAAAAGAATGTGTGCACCTGCGCTAAAGCTTGCATTTAGAATATATATAATCACTCCTCCCTGTTCTCCTCTCCGCAACTGCCAAGGACGGAAAGACGAAGCCAGCTATACCCCTTGCAAAAAGCTGCTCTAGCGGAGGGAGACTGTGATGGAAGCAGGGATTCTCCACCCGCCAGGAGCATGGGGAAAAGGGGCAGTCCATTTCCCCAGCACTCTCCAGCCTTCACAGTCAGTGGATATGAATGGCAGCTTCCCTCTTTAGGAGGATCGGGGCTGTCCTATACCTGGAATGTCTTGTTAATGTGAAGCATGCCTTTAATCAAACCCCACTGCTGCTGCTCATCACCCCCAGGCTGCTTTCAATTGCAACCTCCACCCAGCTCTGCCAGAGGTGCTGGTCAGTGTTAGTCAAATGCAGGGGTGACACAGGTCCCAATTTGGCTTGCAAGGCCCTATCCCCGCCCCCCTCCCCCCGCAATCACACCCACATTTGCCACAACTAACATCCTACATGACATCAGGTGTGGGGGGCAGGCACAGGTCTGGCTAAATCAGCTGCATGGCAAGGGGAACTTGATTGCAAAGCAGTGTTGAACTCACTGCCCATCACAGTGTCAGGTGATTTGACAGGTGGGTTGCTCCATGGAGGCGGGGATCAGATAATCATATGACCCACCAGGCCAAACAAATATTCCCTACCCATGTTCCAACTTGCAAAGCAAGCATGAAAATACCCCCTTGCTAGGCTTTAGCTGAGCTGGGAAGCAAATTTAATTTAATGATAATGGAGCTGTAAATACATTAAAGATGCCTTGGTTTTTATGCCACAGCCCTGTTATCTATCTAATTTCATCGTGTCTAAAATCACATCTCTTGCCAGTTTAGAGCTGGGTTTGCACGGTGCCCGGTTGGATTATCCAGAAAAGCTTTCAAGAAGCTATTATTGGCCCACGATCACACAATGAAATCTCACCTCATTATGCATAATAGCACGGCGAAACCAAGAGGTCAGTAAGGACGAGAAGCTGGTCATCAGTGAACTGCTGCTTGTGCTCTTGCCAGTTATCATGGTGGGTCCTCCGGAAATTGGACAAAGTTTTTTTCACTGTCATCTGTGTGGCGAGAAGCAGAGAAATGGATCTAAACAGCGTATTTAAAACAACTATCCTGCGTTGGCAGAGGCAATTTTTTTAAAAAAAAAATCCATGATAAGCCAACTTATTCTCAGTTTTCTTTAAGGACTCAGCTATGAATTAGTACAGTGGTACCTCGGGTTACATACGCTTCAGGTTACATACGCTTCAGGTTACAGACTCCGCTAACCCAGAAATAGTACCTCGGGTTAAGAACTTTGCTTCAGGATGAGAATAGAAATTGTGCTCCGGTGGCGTGGCAGCAGCGGGAGGCCCCATTAGCTAAAGTGGTGCTTCAGGTTAAGAACCGTTTCAGGTGAGAAAGCCTTGCTGCCAGGGGATGCGGTAAGAGGGACCTTACCTCAATAGGCTGAGGATCATTCAGATGTGCACTAAGGTCCATTAAAAGCTGAGGCATCCAGGTGGGAACGTCGTAAGGACTGGATAAAATGCACGCGCTAAGTCCCAGCACACCAGCATGGCGCTTCACCAAATCTGCAACAGAGAAAGTCATTGATGCTTTCTATGTACAAGAAACAAAACATTGTGTTTGTATGTGTGTGTTGGGGGCGGGGGAAAGGGCCCTTTCTTTCTAAAGATTTCCTATAAAATGGGTCTACTATACAATGGGTGATAGCTGATACCTTACTCACAATGTTTCAGGTGGCTGGAGTAAACTTTACAAGGCCTCCCCAGCTGACCTCAAAAGTAATAATAATAATAATAATTTATTATTTGTACCCCGCCCATCTGGCTGGGTTTCCCCAGCCACTCTGGGCGGCTTCCAACAAAGATTAAAAATACATTAAAATGTCACACATTAAAAACTTCCCTGAACAGGGCTGCCTTCAGATGTCTTCTAAATGTCAGGTAGTTGTTTCTCTCTTTGACACCTGATGGGAGGGCGTTCCACAGGTGGGCGCCACTACCGAGAAGGCCCTCTGCCTGGTTCCCTGTAGCTTTGCTTCTTGCAATGAGGGAACCGCCAGAAGGCCCTCGGCGCTGGACCTCAGTGTCCAGGCAGAACAATGGGGGTGGAGATGCTCCTTCAGGTATACTGGCCCGAGGCCATTTCAAATCTCCCTTTCTTTTCTTTGATGGAAAGGAGGGTTTGGGGCTCCTTGGAGTAGTACAGTATCCCTTCTAACTCTCCACAAGTCAAAGCAGAAAGGGAAAAGGGAGATCTGAGCTGCATGAGACTTTTCAGTCCTTTCCCAACAGCTCCTGCGCTTCCAAGTTTGGTGGCAGATGGAAAGAAGAAACAGCAGGCAAAAAACAAAGACCTAAGTAGCATGCTGCTCCCAATTAACATGCCTCACTGCACTGCAGTACAATAGAGTAGCTTGCAAGCAAATAAGCATAAGCTGCCGCAAAGCCCACCTGTGTGCTCACAAGCCCCTGGGCTTTGCACCTCCTAAAACTTCTAGCTTCCTCCTCCTACTTCCTGCTCCCCTTGGCAAAGTATCCTCAGTTGTGAATCTGAGTTTACTCTGGTTTGGTTCTCCCGTCCCTAGTCACTGCGCCTGTGTTGCCTTCCTGTTTCCTGAACCAGCAGACCGACAGCTTCCAATGAAGCACCTTTTCCACTGCTTTGGACTGAAACCATTTCCAGCGGTGGTGAACTAGTCTCAGGCATGTGAGGACACCAAAGCTCAGACAAATACCCTCTTAAGAAGCCATCATGTATGGCTTTACCTGCAGGAGGAATGGTATCCACCACGGTGCTGAGGTCTCTTTTCCTCTTCTTCGGGAGCCTCCTCTTACAGAGCTGCTCAAAGTGAGTCTGCAGGGGGTCATCAATCACCAGGAAGTGGCACTGGAGCAAGCCGCTCAATGTGGTGGCCGCCATCTCTCTCACCTAGGGACGGACGAGGAAACCAGTTACTCCAGTGAACAAGTCTGGTTGACAAGTCGGCATTTGCCCCACTGCGGTATCTTTTTCAAACGACCCCATAGTAATTCATGATTTCAGTGATTGGCTTGCTTGGTATTCCTTTCTGTAGGAGTTCCCGCATTGAATTCAGCTGCAAATGCAAATTTTAATGTATGCGACGGGATGTCAATGAAAGCGGTTTGGTGACAAGTTTGCTCACTCCGCGACCAAGTCTTCTGACCCTGGGGTCTATTAGCACTTCACCTTTCAGCTCAGCAGAGTGTGTTTAAGAATGGGCTCTATACGTTCATTGCTTAACACAAATTTGAGTAAGGTAAAAGGGTAAAGGTAAAGGACTCCTGACAGTTACGTCAGTTGCAAAAGACTCTGGGGTTGCAGTGCTCATCTCGCTTTACTGGCCGAGGGAGCCAACGTTTGTCCGCAGACAGTTTTTCCGGGTCATGTGGCCAACATGACTAAGCCGCTTCTGGTGAAACCAGAGCAGCACACGGAAACGCCATTTACCTTCCTGCCAGAGTGGTACCTATTTATCTACTTGCACTTTGACGTGCTTTCAAACTGCTAGGTTGGCAGGAGCTGGGACCGAGCAAGGGGAAAACACCCCGTCGCGGGGATTCGAACCTCCGACCTTCTGATCGGCAAGCCCAAGGCTCAGTGGTTTAGACCACAGCGCCACCCGCATAGTATAAAAATGAGAGGAAGTTGATCTCAAGTGCCTGTTAACTTCCTTTGCTCATTTATTAAGGGGTCTGCAGGCTGACTTTTAGCTTTGTAAAACTTTAGAATATTATGTTCAAGGGTATAATTTAATGTGCTGGTTTGGATGCAGAGTGTTGGCAGGTGCTTGTACTCTGGAGAGCCAGTCGCAAATGTGCCAGCGGATATCAACTTCTGAATAGTGTTAACTATGTGTTTTAGATTCTTTACCTTTTATCACTTATATGGGGATTTAAGGAGTGGCACACGACATGATCAGAGCAATTGGAAATCCAACAGGAGTCCAGAGAGGAGGAAACTACAGTAGTTTAGGCAACAGAGGTCCAGATCATGCCAGTGATCTTTGAGAGAGCAGTTTCGGAACGGGGGGCAGGGACCAGATTGAAGGAAGGCATGAGCAGAGCTAGAGGAAAAGTCAAGGAGTGGGAGTAAGAAGGGGCGCCGGGGATTTGGAAGTGAAGCATAGAAAGGGGTCAGACCGATAGTTGGATAGGGAAGGTGGGTGGTTTGAGAACTGGGGGAAACAGTAGCATATTTGAAAGTACAGTCGTACCTTGAACATCTTGGTACTTGGGACGTTTTGGGTTCCAAATGCCGCAAACCCAGAAGTGAGTGTTCCAGTTTGCGAATGTTATTTGGAAGCCAAACGTCCCACAGGGCTTCTGATTGGCTGCAGGAGCTTCCTGCAGCCAATCAGAAGCCACGCTTTGGTTTCTAAACGTTTTGGAAGTCGAACAGACTTCCGGAACGGATTCCGTTCGACTTCCAAGGTACGACTGTAGTTAGAAGGGAGCCAGAAGAAAGAGAAAGAGGGAATTTCACAGGAGAAAGACACACCATTAGTTATTGTCTTGACAAGCTCAAGACAGTGCCCATGGAAGTAGGAAAAAGGGACTTGATCCAAAGAATAAAAGCCTCACAGAATGAATTTGAAAAGGTAAGAAAGCAATGGGATGTGGGAGGGGCAGGGCCTGGAACGGGCAGGATTTGGAAATAATAAGGCCCACCGCAAGAACCCAGCTGCCAGGGTGAGGAGAATGGGATATGAGGGACATTCAAAGGGGAGAACAGCTTTTCTTTCTGATACCTTTTATTTAAATCAAAGCTGAGAACCAAAATGCTGGGAAGGAGGAAGGAGATATGGGGGATCCACTATTTCCTTCACCCTAAACAACCATGCCAGGCACAACCTAGCCTCTACTTGATGGCAGAAGCTGCTCTTGTCTTTATGTAACACACAGAGAGAGAGAGCGTGCAAAACAGCACTGGAGTAACAAGTGAGCACCATTTTAGGGCTTGCCAGCTCAGGGCAAGGAAACGCAAGATTACCACCACCGCAAGATTTGAGGTTTCCATGGCAACCAGGTCACAAGAGATTACACACAAGGAGGCGCTTTGCCGATCTGTACCGCTGTTTTGCAAGAACGTACTATTCATCTGGCGATTTGCAAATTTGCTCTACAAATTAGTTCCGCAAGTCTGCATTGCTGCTAAAGAGGGAACAGCAAACAGCGGGGGGGGGGGTGTTTGCTTGTTTTAGACGGCAGGATAAATGTTCCAACTAACAGTGGTAAAAGGATGCTAGTAACACTCATAGGATGCAAGCAGAACTCAGGGCTATGTAACACTGAAGCAGGAACCAAAGACTGCTTCAAATTCAAAACAATGCTGCCTGCAGCAGTTAGGTCACTAGCAAACCTGCTTCAGGAACTACCATTTTGGGAAACAAAATGTTTCAGAAACTATTATAACCAACAGTAAAGTTGCCCTGGTAACCTATCGCTCGGTTCATTTGCCTCCATAAATGGTTATTTCACTCACACATGAACAATGTTGTATTTGCAGCTTCTGTTTCATATAATCAAAATATCGCATGAGAGCACTAGCAATCGTAAAACAAACTTATGCTGACCTCTTAAATATACAGTAGATACCGTATTTTTTTGCTCTATAAGACTCACTTTTTCCCTCCTAAAAAGTAAGGGGAAATGTGTGTGTGTCTTATGGAGCGAATGCAGGCTGCTCAGCTATCCCAGAAGCCAGAACAGCAAGAGGGATTTGCTGCTTTCACTGTGCAGCGATCCCTCTTGCTGTTCTGGCTTCTGAGATTCAGAATATTTTTTTTCTTGTTTTCCTCCTCCAAAAACTAGGTGCGTCTTGTGGTCTGGTGCGTCTTATAGAGCAAAAAATACGGTAATTAAAAATGCATTCAGTGCCTGGGCAAAGTAAAAGACAATGCTATATCAGAGAAAAGGAGGAATGTCATGACAAAAGAGCATGACAAAAGTGAGGCATATTCAAGGCCCTCTGGTTTCAAAGGGGAAGACTTAAGCATATGCTGGCCTGAAGGTAGCAACAAAGAGCGTAGTTGCTAAAATTGGGAAATTGAATGGACCTTTGCAGAGCAAATGTAAGAAACAATAATGGAAAAGCTTTAGTGTTGCTGAAATGGACAAGCTAACTAGAATAATACAGATGTGAAATGAACATGGGAAACGTAATAAACTACTATCAAGTGTTTTCTGATGATGATGTATGGTTTTTGCAGTGTTTGGTTCACATATGGATCATATTACCTAATTCTTCCACCAAGATCAACAGAACTTTTAAAAGTGATTAAACTTTGGGCAGGATGGTGCCCCGTTACCTACGAAGCTCAACTTTTATTTTGCAAACATGGATTTTTCACAGGCTGTCAAGAAATGCAAGCACAGGTATATTGTTCACCTCAAGCTGTTCATCTTCTAGCAGTCTTATAATCAGCCATCTGATGTCATTTACCGCTTCTTCATTGTTTAGGAAGATAAAAAGATTATAAAAAACCATGGTCTGGAGGTAGGTTAGCACTGTGTACCTAGCATGCCAGGAACTATTCTTTGCTGTCTGCAAAATAACAAAAAAGCAGCAGTTAGAAAAAATTAAACAGGCAATTCTTCAAGTGGAAGCAAGGATCAGCCTGCATTTAAACCACCTTCCATATACAGAGAAAGCAAAAACTCTCCATAGCTACATTTCAGAATTTATCTACAAGTAGACATAACAGGTCTTTTGCTCTAATGCTCATTTGTCCTAACGCTCACTCCTATTTCCATGCCCAATCCCCTCTCCTTAATTCCTCAGATGACAGCTTAACTTCTGGGCTTGTTGCTGGCATCCATCTGTCTAAAGAGACAACGGAGTACGCCTCTAGGGGTGAAGTCAAACCACTGCGTTAGCCGCTGGGTTAGTACCCTCGCTTGGATTGTCTAGTTCATTAATGGCATGAACCCTGTAAAGGTGGGGTAGAATTCATTAGGTCTCCATGAGCAGAGGAAGCAGAGATGTACTGCACCCCAGAGGGAATCATAAATAATAATAATAATAATAATAATAATAATAATAATAATAATAATTTATTTATATCCAGCCCTCCCCAACCGAAGCCAGGCTCAGAGCGGCTAACAACAATAAAAGTAACACAGTATTCTAAAATCAAATTCATTATAAAATCAGTCCAAATCAAATTAATGGCAACTATCGGGCTAGAGTTCTGTGAGGATTACCAAAGGAGGGGGTCAGGCTGTGCCTTGGCCAAAGGCCTGGTGGAACAGCTCTGTCTTGCAGGCCCTGCGGAAAGATGTCAAGTCCCGCAGGGCCCTAGTCTCAGAGCGTTGTGACAGAGCGTTCCACCAGATCAGGGTCACAGCCGAAAAAGCCCTGGCTCTGGTTGAGGCCAGCCTCACCTCCCTGTGGCCCGGGACCTCCAAGATGTTATTGCAATAAACAGGTCTTCCCTCCACACCCATACCACCTGCTATAGGGACGGCTATTTTGGTAGTCATCAAATAATTCAGAATTTTATAGGAGACCCACCCCCCAAAAGTATTGAGGCAGAAGGCATTTACTGTCAACGGTTGCCTCAAGGGAATGCTGACACCACGAAATATGCTTTTGTTGTTTACACAGCTTAAGAAAGCGCCACGTACTTGTTTTAGCACCTGAAGTACCAAAGGCACTTGTTGAGGGTACAGCAATCCCTGAGACATTAACGACAAGCACATCTTAGCATCTCTCTTAAGTTCATCGTAGCTGTTGTCATTTTCTACAGGTGCGATCTGTGGAAGGAAGAACAGGAAAGGTGAGTGGACCCAGGTTGAAGACCGACAGCCAAAGAAGGTTTCTTTTTTGTAAAATCAATACAATGCAGGATTACAATTTCAGCTTCTCCAACTAGAAAGATGGGATCAATGAAATATTCAAGCCTAAAGCCCCTAAATGCTGTATTGAAGTACATTCACAAAACAATCAACAGCTGAAGTGAGCTGCTTGTTTCGCTATTAATATGCCTACTCCAAGGACACTGAGTAGATGCCGCTACTACGATCTTCAGGTGGTATATAAATTTAATAAAGAATAATAATACTTGGCTCTGAGAATCTAGAAATATACAGGGATTTGGACAATAAAATTGAGATTTTAAAGCTTTAAAGGGAGGGGAAATTGCCTCCCTGAAATATTTCTGTATTATCTGTCTAATCCCCTTAACTGAAACAGGACTTAAATAGGACAAGTGTTTCGTGGGTTGCTCCCAGAAATGGCAACCTTTGGTGGGTTTTCTCTGAAGCATACAAAGAAATGAACATGTGCATTGAATTCTCAGCAGTATTAAACCTGAAAAGACTTCCCTAGCTCAAGGCTTGTCATCTTTTACAATTGGGCAGCAAGGGTGAGTTATGGCAATTTAAAAAATACAATATTGAAAATAGTTTTAAACAAATTGCAGTCGCAAGAGTGGATAATGAAAAACCACACGCAGTGCTTCATCAAGCCCATCTTGCCCTTAGGGAAGCAGAAAATTGAAGAGTTGTACAATCTCCTAAAGAAATAGATGTCTTTCAATTTCACAGCAATTTTGTGCCAATCTTTGGTATACTGCTTTGTGAGCCCCACCTGAAAAGCAGTACATAAATACCTTGAATCAATCAATCAATCAATCAATCAATCAATCAATCAAAGAGTAGGTGTAAAAGCCAAAATAAGACAAATAATTTCTCTCAATAGATAAACTGGATGTAAAAAGAACTGTTTTAGGCAGAACCTGTTAGTATGGCATGAGTTTCTATGTGTAAGTATTTAGACAGAGAGCAGCTGAAAAAAAAGAGTTACTTAAAGTATTATGTTGTTGTTTCTAACAAACTTTTCATACTTGAGAAATGGAAGAAGTGCTTGAAGAAAAATAAACGCACTTCCTTAAATTTGAAAAAAAAAAACACCTAAGATTTATCTGCTTCCACTGCTTTTGAACTGCTAGGTTGGCAGAAGCTGGGACAGAGCAACGGGAGCTCACCCCGTTGTGTGGATTCGAACTGCTGACCTTCCGATCGGCAAGCCCACGAGGCTAAGTGGTTTAGACCACGGCGCCACCCGGGTCCTGCTATTTGTCAAGCATTGTTGGTTTAATGTGTTCAGAAATTACCTCTGAAGCTTAAAGAGAACTAACAAACCACGTACCTTGAAAAACAACGGCAAGAGCTGAAGCTGTTCCGCAACAGCTGTGGAAAAGGCTCTCCCCGCAGTTGCCATCAACCACTTCAGAACTGTCGAAGGCAGAAGAAAGGCAAACATAACAGCTTGGCACAAGGTCAAACAGAGCACAGCAAGACACAGGCATGGTTCAAACTAATCTTTTCCAACTATCAGCTGCCTTAGAAGACACAATGGTCGATATTGCCCATTTGATAATGAATTTAAAATGTTAGTATTACAAACAGGAATTATTTGGATTGTCATGTTTTATTCTCTCGATGCATTTTGAAATGAGCATTCATTCATCTAAAAGCATTTATAAATTTCTTAATATTTTAAAAAATCTCTCTGAGTGAGGCACAGTATGAAAACAATCAATATTAGGCTGCTTGTTGTAATAATGCACCTGTATATACATTTGCTGTCGTGATTTGAATTATTTTGGGTGACACTCGTGTGGAAAAGCGGAATGCGAATTGAAATAATAACTCTCAAATAAGTACAGCTGGGCATTTAATTTGGTGTGCGCAAGTTTAGCACAGGCACTTACTGGTTTTCAAGAGTTTAATGCCCTGAGTTCGCTCATCTTCATCTCCGACTCCATTCTCTTCCATAACATGATTCTGAATTTCTTCATCTACTTCCGTGAGGGGTTTGAGTTTTTCAAGTATTCGGGAAGTGAACTCATGGACATGGGGAGATTTTGTTGGAGCGGTATTTGGTAAGGAAACATCTATCATGAAGATGTATGTCAGAACGCTACACGAAACAAAATGAAGTATACACGTTTAATATTTTCCTTTAAACCCTGTTCACAAATTTGTTGCAGAAATTACCACTCATTCTAGTTCCTGGGGAGAATCTGACAGCTTCCTTAGAAATCTAACGGCTAAGAAGAAGAGTTTGGATTTGATATCCTGCCTTTCACTCCCCTTCAGGAGTCTCAAAGTGGCTGACATTCTCCTTTCCCTTCCTCCCCCACAACAAACACTCTGTGAGGTGAGTGGGGCTGAGAGACTTCAGAGAACTGTGACTAGCCCAAGGTCACCCACCAGCTGCATGTGGAGGAGCAGAGACGCGAACCCGTTTCACCAGATTACGAGACTACCGCTCTTAACCACTACACCACACTGGCTCTCAATAATACATTCACAAGATTCACAAGGTAGAGCCTTCTTGAGTGCGTTCAGATTGTTATGTGAGAAGGGGGTTGTACGTTTGAATGCTCCATGTAAAAAAGGTCCTTTCGTGAGGAACTAGCATCTCAGAGAGAAGAATACTAGCTTAGCCTGATGTGCTAATTTTCTATGAACAGAGAGGGTTTTGTTGTTGTTGAGGTGGGGCATTTAATCATACAACCTCCAGCATTCTGAAGGAAAGACATATTAATATTTGACTTTGAGGGCCTTCTGGCAGTTCCCTCCCTGTGAGAAGTGAGGTTACAGGGAATCCGGCAGAGGGCCTTCTCGGTAGTGGCACCCGCCCTGTGGAATGCCCTCCCATCACATGTCAAGGACATAAACAACTATCTGACTTTTAGAAGACACCTGATGGCAGCCCTGATTAGGTAAGTTTTTAATGTTTGGTGTTTTCTTGTGTTTTTGTATTTTGCTGGAAGGCGCCCAGAGTGGCTGGGGCAACTCAGTCAGATGGACGGCATATAAATAGTAAAATTACTAATGCTATTATACCATATTTAAGGCTTCTGCCAAAGGGCGAGAGCTTCCATCCTCTGGCTTTCAGCTGAGGGCTGCAGGCCTAAAAACTATGCACGGACTTGAGAACACTAACCTTCCTATCCTCTCTCGGACATTTTTGTAAACTTGGGTGAGTTTCGGCTCTAGGTACTTCAGCAATCTGTGGAGCAGCTCTGGTACTCGCCATTCTTGCTGTGCAAGACCTCCTTGCAGGACATACAGTCGACTAGGAGGGGGCAGGGGAATGGGGAGGGGAGCGGGGAAAGACAGAAAAACATACAGTAAGGTCATTAACTTAGGGAAGCACACCTTTATCGCCACCCAAAGACCCCAAGGCATGACACAAACAATTCTCTTACACTTCATTGCTCACAAAAGGTAGGCCAATGACTAAATTTTTTGCTTACAATAAACCAAGGGAACTAGCAACAGGCACAGGCAAACTCGGCCCTCCAGATGTTTTGGGACTACAACTCCCATCATTCCTAACAGGACCAGCGGTCAGGGATGATGGGAGTTGTAGTCCCAAAACATCTGGAGGGCAGAGTTTGCCTATGCCTGAACTAGCAGCTCCTCATATAGTTAAAGGGGGGGGGATGGCCATAGGAACACCTTTGCTGGAAATGAAAACCACCAAAATTGCAGTAGTACAACATGCACGGATATTAAGAATAGTTCCAGCGGCTCTTTAATGGTGTGTGCATGTGCCTGCTTCTGGATGCAGCTTTGTCACTGGAAGTCCAGGCAGCATCAGTGGCTAGGAGCATCTTTTATCGGCTGCATCTGGTAAGAAAGTCATGACCGTTCCCGGACCAGGAAAGCTTGGATGGCTTAGTTCATGTACTGACTATTTCCATACAGTGGTACCTCTGGCTGCGAACGGGATCCGTTCCGGAGGCCCGTTCGAAACATGAAAAGAGCGCAACCCGCAGCGGCGCGTCTGCGCACGCAGGGGTTGCGATTCGCCACTTCTGCGCATGACGTCATTTTGCGCTTCTGTGCATGTGCGAGCAGCGAAACCCGGAAGTAACCCTTTCTGGTCCTTCTGGGTCGCCGCGGGACGCAACCTGAAAGAACGTAATATGAGATATGACTGTATTGGATTACTGCAGTGTACCCTATGTGGGGCTTGATCCAGAAGCAATTACTACTGTATGCTGTGGTGCAACAGCTGACAAGAGTGAGAACCCGTCAGAAAGGGAACAATCTGTTCTGTATAAATATGATCCCCACTGTCTTCCACACTTTGGCCTACGACAAATAGGCAAAATTTTTATTAATTTTTACTACTACTATTATTATTATTATTTACCATGCATCAACAAATGATCCTCCTTCACCGCTCAACGGAGACTCCAACAACAATTCAAACAACCAGTGCAATTTTCGAGGGTCCCTGCTCTCCTGTATTAACAATTTTAAAAGGCAAAAGGGGCAAAATGATTTCTGGCAAGTGAAATCTTGGTAAAGCTTTTTGAAAGACAATTCAATATCAAACATTTGTGCTGCTAAAAGAGTGGGTTCTATTGCATAACAACGTGTTTTGTCTTGTCTTTTTTAAAAAAGCAAGCAAGAAATAAAAATCCAGACAGAAACCATCATAAAAAAAAAATGCAGCACCAAAATGCCAACTTGTATAAAATGTTCTTTTTGCCCTGAGCACATACCCTTTTTGTCTCTGAGCATGCTAAAGCTTTGATCTAAGCCTTATCGCCAATCCTAAGCAGGTTACTCAGAAGTAAGTGTCACTAAGTTTAATGGTATTTATTCCCACGTTTAAGAGTGCACAAAACCCTATTCCTGGGCTATAATTTGCTAGGGAGTAAGACCAGAAGCAAGACTTACTTCTGAGTAAACAGCCAGAGGGCTGAATCACAGGTCTTCAAAAATACGTTTTCATCCAAATTTCTAGGTTCATGTGAAACTTAAGACTCAGCAGCCACAGCTGTAATTTCCTGTCTAACGAAGGCACTATTTCCCCCCGATGGTCACAGGACGAGCCAGAGAGACCCAATAATTAGATAGCAGCTTTCTCTTGGGCTGCATAACACGTCACATTTGCAGCACCCCAAAAAAGAGAAAAGATAAGAACAAAGTCCAAGCCTTGCCCTGTGCACACCAGATGGATTGCAGAGAGCAAAAAATGGATAAAAATGACTGCAAAGGGGAGAGGCATGGAGGAAGGGGGAGCAAAACTGAAGAAGACTGAGAAGACACCTTACCCTGTAGCAACCTGAGCTAAAGGGCAAGCTGTGACAGAAGCACCTAAGAACTGAACAGTTCCTCCCATAAGGAAGAGGCTTGGTACCCACCTCACTGAGGAATAAGAAGAGCGGAGAACTATAGTGCTTCTATCGGTTTGTTGTTGTTTTTTAAAGATACAGCAAATTAAAAAGGAAATATGCAGGACTTACACATGACGTTGCTATACAGGTACCCCAGTCATTGTAGGTTTCCACTGTTATGTTGGATAAAGCTGTCCTAAGAAGCGGACACAGAACTTTCCAGAGGTTCTCTACCTGTACAAAAAGGGAGAACAGGCAAAGAAATCATGAGAAGTACGTAGGCACGTCCGACCCGCCCATGAGGCTAGGCAAGGCAGCTGTCGCAAGTGGCACCCTCCAAGGAGTGGCATCCTGTTGTGCGTTGCTGCTGGTCTCTAGGAGCAGAGAGGGACTGGCGGCAGATAGGGAGGGGAGATCTCCCCTCCCCCACGAGAGGTGGTGTGATGGGGCTTTGCACCTGCTTCTCCTGAAGGGAGGAGCTTGTGCAAAGCCTCACTGCCGAGTGGGAGGGGTTATCCAGAAAGGACCTTCTCTTTCCCCCTGCCCAGCAGGGGAGTCTTCTTACGGAGTTTGCTCTCTCATTGTGGGGGTGGCAGCAGGTCTCACCTTGGGCCACCCCTGTACATATGACACATGGACTCTCTCTTAGCACTGCTGCTGTATTTTCATGTTTTGTTTTCTTGCATACTGCTCAGATACTGCTTAAGTTTAAGCCGTCTCAATTAAAAAACCCAAAAAAACCCCTCAACAAAATGTAATTTCTTACAAGGATGTGGCAAGGTAACGTTGCCAGTATGGAAATCTGAAATAGAGCTCCTGTCAGAATCTCTGCAGCCTAAGGTCTGGAGGAACCCAAAACCAAGAACACGGAATCCTTAATATTTTGGGCCAATGGCGAAAGATCAGAGAATAAACAGTAGTTCATTCTTAATCTCAGCTACTCATGATTCTGATACTAAGGGGTAAATATACTTTAGCAATTCCATGTATTTGTTTAGGAACTCCCAGAAACCAATTAATATTAATGTACAACTTTTAGACTGGGGTGGAGTAGGCTTCAAAAAAAGCAATGATTTATTTGAAAGTTTAAAACTGGTATTATTTATATAATACTCTTCCTCAGGAATTCAAGGTAGCTTTTCTAACCACCTTGGGATTTCACAGGTTTATATTCTGTGTGCACTGGTTTTAATTATGGCATTTTATTTTGTTCTACACCACCCTGCGACACTTATGATGAAGTGTAGTATAAAAAATAACCTAAATAAATATAGGATACATTCAACAAAGCACTGAGAAAGTAGTTCCGTCAACACAAGGCTCTCTGGTTGCACAATGGCCCTTTTCCTAAATCTGTTTTGGGGGTTTCCACAACCCTCCGGATCACATTTGGCGGACAGTGTGGGGGGACATGCAGGGGGGTGAGAAAGTGGTAATCCTTGTGCATGCGCAGCTGTTTCGTTTCTGCAAAAATTAAGCGAAGTACACACTACCTTTTCAAATGTCCAGTGCTTAGATCCTCTTATCACACCAGCTATAATTTCAGCTATGCATCGTTGGGGACTTTCGTGAGAATCTATTGCCAAACGTTCTAAGTGGGGTTTCAATACAGGCAAGAAGGCATCATCAAAGTTTCTGAACAAGCCCTGTTAAAACAAGATTCATGGTTTAGTTTTAAACTCGTCACTTTTACGAAAAGGGCTTGCACAACTTAACTGTGCCAAAGTGTTAATTCTAGAAAACGCATGAAAAATATAAACAAAAGGGGTACTTTCCCATCCATTAATACAATGCACACTTTCCAAAGTTGTATTAAAAGTAAAATAAGGCATGCTATATACATAGATCAGGATACAGTGGTACCTCGGGTTACAAACACCTCAGGTTACAAACATTTCGGGTTACAGACTCAGCTAACCAGGAAGTAGTACTTCGGGTTAAGAACTTTACCTCAGGATGAGAACAGAAATCACACGGTGGCGGCGTGGCAGGCCCCATTAGCTAAAGTGGTACCTCAGGTTAAGAATGGATTCAGGTTAAGAACGGACCTCCAGAATGAATTAAGTTTGTAACCAGAGGTACCACTGTACTGGTTTTAACTTTAAATGATGCATAAGCCATGAATGAGAGAAAAGCAACAGAGCCCTGTGTTGGACGAGCTGCAGTTCTGTGCCACCCCCCCCCCCCCAGGAATAAGAGAGAACCCCCCTGCATTTGCACATGTCTACATAGGTGCATGAAATTATATTTTTCAACATTTCCCTCAAAATATATTTGCAAGCAAGCTCCCCAAAAGCATATATTGCCACTTTTAAGTGGCCATCCGTCTGCCACAGGAGACAATAGAAAGAATTTGCCATCAGGAAGAAAATCAAACCGTTGGAAAGTTGGACTACCTGCTGTGGATATAGAGTCTCTAACCCCCCCCCCCCATGTAAGTCTTACAAAAGGCAATACAATGAATATAAGCACAGCAGATTCTGGGTTGTCTGCAAATGAAAACTCTGTGTCAGAAAATCAGCTCCAAAGAGGTAAGCAAAGAGAAGAATAAAGGTAAAGGTAAAGGGACCCCAACCATTAGGTCCAGTCGTGGCCGACTCTGGGGTTGCGGCGCTCATCTCGCTTTATTGGCCGAGGGAACCGGCGTACAGCTTCCGGGTCATGTGGCCAGCATGACTAAGCCGCTTCTGGCGAACCAGAGCAGCACACGGAAACGCCGTTTACCTTCCCGCCGGAGTGGTACCTATTTATCTACTTGCACTTTGATGTGCTTTCGAACTGCTAGGTTGGCAGGAGCAGGGACTGAGCATCGGGATCTCACCCCGTCGTGGGGATTCGAACTGCCGACCTTCTGATCGGCAAGTCCTAGGCTCTGTGGTTTAACCCACAGCGCCACCTGCGTCCCTTTCAAAGATAAGAATAGGGGGGCTAAAAAAGGGGGGGCAACAGACCCCTGGACGGTTAAGTACAGTCAAAGGTGCCTATTGGGTTGTGGCGTTCATCTCGTTTTCAGGCTGAGGGAGCCACCATTTGTCCACAGACAGCTTTCTGGGTCATGTGGCCAGCACAGCTAAACCACTTTTGGTGCAATGGGACACTGTGATGGAAACCAGAGTGCATGGAAATGCTGTTTACCTTCCTGCCACAGCAGTACCTATTTATCTACTTGAACTGGTGTGCTTTCAAACTGCTAGGTTGGCAGGAGCTGGGACACAGCAACGGGAGTTCACTCCGTCATGGGGATTTGAACTGCTGACCTTCCAATCAGCAAGCCCAAGAGGCTCAGTGGTTTAGACCACAGTGTCACCTCCCTTTAATAGAGGGGCTAAGGACAACTTGGTCATGGCACTCATTCACAGCTTCATAAACCATGGTTTAGGAGACCTTGGTTCAATTGTCCAAACTGGATCAATATGCGGAATACAGAAGTTTAACTGCATGGATCATATATTATAGAGCTTTTTGCAAAGGATTTTATCATTTTCTAGAAGGTGTAACTAATCAAAGAAATAGATAACTGGTTACCTTGAAGAGGCAAAATCTGCGAGGATTAAATTTATCCTTTCCTTTTCTGTCTTCTAAAGAAAGAAACTTGATTAACTGCTCAACAAATTTTGGATCAGAAAAATGATCATAAATGACCTGCTCCTCCTGTAAAAAAAGAAAGAAACAAGAGCACAATGAAACTAAAAGGCCCTGTTTGGTTTGTACAACAGTCAGGCGCCGTCCTGGAAAAAAAGTCTGCATAGTTTATGGTCTCAGATATGTGACACCTTAACAAAAACAGGCATTTTGGGTCAAAGGAAACATTATTCACGAGTGCAGCTCATTTCAAAGCAACTGCATTTTGTGGAAATACCGATAGAAATCTGGGTTCCTGTGAAATTAATGAGAGCCAGGACATCAGTTGCTGCAACTCAATTGACAACCTTTGAACCAGCCTCATTTTTCCAGTCTCATTAGAAGAACTGCAAGACTTTGAGAATCCTGGCAAGGACAAAATACTCTTAAATCTTAAGCTTTGAAAGACCTTGTGTAGCTTTCTACAGCAATGCTTTTCCTTTTGCTAACTTTCCATCCTCAGTTCAGCAATCATTTTGAGTTGACAAGACAACCCACATGCTTCATAAACCAGTGTGGTGAACTGAAAACAGGTGTCGCTAACATGGTGTGCTCCAGATAATTTTTTGGGTCTACATCACCCCTGACTACTGGTGATCCAGGCTGCGACTGCTGGGAAATACAGTCCAATAACATCTGGAGAGAACCAAGTTGGCTACCTTTGAAGTAAAGTAATAGCCAAAGCATCTATGGGTGGCCAGAAATCAACTTTTTTTGAATGGTAAGCCGCTCATCGCTTATATGGAGAGAAACAAACTGTGAGTGCCTCCCGGCTTGGGAAAGAAAACTGAAGAGCAGGCACAAATGGGCAACAAGTAACACTAATTCATGGCAAGCTGTTGCTTATGACTTCTTCTACATGTGCACTGGGTCACATAAATGAGATTCTATAATGGTCCATGCAAGAATAGCTTCATATTGCAATTATTGTTAAAAACACGTGTGCGACACACTCAAGAGAACCTGTGTAGCAGCTGCTTTTAACTAATGTTCCCATTAGGGAAAATGATCAAGCTATTACATTTATCATTTATAAACTGAATCACCATTTTGGGGGGCAGGCAGAATAATGTGAAACACAATCAGAATAGCCATTATTACCAAAAAGTTCTTTGGTGTATAGGGAAGTCATTAATTGCATTCTTGTTTTGCCTAGGTTTCTATGTGGAATCCAGATTACACAAGTGGGCTTTGGAATTGTTCAAACATACACAATCACAACAGGAATAAATATATATGCTCAAGCTTGAATCAGTCCCAGAAAATACTTTCAGTGGAGTTTTAAAATATCACATTCACCTCTGAAAGCTCATCTCTACTCCTCCCAAGCTTTGGTTGCTCTTCAGCAGAAGCATAAATCTCCATATTTCTAGAAATTGTGAAGAGAGAAAAAAATAATCAAGATAGGTTTCAATATTTTTGAACAAAAAAATGTAGGTACAGCATTTCCTGGGTCACTGTTCCAGTACAGCAGTGACAAAGGGAGGCAAACTTCTACAGAGCTCAAACATGTGATTTTTTAAAAGGTAGCCTGGCCAAATCAAAATTTAGACCCCACTGCAAGTCACTGTAGCAAAATGTGTTAGGTAGATAGGTAAGATCAAACTCCAAAGAGCTGAATATATTTAAAAGGTATATTGGAGAAATAATGTTGCTGCTGCCCCAAAACAAGAATAAGCAGAGTATGTATACTGTTGTATACCAGAAGGAATGTCTCCGCCGGCATTGTTTAGCCCGGACACTGAGGTCCAGTTCCAAGAGTCTGCTGGCAGTTTCCTCATTGCCTGAAACAAAGTTACAGGGAACTAGATAGAGGGCCTGATGCCCTCCCATCAGACGTCATGGAAATAAACAACTATCTTGACTTCTAAAAGACTTCTGAAGGCAGTCCAGTCCAGTGGTACCTTGGGTTAAGAACTTAATTCGTTCCGGAGGTCCGTTCTTAACCTGAAGCACCACTTTAGCTAATGGGGCCTCCTGCTGCCGCTGCGCTGCCGCTGCATGATTTCTGTTCTCATCCTGAAGCAAAGTTCTTAACCCAAGGTAATATTTCTGGGTTAGCGGAGTCTGTAGTCGGGACGCAGGTGGCGCTGTGGGTTAAACCACAGAGCCTAGGACTTGCCGATCAGAAGGTCGGTGGTTCAAATCCCCGCGACGGGGTGAGCTCCTGTTGCTTGGTCCCTGCTCCTGCCAACCTAGCAGTTCGAAAGCACGTCAAAAGTGCAGGAAGATAAATAGGTACCGCTCCGGCAGGAAGGCAAACGGTGTTTCCGTGCGCTGCTCTGGTTCGCCAGAAGCGGCTTAGTCATGCTGGCCACATGACCCAGAAGCTGTATGCCGGCTCCCTCAGCCAATAAAGCAAGATGAGTGCCGCAACCCCAGAGTCGGTCACGACCGGACCTAACGGTCAGGGGTCCCTTTACCTAGCGGAGTCTGTAACCTGAAGCGTATGTAACCTGAAGCCTAGGTAACCTGAGGTACCACTGTATAGGGATGTTTTTAATGCTTGATGTTTTGCTGTGTTTTTATTATGTTGGAAGCCTTCTAGAGGGGCTAGGGCAACCCAGACAGATGGGCTGGATATACGTACTACTACTAGTAGTTGTTGTTATACCAGCAAGACAGCTGTTAGAAGGCTGTTGACAGAGGCAACAAGGGAGCTTTAAGTCCCGCACTGGGGAACATGTGGCCCTCCACAAATCCTAGATCAGCCTCCACTAGTACAACCGGTGGTCAATGATGATGGAACACCTGGAGGGCTACAGGTTCCCCATCTGTGCCCTAGCCCCTTCCAGGTTCACCAGAGGAGGGGGTGGGACAAGCCCGTACTTACCGAGGCCAGGTGTAGTAACCCCAGTGGGTTTTCTCCACGAAACGACAGGCCTCCCAAGCTTCTTTAGTCTTTGGTAACCTTGCACTGTCATAATGCAGCCACTGGTTGTCAGGTCTGTCGCCGGCCCTGATCTCAGGAAGCTGAGGAGCTCCACCTGCTCACACACACAAAAAGAGAAAGCAACTGTTATATTATTGACCCTGTGATTCAGTTCCTGTGATTGGAACTATTTTATTTCTTTATCAAATTTATATACCGCCCTTCATCAACAATCAGTTTTTTTAAAAAACCAAGACAGTTAGTTTTAAGAATCTGTATACATACCATTTCCCCCCACCCTTTTCACATGAATTTCCAGAAGAAATCTGACAATTCTTGGGTGATCTACATTTTCTATGTAAAGGAAAGCCACGCAGTTTGCTTTCAGATGACAATAAAACCACTAAAGCTGCATTATGAACCCAACTTCTCTTTACTTCGTCAATTCAAAATAATTAAAACAAAAAGCAAGCACAAGTATAAAAAGCCCATCAAAATGTACAGTATTACCATGGGCTTTACTGAAAATTAGCTCAATCATTGCCTTTGTCGCTGAAGAACACCAAGATTAACCATCTTGGGAAGGCGGTAGGGTTCCATCTTTGGCACTTTAATGGGGACAAAACTCCCTGCAGCAAAGATCTATTGGAAAGATTTTAAGCTTCGATAACCAGCAACTTCTGGAGGGCCCTACATTACACGGCCCCGCTTTCCCTGCTCTAGGGTACGGTTCAATGAGTGAAGCATGCAACTGTCTCCACCCATCCTCAAGCCGCCATTTTGTTCCCTGCTCTGAATGATAGATCTCTGGGTTCCAGTAGAAAGAAAAATAGATCCTGCAAACTTGAAATCTGACACCCACTATATAACACATACCTAGTTCACATATACACACTAAATAAAAACTTCACGGGGGAAAAGCAACTCGGTGCTTGCGACTGTTTTTGTTCAGGACACTTACTGATTTGGAATGGGCAGATGGACAACTTCTTGTGAGGCCTCTTCAGCTGCTTGAGGATGCCAGCCACAGCAGAAATCGCCATCTTTTTTAAAAAAAAAAGGAAAAGAAAAGTTTAGCTTATGCGTTTTAAAAATTCAGTGCAAGCAACTGCTTCATTGCTATCTTAAAAAAAAAGCTGCCCTCCCTTTCTCTCACGCCCAATATTACAGAACTACCCAAAGAGTGGACTCCTGCCTGTTGATCCATAGGAAGAAGTGGTGTCCTTCCAAAACAATCTGCACCCACGTTTTCATCCCATCCCAAGGAAAATAACTTTAGGGTTCACCCGGCAGCTTTGAGTAACTGAAAAAGCAAGCATAAAAGCTGGACTCCCCCCCCCCCCTTCATAGCACTAAATTTGACCCACTACTCTTCTCGTTTATTTTCTCCTAATGGTTCACCCTATGCTTCCTGTGGTTCAGTGAGGAAGAGACTAGAGTTCGGTGGAGGAACATGTGTCCTCCATAGGGAAGGCTTGAGGTTGGAGAACCTCTTTTGGACTTTTTGTGTAAAAGGAAAATAAATTAATACAAGTCATTTGGGTTGGAAGATTGTGAAAAATATTGCCTCACAGAAAGCAGATCAGTTGGATGCCATTCTTGAGTTAATATTTTGAGTAATTTCTTTCTGACAGACAGAAAATCGGAAGTACTTTTTATTTTTCCTTTTTCTCTCATTTATTTTCTTCTATCTTTTGGTTTTCCTTTGGTGCTTTCTTTTCTCTGTCTCCCTGTTTTTAGTTTTTATTTAGATTAGTTTCTTTGATCTTATTGTATTATGAAAAAGCTACAACAAAATCTCACAAACAGAAGGCTCCGGTTTCAATGCCTGGCATCCAATGACCAAGCAACAAATGATGGAAAAGATCTCTCTTTAAGACCCTGGAGAGCCACTGTAAGTTAGAGAAAACTAAAGCTAGTAGTTGTACAATTAGTCTGGCCTAGTGTAAGGCAGATGCCTATGTAACAATTTAAAGGGTAAAGGTAAAGGGAGCCCTGACAGTTAAGTCCCGTCACGAACGACTCTGGGTTTGCAGCGCTCATCTCACTTTACAGACTGAGGGAGCTGGCGTTTGTCCGCTCCGCAGACAGTTTTTTCGGATCACGTGGCCAGCATGACTAAGCCGCTTCTGGCACAACGGAACACCAACACCAGAGCAGTGCACGGAAACGCCGTTTACCTTCCCACTGGAGCGGTACCTATTAATCTACTTGCACTTTTTGGCGTGCTTTCGAACTGCTAGGTTGGCAGGAACTGGGACCGAGCAATGGGAGCTCACCCCGTTGTGGGAATTCGAACTGCCGACCTTCCGATCGGCAAGCCCAAGAGGCTCAGTGGTTTAGACCACAGTGCCACCCACGTCCCATGATTTAGTAATGATTTACTAAGCCCTAATTCATCCCTTCACTTTGGGCTGCAGTGGAAGTCCAAAAGGGAATGTCAGTGGTGTTAGTTATCCAAAGTGGTTTCCTTTGCACACTGGGCAAATCAGCAAGCCAACATGTGTCCACAAAGTCTGACCTTTGCCCAGAACGTGGTAGTGTGGAAGCAAAATGCGTATTAACCTCATTTACAAGAACAGCAGCAAATATCACTTTGACATGTGCGAAAGCTATCATGTGACTCTACCTTTGGGTTAAGAGGAATGGGATCAGCACTGGCAACCAACCACTTAAATTCATTTCCCATTTTCTTACCTTGCGAACCACTAGGGCGTCGTGGTTGAGACATTTCACAAAGAATTTGATGGCTCTCGGAGGCAGCACCCTGTCGTCTCTTAAAAGCAGGGACAGAAAACCGACGCCAATGTGCTCAAACTTCCAGGGGCTGAGGAGGAAAGGGAGGAAATGGAATCAAATAGCCTTTTGGGACAGAGTGAATGAATGCAGTTATCAAGCACAATTTAGAGCCAAACCAATTCCTCTCCACTCCAGTGTTTGCACGCAAGAGGCCCAACTCTCATTTGGACTACAACAGCTCTAATTTTAAGGTGGTGTGTGTGGTAGTGGAGATATATGCAATTCTAATATCCAAACGATCGCATCTTATACGCATTTAACTTCCACAATTTCAACTACATGCAGTCGAAGGCCGGCTGTTTGAAACCCCACAAATTAAATGCAGAGTCGTTGTGAAGCGAGGGCCTTATTCAGGAAGCAAGGCTCCCTCATCTCACGGGGACTGGGATGCTTCCATGAGATCTCGAAAAAGCATCCCAGGGCTTCTGGAGCCAGCACGCCAGTTCTGGAAGCCCCAGGATGCTCACACAGGGGTTTAATAATAATAATAATAATCTATTATTTCTACCCCGCCCATCTGGCTGGGTTTCTCCAGCAACTCTGGGCGGCTTCCAACAAAGTATTAAAATACAGTACTCTGTTAAACATGAAAAGCTTCCCTTTTAATGTTCCCTTAAACATTAAAAGCTTTCCCTTCCAAGGGTTTGAGTATACACGGTTTTGCTTATACACTGAACCACTGGAACCGAACTCCTGCATAAGATTGTAAGATACGATTAATCATAATGTACTTAAAGGCATGGAGTTTCCAAAATTTAAAAAAATAAATCCCCAAAGGGGAAGGAAGATGAGGAATGTCAACAGCATTTGAAAGTCGACACTTCTGCAGCCTTCTATAATGCCCAAAGAAGAGAGATGAGATACGAATGGGGATTTTCAATGAGTTGAGGCTTTACTTCAAGATAAGGACATTGTTAAAAAGAAAAACATGAAGAGTCAAGAGGTGGTACCGTGATCCATCTTCAGATGATTTACAACAAAAATGCAATCTACTCAGAAGCAGCTGCTGAGCGAAACAATCAAAATTTATTGTTAGCTAAAGCACGGGTGGAGGACCTGTGACTAGGCACGTGCAGGACTACAAATGCCATCATCCCTAACCATTGGTCAAGCTGGCTAGGGCTGGTAGGTGTTTGGGGAGGGTACGGGTTCCCCATCCCTGAGTTAAATTATCACATTTTTCAGCTCTGATCCCGTAAGACCTGTGGGGGAGTGGTACTGTCGTGTGTCAAAACATCTGGGCTGAATCTTCTTTTGATTCCCTTTTATACGAACAGAAACCTTGAAAGAAAGCTGTTTTATCTGCCACAGAATTTAGAATGGGGACTGGGAAAAGAATTGCACACAATAATCTCACAATCCTGTCTAAAAGTCTCTCAAAGCCAGAGCACGATTTACGTTTTGGAAATGAAACACGCATACTTACAGATTTCTTTGATCCACACAATCTAACAGTTTGTTAATCAGGTTTTCATAGTTTCTGAAAATGAAAAGAAACATTCCTATATTAATCACATTTAGGACCTTAATAATATGCAGTGTGCCTCCTCTGCTTCTGCTACCTGCTAAAATAATGCAATTCTTTGGGGCAGCCGCTGCATATGAAAGACTTGCCACAAGGTGCCTTACAAGAAAAAATTAACACCACATTTTCCAGTTTGTCTATCAACCCAAAGACAGACATATTGAAGTGTTCATGAATAGACAAGACAGTCATGAGATTGTTTTTTTCTTAGAAGCAAAAGGGGCAAAGACTAATGAACAGCAAATGAAGCTTTATACACATTCCGGAAAAGTGAAATTATTTATTTATTGAATTTATATACCACACTATACCCAGAGGTCTAAGGGCAGTTCAAAGGAACAAAATCAGTCTCTATCTGGAGTCAGGGCCCGGGAGTCAGAGGCTGGCTGGCTGGCTACTCCCTGTGTCTCTGGCATCTGTGCTCTCCTGCAGTTACACAAGCACAGTAAAACAACAAAAGCAAAACAAAAGAACCACCTTAAGCTGAAAGTTGGGAGCCGCCCAGAGCGGCTGGGGAAAACCCAGCCAGATGTGAGGGGTATGTATGTATGTATGTATAAATAAATAAATAAATAAATAAATACATAAATTACTGCAAAATAAAATGACTAGTTAAGTCATATCATTGCAAAGTTAAGTAAATTAAAGTGTTATTTTTATACTATGGCCCCGGTACACTTACTGAGAGGACTCCGCATTCCTTTCTTTCTGTCGCTGAATTCCCTGTTGGAGCTCCTCTGAACTAAGACTCGTCCAGTTGTTCTGCAGAACCCCCGACTTCTGCATGAGGACAGCGACCTCAACACATTTCTCCGGAACCTGGCAAAGTAGGGAGATGCAAATGAAGTCTCTGACACAACAAGGACATTCCTCCCTAGGGATACACGCGGTGTTTTTATGGATTCAAAAGACCTTCACCGCCACACAAAAAACTCTCTAAAATATATATTCAGTCTATCAAATGAATAATACTGCTTTTGGAGGAATATTCCAAAAGCCCAGTAATCCTAGCCCCTACTTGGAGCATCATTCCTTAATTTTTGTGATCATCTATGTACCGTATTTTTCACCCTATAGGACGCACATTTCCCCTCCAAAAATGAAGGGGAAATGTGTGTGCGTCCTATGGGGCAAATGCAGGCTCCTTGGCTTCAGCGATAGCAACGCGAAGCCTCCAAAGCCTGCGCTCCGGAGGCTTCGCGTTGCTTTCACTGAAGCCAGGAGAGTCTGCTCTTTGAGGCTGGCGGTGGGGGAAAGCAGCGCTTCCCCCCACTGCCAGCCCCACAAGCTAGGGGGGGGCAGCGGGAAGGCACGCGATGCCTTAGCGCTGCTCCCCGACCTGGCTTTGAGGCTGGCGGTGGGGGAAAGCAGCGCTTCCTCCCACCACCAGCCCCACAAGCTGGGTCGAAAAGCCCGCAGGAGCTGCGCGCTCTTTAAAGAGCATGCCACTCTTGGGGGCTTTTCCCCAAGGAGGGAGAAGGGACTGACTGGCCGAGTCCGTCCCTTCTCCCTCCTGTGGGCTTTTGCGGGAGATGGGGGAATTCCCCTACCTCCCGCAGAAGCCGTGCACTCTTTAAACGGGCTGCACGGCTTCTGCTGGCTTTTCTAGGAGGTGGGGCAATTCCCCCACCTCGTAGAAAAGCCTGCAGGATGCCGCACAGCCTTTAAAGAGCGTGCCGCTCTTGGGGGCTTTTCCCCAAGGAGGGAGAAGGGACTGACTGACCGAGTCAATCCCTTCTCCCGTCTGCGTGCTTTTGCGGGAGGTGGGGGAATTTCCCCACCTCCCGCAAAAGCCCACAGGAGGGAGAAGAGCGCGCTGCCCTTTAAAGAGCGCGCTGCTCTTGGGGGCTTTTCCCCGAGGAGGGACAAGGGACTGACTGGCCCTTCTCCCTCCTGGTCGAAAAGCCCGCAGGAGTTGCGCGCAGCTCCTGTGGGCTTTTGCGGGAGGTGGGGGAATTCCGCCACCTCCCGCAAAAGCAGGGAGAAGGTCTTGGAGTAGCGCACAGAGCTGCGGGGCGGGGGGGGGATTCCCCCCCCCCGAAAACTAGGTGCGCCCTATAGGGCGAAAAATACGGTATCTCTGCACTGCATCTTCCTCTCCACTCTCCCATAGGAATTTGGCCTTTTTGAAAACTGTAACTGCACAAATGCTTTAAAAGTTATATTTTCACATCCCTGTCAGAAACACCTCATATAACAACCACCCAAATGTTCTGTTCCTGTAGTAATTATCTTAGAGGCACCTAGTCATTAATAATAAGAATAAGAATAATAATTTGTTATTTATACCCCGCCCATCTGGCTGAGTTTCTCCAGCCACTCTGGGCGGCTCCCAATCGAGTGTTAAAAACAATACAGAATTAAATCATTAGCTGTGGCTCCCCAACACGTAACTAAATACATGTCATAAGGGCTTCTTCATGCTCCGAGTAGCTCCACAATTCACCACTGCTGCATGTACCTGGGTGTTCAGCTATGTGCTTCCCACAGTATCTGGGCTGTGAGTTTCATGGTAAGTGCAGACAGGGGTTTAAAGTGTGGGCCTCATACATGCCTCTTCATGGGTCCCTGTGGTATTTCCCTCTGCTTTGCAACCAAAAAAGGCTCCCAGAGCAGGTTACAAAGATCTGCTGATGCGTCACCCATGAAAACGCAGCAACTGCCTGCTGCTTTGATCTGGAAGCTCCTTGACTGTAGCACATCCATTCCATAGCAAGCCCTGCACCAGATGTAAGCCTATTTGACCCATTTTGTGCATTACCACTGGCAGCACAATCGTCCAGCAGGAACACAAAAACCGAGCGGGGTCTATTCTGGATGGTAAATCAGTTATGAGGAGCGGCTGGTACACATTTCTCTGCTGGCATACTGTCCTGAGCCCCCAGTTTCACGAATCCTGTGGGAACCGTTTAATTTTTGTGCACAAAAATTACTTGGTTGCCTAGCATGCAAACGGTTTTCATTCATGACGGCAATCACTCTGCCGGCATAACGTTGGAAGCAGGAATGAATGAAGCACTACCTTGAACCCAGTTTGATTGGCCCTGGTGGCCCACCCTCAAGACTCGCACATGCCGCTACTGGGTTCCAGGATCATCATGCAACCGCTGGCAATCCCTTCATCCAGTTATTCCTAACAGTTGCTTAGTGAAGAAGATCTTTCATGCTTACTGTAAAATCCAATCCTATTGTTTCATACTGCCGATGAATCTTCTCTGCAAGGTCATCAAATAGTCGGACTATGGATGGTTTTTCCAGAGACATTGCTTTGCTAAGTCCAGAAGAGACTATTGCAGGCCAGGTTTGGACAATGCAGTCCCAGTCATGAAGATTTGCCAGACACACCCCACTGTGGTTTCCAAGAAGGCAATACAAGGCACCCTACAGAAAAGAGGTTTGAGGACACATTTATTAACCTAGAATTGATTGCATAGCTTCAAAGAACTGCAGTAAAGTATGTGTACTGTTAGGTGCCTACAGAGTCGTCTATACAGTTGTCATTTCAGAAACACTAATTTAGGTGATTTATTCTATGAGGCAGCGGCAAGGAAAAGTTCCTGCATCATTTTACCTAACAGTAAATATGCAGCATACTCAATAGGGACAGGGTTTCTAATGTGCCCCATCAGCAGAAGCCCTGTGCAAGGACTTCTGCTTGTGTAACAGGGCTCCCACCACTCCACATGCCCAAAATTGGCTTTTGGGGGGGAGGGGTTTGAGAAAATCTCCGGAATAATGTTCAGGGGGATCATTCTATCTGGCAAGCTGCAATGTTTGCAGAACCGAATGTCCGTAACACCGTGATGCTGAATTACACCCTATACGCTTCTGACATTACTTTTTAAAAGCAGCTCTTTCATCTTAGAAGCACTTGCTTCACTCTTCCAAGGCTGCAGACACAGTGCAGAAGCTTGTTCTTCTAAGCTATTGCTCTACATTCAGATAATATTCTTCTTCACAACTAACTAAATGGAAAAGAGGAAATATTTGCAGTTGCACGTCTCTCAGTCCCACAAGCCCCCAACTAATGCAAAAAGTTGACGGAACACAGTTAATGGAATGAATGTGGTTTTAAAAAATTGGTTGTTTTCCTTATGTTGTTTTCCTTGTCATCCCATTTTCCTTTGTGGCATGTTTTATACTGAACAGTGGTACCTCAGGTTAAGTACTTAATTCGTTCCAGAGGTCTGTTCTTAACCTGAAACTGTTCTTAACCTGAAGCACCACTTTAGCTAATGGGACCTCCCGCTGCCGCCGGAGCACGATTTCTGTTCTCATCCTGAAGCAAAGTTCTTAACCTGAAGCACTATTTCTGGGTTAGGGGAGTCTGTAACCTGAAGCGTATGTAACCTGAAGCGTATGTAACCTGAGGTACCACTGTATCTCATGAAAGCCACTCTGGGCTTCATATTTTCAGCTGAAGAGCAGAGTAAAAATAATAAATGACTCCCCTTTACAGAAACATTGTTCCAGTCCTTTTGTTACCACATCCAATCTAATGCATTTCATAACTAAGAGTTTAACTAAATAAGGAAGACTAAGTTCCTTGAGCCCGTTCTACTGGATAAAAACTCCACCCTCCCATCTCACCCCACATTCAAACCAGTCCATGTTACAATGATTTAGAAAGGTGTCTGTGCTCAGGGTTTGCAGAAGGTATTAATAAAACGGCAATCTCTGAAGAACATGGGAAACACATTAGATTCAGGGGAGAAGGCAAGTCTTTGGTACACTGACATTAGTGTCATTTGTTTTTCATGATTACTGCAATTCACTACATACTGCTACTTACAAGTCACGCCACCACTTCAAAGTCATGCTAGCACAACTTCACAAGCCCGTTAATATGTGCATCACATAATACAAAACAGGAGCCTATGAAGAGACTGAAGAAGCGCCTGGCTTACTTTAAACTGCTGCTGGGTGACATCGCGCCCATCTGGCCGCAAAAACTCCAGAACCAAAGGAATGATGTCCCTGCAACAGAAGTTGTAAGTCCCCAGGGCTGTGAAGAACGCATGCTGAGCTTTGTTTCTGACCTAAAGAAACAACAAACACAGACAGTTGCACAAAAGCTGAAGACAGGAACTATAAACTTCAATTAATGAATGTTTTTCCGCACTTGCTTGCGTTTCAGGCTGACTCCTGGCATTTTATGAGTCTCCCCCTTTGGATTATGCCACGAGGGACAGGAACCACTAGCCATTAGCCCAGGCTTCCCCAAACTCGGCCCTCCAGATGTTTTTGGCCTACAACTCCCCTGATTCCTAGCTAGCAGGACCAGTGGTCAGGGATGATGGGAATTGTAGTCTCAAAACATCTGGAGGGCTGAGTTTGAGGAAGCCTGCATTAGCTAAGCATCTGCAGAGGAGGAGAAGGGCAATCCCTATGCCATGTGAATGGAACTGCCCATCTCCCCCCCCCTTTTTTCAACAGCTTTCGGGGTGTCCTGGTTTTTACTTTTTGAAATATGTCAAACCCTAACAGAGCTGGCGTCATTGCTCCTGACGAGAATGGCAGTGGTTGAAAAAGTGGCCAGTCTTTTGCCAAACCGAAAGAATATCACTGACAGGAAGAAAGCTAGCACACAGTGCCTTCGTGTAGGTTTTTGCCCTAAAAACAGAACAGATCTGTATGACCTGCAAACACTAGTTTGAAAGCCAACCCCATTAACACCCTGACTGCAGAAAATTGACATACCCAACATATGCTTACCTGGCCATATGAACTTGTGGACAAACGCAGGAGGTCCCTGATCAAGTCTTGGTGTACTTTTTTATACTCACAGCCTTCAACAGTGAGTGTTCTTAGCTAAACAGAAAAGGCTAAATTAGAATACATGTGCATTTGTGTGTGTCCACGTTATAAATGTAAGGAACATGCGTAAACAACAAGGCTTCAACTTTTTTACAAATTCAAAGGTAACCAACAAGCAAACACTGGTTGTAAAGAAAGGTGCATTACCTCGTGCTGCAACATGACTCTGTCAATCAGCAGTGCTCTGATATGCTGTTTTTTGCCTTGAAGCTGAAAACAAGCAAGCAAACCCGTTAAGTACATGAAAACAGTTATACATGTTCGAAATCAGCTTCCTGCTTTTTCCTCATTTTCTCAGTTCGTCTTTCTCAGTATGTCCTACTGGTTAGCAACAAAGAAAACCCTATTCAAAGATGGCAACTGGCAGGTGAGATTATCAGTTGCTGCTTTACAGTGTCTAACACTGACAGAGCAACAGGAGCTCACCCCGTTGCGCCGATTCGAACCGCCAACCTTCTGATCAGCAAGCCCAAGAGGCTCAGTGGTTTAGAACACAGCACCACCTGTTCCCCCTTTACTGCCCTTCAAGTGCATACAGTTGGGCAAATTTTCTCAGAAAATGTGTCCTGTTTCACAATGGGTCTGCTGCAATGATTGGCAGCTGTGCAATTAACAGCGGTTCAATTCAGCATCAACCTCCTATTCCAGTGATGGCCAAACTTGGCCCTCCAGCTGTTTTTGGACTACAACTCCCATCATCCCTAGCTAACAGGGCAAGTATAACTATTGCACAACAACTATATTCCTACCCCACCCCCACCCCTCTGCCTTCTGAATGTGGTTCATTTATTCTGAAAGATTGTACGACAACATCCTGACATTAATATGAATACATTTTTTTCAACAACATGAACTGCTAGGATATTTTCCTGAATATCATTGGGGGGGGGGTGTTAGTGCTGAAAAAAAGTATCGACAATTTGCTTCGTAAACAATTAATATTAAGTTAAGGTCCTATGTTTCCGTGTGCTGCGCTGGTGCTGGCTCGCCAGATGCAGCTTCGTCACGCTGGCCACGTGACCCGGAAGTGTCTTCAGACAGCGCCGGCTCCCGGCCTCTTGAGCGAGATGAGCGTGCAACCCTAGAGTTGGTCACAACTGGCCCTGATGGGCAGGGGTACCTTTAAGGTCCTATGTAGCCCATAATTTCTTCCTGAGAGCTTCAGAAATGCCACTTTAGATAGGCTAAAATACAAACCCTGTTCTCCATTGATTTTTTCACCAAGTTGAAGCTTTTCCACCGCGAATCAAACTCATGCTTGTGTGACCCTTGGAAATGTAAAAGGTCCCCAATGATCTGCAAAACAAGAACTTGCATTATATAGAGCAAATCCACCCGCCCAGCTTAAAATGTTAGAAAACATGCCAGACGTTATGGCTTTACCTTTATGATGAGAAACAAAGACTTTGTATCATCCTCCGAATGGTCAAGTATATAATCTATCGTGGTAGAAAGGAAAATCCAATTCAGTAGGACAACTTAAAAGTGTTAGTTCATACACTACTGGACACTTTATTTAAGCTCAAATGCTTTATATAAGAATGGAAGCAGGCGTAAATCGTGATTGACTGTTTATTATGTTTCCACTTCCATCGCCAAAATTAGATTTTAAATCTGCATTGAACTACAAACCTTAAGCCATAGTACAGGTGCAGGAGGACAAAAAGAAATGACTAAAAACGCACTTACGTAGCAGTTTCCTTGTGATTTTGCTGATGGATTCCCTGTAATTCGCTCTTGACAGATCTAGATAAGGTAAGACCAGTCATTACTCATAGTAACGTTACTGATAGCTCTACATTACATGATGCTGCAAGATGCAGGTCACTGGAAAGCAGACATGCCAAAATAAACACAAAGGCAGATTTCATCGAACAGTACTAGATGGAGGGCATGAAAGGATCCATACAAACACACATACGTGCATGCCTATGTTCATTAGGCATATATTTACACACACACTATCTCCATTGCACACATGTCCCTGGTATGTAAACAGGAACTTCCCCATCCTTTTCAGTGTCCAATACAATGCCACACATGTACATCTATGTGTCCCAAATACTGGAGTACGTAATTCAGGCTGATTAGTTTTTGTACTGGTAAAAGGTAAAGGTAAAGGGACCCCTGAGTATTAGGTCCAGTCGTGACCGACTCTGGGGTTGTGGCGCTCATCTCGCTTTATTGGCCGAGGGAGCCGGTGTACAGCTTCCGGGTCATGTGGCCAGCATGACTAAGCCGCTTCTGGTGAACCAGAGCAGTGCATGTAAACGCCGTTTACCTTCCCGCCAGAGCGGTACCTATTTATCTACTTGCACTTTGACGTGCTTTCGAACTGCTAGGTGGGCAGGAGCTGGGACTGAGAAACATGAGCTCACCCCATTGCGGGGATTCGAACTGCCGACCTTCTGATCAGCAAGTCCAAGGCTCTGTGGTTTAACCCACAGCGCCACCTGCGTCCCTTTTTGTACTGGTACGCAACACAAAATACAAAATATGGAACCAACTTACCATAGTCAACACCAGTATAGAGTTTGATCTCTTCTAAAGACACTAGGCTTGGGACCCTGCAGGACATACAATGCATCCGCACCATTGAAACAAAACATCTGATGCACTTTCCCAAATGCGTTTAATCATTGTTAACATTTATGAAGGCTAAGAACAGCTGCTACTATGATTTTCTGTAATTGAATAAAAGCCTTAAGAAAGCTGGCAAGACAGAGAGGCCAGGCCAGGCTTCAGTTGCTGGGATTTCTGTATGTTACGTTTTATTGTTTTTAATGCTCGTGAGCCACTTTGGGGGTCCAAGAGACAGCACAAAAAACTTGGATAGACATCAGTTTTATAACACTTTTAATTAGTATTCATCTGTTGCTTGTTTTGCTTGCATTTTTAAATTTTACTTTATGCTTCTATTTTTTATAAACAAGCCTTAAAATTACTCATAAACAGCAGTTTATAAATGCATTAAAAAAAAAACCAATGATTCCCACAAGTTGTATTTTGGTGAGATGTTTGACTAGTTTAGGTCTACGGCAATAGGTATGTGCTAAATAAGGAAATTATGGTAGCACCTTTACAAGAATGTTTTCTTCCATATGAGAAGCTTTCCCCCTTAGCTTGCTATGGGGTCTATTACTTATTACCTGCCACAACTCAGTGAGTGGACAGATGAACATTTGTGTAGGACAGACATCACTATATCCTTCAGATTCCCTGAGATAGCAACTACAAAACAGACACATAAATAGATTTCAAAAAACTAAGTGCAGGAGGCATTATTTCTTTATGAGAAACCAATGTATGCTGCAATCCTATGCCCACTTACTTGGGAGTAAGTCCCACTGAACTCAATGGAGCTTACTTCTGAGCAGGCAGGAGGAAGAGCTTAGTTGGTTAGAGCATGGTGCTGATAATGCCAAAGTTGCAGGATCGATCCCCTTATGGGACATCTGCATATTCCTGCATTGCAGGGGGTTGGTCTAGACGATCTTCAGGAATTCCTTTCAACTGTAGGGTTCTATGTATAGACTGAACCATCAGTTATTCAGTGGCTTTGGTCAGGAGAAAGTTTTCAGCCACCCAGTGCGAAGAGAACTTGCTGATGAAAAGCAGAGCTTCAAAACACGGTGACTCTCTCTCTCTGACTAGTCACTATGGGATGTATTGGGTGTTCTGAGTACATATGATTCTAGTGTAAAACTAATACAAGTTTTACACAATCCTTTGTGACATCGGCAGGTATCAGCGTGTGATTTTTTCTCTAGGCCACTCTACATATGCATTACCTGCGCAAAACAAAGTGTACTTACAGGTGCTCTACTCTGTTTCCTTTCAGAGGTGGCAGAATGTTCCCGGACCCGATCAGGCAATTGTGTACTATAGAAAGACACTGCTGCACATCATCTCTGAAAGCAAATGTTAAATGTATTTCAATATTTAAGGTAAGCAAACCTAGTTTTAGGTGGAGAGAGGGTTATTTGCAGACATGCCCACTAGAGGGTACTCTTGGGTAATCACGCAATTCCTGAATCCCAGAAGTCTGGAAAATATGACTACTGCAGCTACAGACTCATTTATAGCACAGTGCATAATCTCCCAGATCCGACACACAAACCACACACGCCAGCAACAATTGGATTTTAAAAGAGCACTGGAGATTTTTCAAACTTAAGTTGCTGGAGGGTTATGTGATCTCCCAAGGGGACTGCATTGCGCAGGGACTGGCAGGATGAGTTGTGAGAGGTACATGCTGGGGAAACCCCAGGGAAGGAAGGCTTACGAGCCAGGGAAGAGATGAGGGGACACAGGTCAGCCGGAGAAGATTGGGAGAAGGTGCCGGATGCTGGAGTGGCAACAGGGTTTAGAGAGCAGGAAGAGCCTGTGATGGGGAGCAGTTCAGACCTCGAGGCTGAAGCAGAGGAGGGGGTTCAAGAGGCAGCTGAAGGATCCCTCTCCTGCTGCAACAAGTTCGCCACTCCACCCCATCCCACTCCAAGAATGCATGGAATAATCAGGAGGGCAGGACAGAAGCCAGAGGTGCGCAAAAGCAGTTTAATACAGCTTGGGAAACATCCAGGCAAGGAGGAGCCTTGTGGAGAGATATGGAAGGCAGGGACCTTCATTCCTGGCAACTGCGCCAAAGGGGCAAGAGCTACTGGGAAAGGTCGCCGAGTTGTAGATCCGTTTCCTTTAATAAAAAGTTAACTTCACTGACAACTGGCTCTCTCTCTCTTCATGCTGACCTGCATCCGGAGAACTGTGTTAACCCTTCCCCCTCCAAATGCAACACCACTCTGAACCTGCCGCACGGGCGGCAACTAGCTTGAAAATATTGTCCCACTGACTCCAAGGGAGGCGGTTCTTAAGCCTAATTGCCACACTGGAGGGCAAAGGGCAAGCAGGGGATAGGGATGCCCAGAGGGGCACATCTGTCCCACTGCTCAGACGTTTCCCACCTCTAGTTACTTAGAGCGTAAGCTTTGTTGAGAAAATACACCAAGTAGCATAAACAGGAAACTTGATTTAAATCAACTCAGTACTAGCAAGCTCCATGACTGAGCAGAAATTAGAACCTGGATCTCATTTACCTGGACAGGTATATTCGCACTAAACCACACTGGCTCCCTATATAGGGTCGCATTTAACAAAGTCATCCTATGATCGAACTTATGCAGAACAGATTTTGGGGTGGGGAGTGCAGGGGGCAAAGGGGAAGCTTTATTCTTTAAGTGGAACCTTGCATGAACCCATTATGTGGCAGTTGGGAATGCTCCAGTTCAAACCGGGAGCCACACACGATTCATTACTGGAGGGCATTTCACATGTTACATTTTTGATATGCAAGTACAAATGTTCTGAACTGGGAAGTCCTCAACTACAAAGTCACCAGGAGGACTTCGGCAAGCCAAAATCTTCAAGAATCCAAGTGAAACACATTCACACAACAGATGAGCAGATTATCAGGGGTACCAGCAAATTAATGCATACGCCAAGAAGCTGAATTGGCTGAACTGCACAATAAAGATGTGTCTGCAACCACATCAGGTTTGCAGAACACCCACCAAGCCCCTCTGCAAGCTGACAGCCAGTCTATCTGTGCAAATATTGCCAACCCAAAATGTGCCTGTCTGTTAAACTCTTGAGAAAAACCCAGCCACCAAATACACTTCTACAAACCTGGACATTTCAAGATTTCCATCTGCATAGCTTCCTAGCTTGTCAAGTTCCGGCTGCAGAAAGGAATCCAGCAACTCAAAGGAAAAAGCGATCTCTTCGGCTGAAGGAACATGCCATTGGATGTCAAGTTTCCATAGATCCCCCGGCTTCCCCCAGTCCTGTAAACATAAGAGAAGAGTGCGCATTGCGCACTTAGTGAGAAAGGTAAACATATCACATGTTACACATGAGGGTAATATTTACTATAGACAAAAGAGGGTTGGCACCAGGTGCCCTGGGCAAGAGGAACGCATCACACACAAAAATATCTTAGAAGGTAACAATTTGGGATAACTGAGAGGAGAGCCTTGCAGCAAATTTTGAAAATAAAGCTCACTAGCAACCTTTTTCGGCCCTTCTGGACAGCCTTCCAATGGCCACATGAAAGTGGTGGGAGGGAAAATAGGCAAAACTGGGTGGAGCTAATAATTTAAATGTTATCTTTGTATAGTAGGCTCCACCTCCCATAGAAACAAACAAGAGGCATGATCACAGTTCAAGGACATGTTCCAGCCAGAATAATGTTCGCAGACTTTGGAACTGCCTCCCCAGAAAAGTTAGACAGGCTCCCTCCTTATGGTCCTTCCACCAGCAGATGAATCGTTTTTTGTTCCAATACGCTTTTGGGAACTGACTGCTTTTAACTGCCTTTATTGTAATTAGTCGCATGATTTTTATAGATTCTATGTGGTTTTACTTCTAAAAATGTTTAATTGCTTTTAATTATTGCTTTTTCTATGATTTTACTGGCTCTCTTACCGCCTTGAGTCCCATCAGGGAAAAGGGTAGGGCATAAACAAATAAATAGTGCAATTTTCATCAAGGACCAAAAAGCAGGCAACAGTCCTTGAGTTGCTCCTTTAACACAGACTTTTCAAGAGACAAGCAGGCGCCTCACTTGCCAGGTTTCAGCCAGTCCAAGGTAGCAGCAATTATTTTTCTTAAACACTGCTGCCTAGTTGACAACACGGTTACTGCCCACATATTAAAAACAGTAACTTATTGCCACCTGTTTTTAGTTCCAGTGAGAATCAATGTTGCTGTCACTTTATTTTGATTTATTATTCTTTTGTGTTTTAATATAATGCTTCACTGTTTCTTCCTTGGGCGTCAACCATTTTTCCACAAAAAAAGTATCAAATGTAACAGGTATTTTAGGACTGTACAAAATAACCACCAACGGCTAAAGTTGTTGGACGTGGGAGATCATTTCAGATTCAGCTGCCATGAACCCACTGTGGCCTAACACAGTAAGCAGGTTTGCCCTATGTTTTTCGTACTGACAAGCAGTCCTAACCATCTTTGGACATGCACTCACACCGGCAGCGTGTAAAATCTGACAATCATGCCGGGAATGATGCCAACATAATGGTGAAAACTGCTCCTATCTATACTGATTACATTACACATGCCTAGGAATGATCTGGACCGCGAAGATGGACAAAAGGTATCACTTGAATCGGTGAAAATTAACCAGAGCCGGCTTCTGATTTGCACCCTAAAGTTTTGTATGAAATTGGGCGCTCCAAGTAGCTTCACATGTTGCAAGACCAATAGGTGCACTTTGTGTATACAGTCGTACCTCGGAAGTCGAACAGAATCCGTTCCAGAAGTCAGTTCGACTTCCAAAAAGTTCGGGAACCAAGGCGCAGCTTCCGATGGGCTGCAGGAAGCTCCTGCAGCCCATCAGAAGCCGCAATGGACGTTCGGGTTCCAAAGAACGTTCGCAAACCGGGACAATCACTTCCGGATTTGCGGCATCCGGGAGCCAAAACGTTCGTCTTGCAAGGCATTCAACTTCCGAATGTACTGCAGAGTACAATACAATACACAAGAAGAAATCTTTGATTGACAGTATGCTGCATATAACTTCAATGGAGAACTGGCACACATGTAGTGAAAGAGGTTGCATCCTTTACACACACTGTGGAGAACAGTGCAGAGACATCGTTTGAGGCAGCCCCTAGATAATGAGCTGATCGACAATGCATTTAACATTAAGCTTTCACTTCTAGAGACTATTTTTTTGGTGCGTTAAATGCCCGTTCCCTTGAGGTGGCATGTGCTAGAGAGAGCAAAAGCATAAACATAAAATTTCTGTTAAAGATTGGCACTGCATCTTTCAATTACACTTTCCATCGCTGCTGGGGGTTAGGTGAATCCTCAAATAAACGCAAATAAAATAATAGTTTAGATTCTTTTTGAGAGAAAGAGAAAGAGAGAGAGGTGGGGGGAAGGGGAATTCTCTAATCCTAAGTAAGTTAAAATCCTTGCCTTGATAGGAAAGTATTCAGAAAGAGGCTTGTCAAAGCCACCTGGCACACTGCAGTATTCTGTGGGGTAGATAAGTGTAGCAGAACGAAGAAGGTGGTGCAGTAGGTTACAAGACAGAATGTAACCCTGCTTACAGGTTAAATGGAGGGTTCGCTGTAGAATCTTCAAAAGCTGCTCCCTGTACGGCAGCAACTTCTTCCCATCCACACGAGTGATCTAGCCAAAGAGTTGAAACATCGGAAATTAAATATATCATCAACAAAATAGGAACGCGACACACAGGAACACAAGCTCTGGAAGAGAAAATCAATGCATCTTTTGCATTTTGAGTGCTGCAGCTACTCTAAATAGGACCCAGGTACCAACCCAGCCCCACCAAACGTGCCCGTTGCAAGTTTTACTTGATTTTTTTGGAGCCCTTTGAATCATAGAATCATAGAATCATAGAGTTGGAAGAGACCACAAGGGCCATCGAGTCCAACCCCCTGCCAAGCAGGAAACACCATCAGAGCACTCCTGACATATGGTTGTCAAGCCTCTGCTTAAAGACCTCCAAAGAAGGAGACTCCACCACACTCCTTGGCAGCAAATTCCACTGTCGAACAGCTCTTACTGTCAGGAAGTTCTTCCTAATGTTTAGGTGGAATCTTCTTTCTTTTAGTTTGGATCCATTGGATCCATTTGCTCTTAACTGAATCTGTGTGACTCTCAGGCACCCCCTTGCAGCACCTGGAACTGCTCTTGGAACTTGGCTTTTGCATTGCCCCAAGGATTTGACTTCAGACCCTGGCCAGACCTTGCCTTTTAGATTGCCCTCGTGAGTGAACTTAGGACTGCTAGCTTTGGCTAAAGCAGGACAACCCCACCTGCAAACTGCATATATGCTGTTTTGAGCATCTCGGTTTAACAGTTGGATATAAAGGTAAAGAAGAAGAATAAAGTGAATTTCCAAAGGAAATCCGTCGCAATGGGCTGAAGGAAAAGGGTGTGGCAATGAGAAGTTTTCATGTGCCATTACGTTCCCCACAGGATGAACATCTGGGAGCAATGCTGCAACTGCTGTGTTCCCACTTAAAGCACTGCAGCTGCAACCTTGATAGGGAAGCTTTTGTCTCCCCGCTCGTCCTTCAGGATAAAATAAGGATCTAGCTGTCACTGCTCAAAACAGGACAGCAGGCACTGCACTGGGGTAATTTGACACAACACCTTCCACTCTGTCTAGACAGTTTATTCTCAGTCACAATGCTCACAGGCTTCCCCCTGTGTATACATCACATAGAAGGTTCTGCATAGAAAAGCATTTATTTAAAAGTACTCGATTTTTTTACCGAAACTAAGTATGGATCAAGTACACAGTTGGAAAATAAAGCATTAAAAGCAGCATTCTCTACAATACCTCCGACAGAAGCTGAAGGTTCCAGAGGAGCTCTTTATCTAACTCTTCATCACGCAAGACATCATCATCTGGGGGGGAAAGCATCAAGTTATAATGTTATTCCACTTTTCATCAGCAATTTCTTATGGTCAACATAACAAGTTGTTGTTGCTGTTGTTTTAAAAAAAGCATATTCATGGCTTTTGCACAGGATGGAAAGAAGCCCACCAACAAATCACATAACAGAGATGTGATCCAAAGGCAACACGTGATGTGATGGTGGTTTAAGGGGATCTCTTGTAAAAATTATAGCTATGTTGTTGTTTAGTCATTTAGCCGTGTCCGGCTCTTCGTGACCCCATGGACCAGAGCACGCCAGGCACTCCTGCCTTCCACTGCCTCCTGCAGTGGGTTATACTCCTTGAATCAATGTTTTTGAACAAGCTAGAAACACTGGAAAGCACTAAATTTGTGATTATTATTTTTGTACAGTTAAGTCAATGAAGGCTGATGTGATCTGTGATTTGATTTGCCAGAGTGTGTGCAGAAACCCCCTCACAAATCTTCAAAAGGACCCATTTTACTGGATCCGGCATGTGTAGTCACTTTCTCTCTGGCATACAAGCAATTCCTTTTCTGACTTCGGCAACACCACACTTCCAACGCCTCATCCCACCCACCCCGGTTTTCCTTTCCCCTGTCTCCCAGATCCCTTTCCCTCCCTACTTTCTCAGTCTGCTTAGGTACTGATCCGAGCCTAGAAAAGCAGAAGAATGAGTGTTGGCTTCTGCCCCAACTTCCTCCTCCAGCAAAATGAACTTTCTGCGGTGAGGGGAAGAGGTAGCCACACTCATTGCCTCATAACAAAGAGGACAGCGACAGGATTCACAGAAATCAGGTGAAGTCCTCAAGGCCACCACTGTGCCTGCAGGCACGACAATGGCAACTCAAACCTTAGAAACTGAACAAACCCAGTTAAATGCACCCTTTCCTGCTCTCAGTTGTCTTCCATAATAGCACTCAGCTGAAGCATTAGTCATTAGACAAAAGCTGATAAAACTAATAAAAACTGCACAACTGACCTGGTGGAAACCCTTACACATGTGGTTCTCAATTGTAAACTATATGCTGATCTCCGCCAGCAATTTCTAGATCAACTCTGTATCCTCAAATGGAAACCAGAGTCAGAGGTCATGCATTTTCTATTACTGGGGAATGATCAGGAGCTCACCAAGTTAGTGGCGAAATATCTCTATTTGGTTTTTTGTCGTCGAAATACACTGCAGACGTCTGATCTCCCAGGAGACCATGAGATGTGACGACAGACTGCTCTGCCTCATTACTTTTAGCAAATGTTTTGTGCCACTGGGGAAGTGGTAATTCTGTATTGATTTGTTTTGGATGTTGTATGTGATGCCAATAAAAGGGTTAATAATAATAATAATAATAACAATAATAGTAAAAAACAAAATACAAAATAGTGCCAGCACTTCAGGGGCTTAAATGCTCTAAGGCTGTTGCTGGCAAAGCTCATGGTTGTTTTGGGCAAAGACTCTGTGTGGATAGCTTTGGTTTTAATTGGTGTACTGAAGTCTCTCTTTCCTACAAAGCCCCCTAACAGATGCATTCCCGCCCCCGCCCCCATTAGGTTGAATCTCCCTCTTCCACTGCCCAGAAGGCGGGTGGAGTGGGGGGAATGAGAACTTTAAAAAGGTGGGAGACTAAGGACTACTCAAAAACTGTTGCTTATGAATGCAACAAACATGTGCTCACGTCTACATGTAACACACAAGTACACTTGCCCTGGGACCAAGATTGGCTTGCAACTCTCTGTCAAAGGTATACTTGGTTGTAATGCCAGGTTTGCCTGGCTTTCAAAGCACTTGTGTCTAACGTGTTTCCTACTGTGTATTAAGGCGTAAAAAGGTAAAGGACCCCTGGACGGTTAAGTCCAGTCAAAGGAAACTACAGGGTTGTGGCGCTCATCTCGCTTTCAGGCCGAGGGAGCCCGTGTTTGTCCACAGACAGCTTCCCGGGTCATGTGGCCAGCATGACTAAACTGCTTCCGATGCAACGGGATGCCGTGATGGAATGGGTACATGAATTAAGGAACTGGGAACGGCTACAGCTTTCTCCAGCATATAAACTGAGTGACAAACACATTTGCTGCCATGTGGTGCACACACGACAGGAGCGCTGTGAAGCAAAGATAAGGGTTCGAGGCAAGAAGTGCGGAACAGCTTATCCGAATCTCTTCCTTGCCCAGATGCTGCTTTGAAACTGAAACAAATGAAGTGCGTCGAAAGAGCAGGTCCCAACCATGCTCCCTTTGCAAGCCAGTAAGGCAGGACCAGGAAGCAGCATCCAATAATCTGCTACCGTAAAATAAAAAAAAGGCGTGAGAACCCTTTTTTGGCTTTAGCTACAGTCATACTCAGCTAATCTTCTGGAATTACAGTAGTTTGGTATTTATTTGAGAGTCCCATGGACTGCAAGAAGATCAAACCTCTCCATTCTGAAGGAAATCAGCCCTGAGTGCTCACTGGAAGGACAGATCCTGAAGCTGAGGCTCCAGTACTTTGGCCACCTCATGAGAAGAGAAGACTCCCTGGAAAAGACCCTGATGTTGGGAAAGATGGAGGGCACAAGGAGAAGGGGATGACAGAGGACGAGATGGTTGGACATTGTTCTTGAAGCTACGAACGTGAGTTTGACCAAACTGCGGGAGGCAGTGGAAGACAGGAGGGCCTGGCGTGCTCTAGTCCATGGGGTCACGAAGAGTCGGACACGACTAAACAACTAAACAACAACAACAAAGTATTTATTTGATTTATATACTGCCCTTCATCACTAGATCCCAGGGAAGTTAGGAAGGAATTGCACATGAAAACATTACGTAAATGTTGCCAGAGTGCAGGTGTGGTTAGAGTGCTGGATTTGAAATGGGGAGATCTATGTTAAAAATCCCAGTGGGTCACCTGGATCACTGGGTGAGCACGGGCCACTGGAGATTTCGAATCCTCACCTGCTTACAACAGGGGTTGTCGTGATAATAAAAATAGCAGGTGGAGCCATGTATGTTGCCCTGAGCAGCTTGGGAAAACAGTGAAATATAAACATGCAAAATATCCTCCAGATAGCAGTAATTAATAAACAAACAAACAAACAAACCACATTATAAACAGGCAAACACACACAGTCAAACACAAGCCAGTCACAAAACAATGTAAAATCATTGACACTTACTGAGAGTAAGATGTGTTATAACACTGCAGCAATGGGGTACAAAGAGCTTCAAAGACTCCTCAGGACAGCACTGAAATGTCACAAAGAATCAAGTTCTACATTAAGATCTCTTTGCAAGCATGGAAATTTGTATGCTTTAAAGATAATGAGCATCCTACAGCAATAATTAGAAATCTGCCTCTGATTACTGGCCTTGATTCTGGAAGGCATGAATGGCTGGGTAAGATAATGTGCAATTTAAGGCCCACAAGCACAGATAGAACTGGCAAATATTCCAGGGCCAGCAAAAACAGAGCAGCTAAGGTTACTCCTTGGTTTGCATCTCAACCAAGAAAGGCTGAAAGGAGGGAAAGAATAAGGTCTCACTTTCACGGCAGCTCGGCACATGTCAGCCACCATCCGTCCTGCTACTCTCGTCTCAAATATATTCGAAACGGCAAAATTGAAAACCTTCTCCAAGGCAACCTAAGAGAAACACACAAAAGAAAAAGTGCAATTCAATCATCCAGGTAGGAAACATCGTTTTATAGGCAGATAGATATATATTCTGATTTAAATATATAATTGATGGCACTCTCACAATGCAGGCAGAGGTGCTACGTGGAATCCACTGTAAGTTCAGTCTCCATCATGATGAGAAAACCAGAAAGGAATAAGGAAACCAAGTGGTCACCAACGCCATGTGGCAAACCACTTTTGGCAAGGGCATCGCAAGTCAAACACTTAATGTGATAGTTCTGCTCTTGTATAATATACAAGGAACATGCAGCTCCTGGTTCCTTGGGGCAGCAGCACAGTGCTAGAAAGGCAGGATATATGACTAAGGGAGACACAATAGTTATTCTCTGGGCATGCCACTTTCACCTACTGCCTCCTCCACAGATTGACCACCCATGATTAAAAGAAACGTGCTGGTAATAGGTCTGTGAAGAATCCAGGGATATGGAGACAGCTTAGGCAAGTCCAGCAGGTGACTTAGGTAAGTCACCCACCCTTCAGAATACCATGGAGTCCATCAGCTTTAGCAGATAGGAAAGAATAATAAAAGCTTGCTTAAGCACCATTTGATTTCCTAAGGCAGAACACAGGAGTCATGTACATATTGATGAAGCTGCTTATTAAGGAGCTAAAAGATACATGAAGAAGGCCTATGCCCTCGGGGGGGGGGGATAAAGAAAATACAACGCATTTAATTTTAAGTCTGGTGTTGTCTTAAAGCAAGCTACAGTGTGATTTTCCCCTTACATTCTAGCACAGGGGTCAGTAAACTTTTTCAGCAGGGGGCCGGTCCACTGTCCCTCAAACCTTGTGGGGAGCAGGACTATATTTTTGGGGGGGGAAATGAACCAATTCCTATATGCATCCAGAGATGCATTTTAAATAAAAGCACACCTTCTACTCATGTAAAAACATGCTGATTCCTGGACCGTCCGTAGGCTGGATTTAGAAAGCGATTGGGCCAGATCCGGCCCCCGGACCTTAGTTTGCCTACCCATGTTCTAGATGTTATTTAAGTCAGAAGGAAGCAAGCATTTCCTTGTTCTAGTTTCCACTAAGGTGATAATCCTGTGTCCGGGTTATACCACTTCAGATTGCAGGTGAGAGCTCAAATGGATGCATTTCCTCCATACAAAAACATGGCCTCCACACCCGAAACGGAGAATCTCACAAAGGAAGAAGGTTCTATAGCCCAGGTGCAGGTTTATCACCTTAATGGAACTAGGTCCTTAACATCAAGCTTCAAAAGAAACAAAAAAAGTCATGGAGCTGTGACATCACAAAGTCCACTCTTGGCATAGAAAACAACATCAGCACAGATCTGAAGAACTATGCTATTAATTCTGAATGTCAAAGGGGGCTTTTGGCTTGTATGTCTCAAATAGTCATTCTCCTTCCATGCTGCTTGGCATGCCTCTTTTTAAACTGACACATGTTTCAGAAGTAGTTTGCGGTACAGTATGAGGTTGTGCCATTTTAAATAGCGAAGTAACCCACCCTCTGTCCCCAACTAAGCATGTCCAAGTAGATCTTGGGAACCCATATTGTATATTCTGCTTTAATTGTGTGCTACAATTTTACAGTGCTTTATGATTGCAGGTTAAGCAAATGAACATCTACACTGGCCTTTTAATGTACTTCCTTCCCTAAACACAGAACAGGGAAACCATCTACAGTTCCACAAGCTTTTGTTTTACAAAAAAAAGTGAGGCAAAGAAGTTGAACACTCTTCCAACTCTTGGTGACACATACCTTAAATATCTCTTTCGAACACTGTGTGAGAATTGTGCTGAAAGTTGAGGACAAGCCTAATTCCACTAAACTCTCCAAATGAGTCATTTTTTCTGTCTCAGTCTCTTCTCTTGTTTGCTCCAGTGTGCTGCTTTCTATGAGCGCAAAACACCTGCACAATAAAAAGTCAAAGAAAAAATATTAAGATTTTGTTTTGTTTTTACCATCACTGATGCCTCTCCACACACTGTCTGCATAATAGGTTTGCCTGGCTTGTAAGGTCAGTGCTTGATTCATCTTCAAAGAAATCTAAAAATCAAGGAAGCAGAAGAAATCTGCCACAAGAAAAGACAGGAGTGTCTACTGGGCTAAAGAAGCACAGAAGTATCGTGCTTTTGGCTGCAGGCTTCAAAGTGCGCAGTGCCAAATCAGAAAACTGAGGGGGAAGGGAAGAGCTGAACAGCCACTCATTTTGCAAACAGCCCTGGAGAAAGGCACTGGGATGCTGTAGCAAGATATATCCAAACTCATGGCTTTTGCTGTTGCAGTTCTGCCACTTGAGCTCCCTGCCTCTCTCCATACCTTGCTGGTTCTACACCTGCAATCCCCTTCATAAGAACATTCATGCACCGCAATCAACACTCTCCCCCTCTCTTCACAAGTACCAGCCTAAAGAACAAGCAGTCTGTGAATCCTTCAACTTATCATTTCCCCCAATTTTTAAAATATGGTTTAAAATGTTTAATCTTAAACATACATCATGCGGGTGGCGCTGTGGGTTAAACCACAGAGCCTAGGACTTGCCAATCAGAAGGTCGGCGGTTCAAATCCCCGCAACGGGGTGAGCTCCCGTTGCTCGGTCCCTGCTCCTGCCAACCTAGCAGTTCGAAAGCATGGCAAAGTGCGAGTAGATAAATAGGTACCGCTCTGGCGGGAAGGTAAAAGGCATTTCCATGCGCTGCTCTGGTTCGCCAGAAGCGGCTTAGTTATGCTGGCCACATGAGCTGGAAGCTGTAAGCCGGCTCCCTCGGCCAATAAAGCGAGATGAGCTTCGCAACCCCAGAGTCGACCACGACTGGACCTAATGGTCAGGGGTCCCTTTATCTTTACTCTGTATGTAGCCAGGTACTATTAAAAGCATTTATGTATTCATCTGCCCTGTCACCAATAGAGTTGGGAACATAAATTAGGAGAAAACATCCGATGGGCAAGACTAAGTTGAGAAACACTTGGAAAGCCAGCAGGGCAGTTATCACATCACCAGTATACTGTCTTCCACCACAACTTGCCTGTCCATAAACTGCAGTACAAAATCTTCAAATTCAGCAGTAGCAGAGCACAGTTCTCTCTCCACCTATGATGTCAGGGCACAACAGGAAATAAAATACTTTAGTTTCCAGTCCTTCCAAACTATGATACACTTTCCAGGAAGCTGCTAGAAACCTGAGAATGATTTTACATATCCCTTTTAGTTTAGCTAGGCCATAGACTCAGACGAGAACAGAACCATCAAAATACAGTATTATGAAATTATTATTTTCTCCAAAAAATCATTATACCGTCTTCTAAACATTCTGCCCCTCAGTTACCCAAGCCACAATCCTCATTCTTGACAAACAGGTTAAAACTCCAAATCCTGGGATCAGAATTGAAAAACTGTACAAAACCAAAAACTTTCATTTGCAAATTTGGGCCATATATGTAATTTGATTCTTCGAGGTGCAAAGCATATTTTTTGCTTGTGAAATATAGACAAAAGAATATTATTTCCCCTTTCCTGAAATGGGCTTTGACTTATACAAACATCTTTTTCCCTCTCGTATTTACACTTTAACATCTTTTTAAACAGTTCAACATGCAATAGCTTCTTACACTTAAAAAAAGGATATTTTAGCCAAGAGCTTCTTACACTAAAGAACACTAGAAACAGCATATATTAGCCATTTAACATCTTACCTCTGTGAGGTTATTTCTCTCTCGTAGTGCAGATGAACAATCTACTAAAGGCACAAGAGTGGAAAACGTTGCAATAAACTGGAATGTGATCTATTGGAAGATGCAAAGGAAGTTTCAGTGTGAATCACTTATACTGAAAGACAGCATGTTTGTTTTTTGAACTGTAATGTGAAAAACTGAAATAGGCGGTAAGGCAAACCCTTGTATCAGGGTTGGGTCAAAACGTCTGCCCACGCATCCTAAACCTCATGTGTGAGGTAACATGCCTCGCACCACAATAAGTGAATGCTTACTTTGAATTCCTGCTGCCTTATACCACAATTCCTTTTCAAGGTAAATGAGCACAAAAGCTGCACATATGAGAACAAAGGATGAGTATGGGATCCCCCGATTTCAAATGTCCAGATCAAACAAGAGGGTTGCAAGATGAATTACAAAAAGATGTCTGGCACAATGTCTTATTACGTTGAATATTTTGTAGGAACCGCACTCTGTTCATATTTGTGTGTATTAGTTTAAATTTCCAGAGTCTTTTAAACACTTGCTTGGTATAACACATGGAACATGCCTGGGCAAGTAATTTATCACCTTTCATTATATAGATTTACTTTACACATTTATATTTTATACATGTGGTAGTCCCACCCCCTGCACTACCAAAAATAAAATAAAATGTGGTAGTCCCTTGCTATAGCTGCCCACTAGGTATCATTTTTCTTCCTTGTTCTCCATATCCTGAACAACCACTTTTTATAATTTCTTTCCAACAATGTTAAAAACACTTAGGCAGAGTGGATAGGTAAGGGAAAACAAAGCCACCAGAGAGTTATGGATTCTTTTATAGTTTTATTACATTACAATACAAGCCACCAAACTGCACTCATTTGGGCACTGCTGTGTGAGCTGTGCCTTTCACCCCTAGAACGGAGCTGGTCAGGGGTCCTTACAAGGGGGAGAAGTGGGAGCCTGGAAACAGGGGGGGGGGGTTGAAATATGACAACAGGACACATGGGGGCAGGGCAATGAAACTGCGGAAAAATCTGACTGTGCCGTAACCGTACGTGGAAGAGAGTTTACTCACCATGCATTTGCTAAAGTCGTTTGGATCCACACCAGGCAACGCTCTCATCAGCAGAGGCAACATGTGCGTTGGACCTTCGGGAAATGACTGGCCCCCAGATACCAGGCTACGAGCTACTCCAATTACACAGCTTAAAGTGGCTGTGAGTTGGTGAGGTTCTGTTAAAGTCTCCAGTGCAGGGTATGTTCTATGCATTTTTGTGGAAGAGAAAAATTACCATTAGATGAGCTCCCTTCTATGGTGACGGAGTGCATCAATGAAATAATTGTTTGCATTTCTACTCATGAAGGGATATAGGGAGGACGCGGGCGGCGATGTGGGTTAAACCACAGAGCCCAGGACTTGCTGATCAGAAGGTCAGCGGTTCGAATCCCCACGACGGGGTGAGCTCCCGTTGCTCGGTCCCTGCTCCTGCCAACCTAGCAGTTCGAAAGCATGTCAAAGTGCAAGTAGATAAATAGGTACCACTCCGGCAGGAAGGTAAACAGCGTTTCCGTGCACTGCTCTAGTTGGCCAGAAGCGGCTTAGTCATGCTGGCCACATGACCCGGAAGCTGTTCGCCGGCTTACTTGGCCAATAAAGCAAGATGAGCGCCGCAACCCCAGAGTTGGCCACAACTGGACCTAATGGTCAGGGGTCCTTTACCTTTACCTTTAGTGATATAGGGAGCTACCTTATACAGTCCGCTGGGTCCATCTAGCTATGTATGAACTATAATAACTGCCATTAGCTCTCCAGAGTTTCAGAAAGGGGGCATTCCCAGCCCTACCTGGAGATGATGAGGATCAAGGCTAGGACTTTCCAAATTCAAAGGAGTTTCTCTACCAATGCACTATGGCCCTCAACTACACCTGAACTAAATATATGGCCCATATGCAGAATGTGCAAAATAAGTTCTCAACCAGGCAGCTTTGTATGTTAGAACCAAGGGTCATTCAATAAAGCTGGAAGGTGGGAGGATTGTGACAGACAAAAGGGAAATAACTTCTCCACAAAGCACAACTTTAGAGACAACTTTAAAGATGATTAGATGGGCTCATGAAGGACAAGGCTATCATCAGCTACTAGCCATGATGACTTTACAGTGGTACCTTGGGTTAAGAACGTAATTTGTTCTGGAGGTCCGTCCTTAACCTGAAACGGTTCTTAACCTGAGATACCACTTTAGCTAATGGGGCCTCCCACTGCCGCGGCTGTGTGATTTCTGTTCTCTCCCTGAAGCAAAGTTATTAACCCGAGGTACTACTTCCGGGTTAGCAGAATCTGTAACCTGAAGCGTATGTAACCCGAGGTACCACTGTATAAGCAAGGGTAGTCAACGCAGCACCCGACAAGAGACACACGCACTCCCTGGTGCCCAAAGCATCCCCTCCCCTCACACTGAAAGGGGAGGCTTCAACATTAGCCTTGAAAAAAAAAGCATTCTACGGTAGCCAGCAGGTATGTGCATGGTGTCCACAACGGCTTGTCCAGTTTACGAACGTAAACCCGCAAGCCCAAGAACGTTGGTGACCTCTGCTGCGTAAGCTCTCCAGGATCAGATGCTGGAGATCAAGAGTGGGAGCGGACTATTGCCCCCCCCCCCATGTCCTGCTGGTGGGCTTCCCAGAGGGATCTGGTTGACCATTGCAGAAAACAGAATGATGGACAAGGTAGGCCTTTGGTCTCAACCAGTCTGGCTGTATGCACTTGACATCTTAGTGCTCCACATTGGAAAATAAGACATTAAACTATTTTCACCTGCAGGAGCTCTAATCAGATGTATATTTTTATAACAAAACAAAAAAATCCTTCCAGTAGCACCTTAGAGACCAACTAAGTTTGTTATTGGTATGAGCTTTTGTGTGCATGCACATGCATACAAAAGGTCATAACAATAACAAACTTAGTTGGTCTCTAAGGTGCTAATGGAAGGAATTTTTTTATTTTGTTTCGACTAAGGCAGACCAACACAGCTAGCTACCTGTATATTTTTATACAGTAGTTTGTCTAGATGAAATATAGACACTGAATTTCAAACAAACCCTGTGTGGGCTATGTAAAATAACATTGAATATCAGCAAAATGAAGTTGCATTGCGCTTCTTCCTACTTGGGACCACATGAAAAAACCTATGGCGGGAAATGCTTAATATTGTTCAAATTTGCAGCCGATCCTCTGTTTTGTGGCAATTATAAACTGCCACATTTGAATGGCAGTATTATAATTTTTTTAAATAAATCCATAAAACGGAAGAGAGGCAAGAGGAATGCATCATGCATCTCAACAGAAGTCCAATGTTCCCTTGCCAAATTTGCCAAGTTTTTCAGCTGCAGAAAGGACGCAACACTTTTCTTGGCCATCTAAAACACAGACGCTAAACCACTTTTTGCCAATCCTATTTGGACTCACTTTTCAAGTACTGGTGGGATTACCAACTCAGGGCGCATCAGTGCGAGATTCTGCAGAGCTTGGGCTGCTTCTAGGCTTCCAGTTTTGCTGAACATTGCTAAAAGAACAGGCTGAATAATACATTCTACAAAGTCTGTTATATCCTGGTCGGTGAGTTTATGGCTGTCAGGCACAGGAGTAAGCCAAGTCGTCTTCTTGTAACGCTCACGATGCAATCTTCTGACAACGCTACTGGGTAGCCGCTGAAGCAGCTTCATTAGCTTGTTCTACCACCATACAGAAAAGACAAGAGAATCAATTTCAGTGACACAGCAGTAAGAAGAGCTACAAAAGCTATTATGCCTTCTCTACACTTAAGTGCATTAAAAATCAGTCAATTTCTGGGCAATTTGTCAAGAAGCCTAATTTATCCTATTCCCTTAAAATATATATCCAGGGCCTATTTGGACATTCAAATTATTTTCCATGCAATATGGCCAGATTATCCTTGAGAGACAATTGAGCTGAGAGTGTAACTTGTAGCCAAGCTGGATAGATGCAGCCAGAGCTACTTGGAAACAATGTATGTGAATAAAGTGGTTAAAAGTTTTGTATTTTTGGGAGTCAACGACCACACCTTTCATTTTCCACCAAGATGGTGGTGTTCAACTAAGTTTTATTCCCATTAGAACCCCTGCAATTAAGGAACTCAACTCAGTCATGTTCATTAATTTGAATGGGCCTTCTCTAAATAAATCCTAGTTGAATACCACCCAGTATTTTCAACGTCTGACTCAATGTAAAAGCAGGTTTAGACAAAACTGGTGTGCAGCTATACTAGTACAATTAAATAAGATGGCCTAGTCAGAATACAATGCAACAGTAGCTGAAGAAAATGAAGAGAACTAAGATTCCACTCCAAGACAAACACTGAAGTGCTTGATGTCAAGATCAGAAATAAATGTATATATACACATAAATCCTTACCAACCAGCGGCCGTTATTTGAGGGATGGTAAAAAGAGGCAATGCTTTTGAATAACCCAGACAAGTGCTTCTGTACAAGCTTGCTTGGTCCACCCTGTCCAGAAACAAAGATAAACCAAGTTATTTGATACAACTTCAAAGAACACGAACAGGGCCAAAATGCAGTTATAAACCACTCAAATTTTAATGGGCCCCAAGATAAAGGATTAATAAAGGGTTAGAGTCGCAACATGTTCTTTTCAGTAGCAGGGAACATACTGAGGTGGAAAGCCAAACCCAGCACAAAATATTTATAACGTTTGACAATCACGTGTAGGGGAAACCAACCTTCTCAGTTATCTAAACTGTGCCCTCAAAAGGTTTCCAAAATATGAACTACAGAAGTTCCAACTTCCAAAATGGAAGGCTGGAATTTACAGGTTCACTGTGGGGCAGCTAGCACCAAAACCCACACAAAACAGATGTAATGTACTGTATGTAGTTTTCCTGTTAATTCACCCCCTAAAAACAAGTATCTGACCTATCTGTCCAGTACTAGTTAAAACAAATTCAAAAACATTCTCATACTAGTTTATAATTCAGAGGATCTGAAGGAGAAACTTCCTTTTTCTAGTTCAAATCAGAAAACTTCATTTTGATCTGACTCCATTTTGTATCACACTGGTGTATGAACTCTTAACTAACCCTTCCTAGTAGGGAAAAAATTGTTCTTTGGTAGGAACGATGAGAAACCGGTGTCCTGGTACATTGACAGAATGTATCATTAATCTCTGAAGACAATAACCATAGCAACAACTGAAGGAATGCTAGGAGATCAGCTAGGTGGAACGATGGCATTTAATCTTGAAGTCAATTGAAAAATGGATATATTAATCAAACATAAATGAAAGAGGAAGCTAGCAGACAGCCTATCTTCTGCTGTGCCTTGGCCTTGGCCCAGTATATCTGAAGGAGCGTCTCCACCCCCATCGTTCTACCCGGACACTGAGGTCCAGCACTGAGGGCCTTCTGGCGGTTCCCTCACTGCGAGAAGCCAAGTTACAGGGAACCAGGCAGAGGGCCTTCTCGGTAGTGGCGCCTTCCCTGTGGAACACCCTCCCACCAGATGTCAAAGAGAACAACAACTACCAGGCTTTTAGAAGACATCTGAAGGCAGCCCTGTTTCGGGAAGCTTTTAATGTTTGATGTATTATAGTATTTTAATATTCTTTTGGAAGCCGCCCAGAGTGGCCGGGGAAGCCCAGCCCGATGGGCGGGGTATAAATAATATATTATTATTATTATTATTATTATTATTATTATTATTATTATTATTATGTGCTGATAACCTCTAGGTTCGATTACTGCAGCAAATTATATGTGGGTTTGCCTCTGAAGAGTTCAGAAACTTCAGCTGGTGCAAAATTCAGCAGCCAACTTGCTCATGTAACACCAATCCTGGCACTTTAAGTATATAACACCAATCGTGGCCCAACTTCACTGACTGCCAATTAGTTTCTGGGTCAATACAAAGTGCTGGTTCTGACCTATAAAGCCTTAAATGGCTCACCAAAGCAATACTTTAAGAACCACCTCTCTTCATATGAACCAACCCAGACCCTGCAATCATCATCTAAGTCCCTTCATTGTGTCTCCCTCCACAAGGTCCACAAGGTGGAACGTTCTCCCCAGAGAGGCTCCCCTGATGCCTTCATTAGATATCTTTAAGAGCCAGTCAAAAACATTATGCCTCTCCCAGGACTTTGGCTAATTAAACAACTTATGGCCTTTTAAACTCCAGGGGGAGGGGTTCTTTTTTTTTGTTATTATGTTACATATTTTTGCTTTTTTAATATCATAACCCACCCTGCATTCCTCAGACAAAGGGCAGTATGGAAATTTAATAAATAAAGAATAGGATAAGTAGTCAAAAGTTAATAATGAAAGACACTGATGAATCACATGTAATCACATATTATTGTAATGAAAGGTTGGGGAGGCACAGGCAGAGGAGCCATAGATTTCTGATGGGCTTAAGTTTCACGAAGTGGGTTGTAACTGCTATAGAATGTTTCGTTGTAATCGTATGACTGACTAACAGTAGCACCGAAGTGTATAAAATTACATCACGTTGCAGTCTTCCTGTAATTTTTGTGTGTGCTTGTAGCAATAAAAGCCTAGTTTTTACTTCAAGCCTGTGACTGTTTGGCATTCCATTGGGGACCCCCTTCAAACAGACCCCTAGGAATCTCTCTGTCAGATCAGCTGTGAGAGCGCTACTTTTTAAACACACAAGCATCCAGAGAGCAACGGATATGCTCTCATAATCTACAACAGAGATCTGTGAAGCTACCTGACACCTCGCCAACATCAGATTAAGCAGTTTTATCTGACCCCAGCAGCCCTGCCAAACTGATTTATAAACCAGTATGTGATTAAGAGGTTTGTGGTGTAGTGGTTAAGAGCGGTAGTCTCGTAATCTGGGGAACCGGGTTCGCTTCCCCGCTCCTCCACATGCAGCTGCTGGGTGACCTTGGGCCAGTCACGCTTCTTTGAAGTCTCTCAGCCCCACTCACCCCACAGAGTGTTTGTTGTGGGGGAAGAAGGGAAAGGAGAATGTTAGCCGCTTTGAGACTCCTGATGGGGAGTGAAAGGCGGGATATCAAATCCAAACTCTTCTTCTCTTCTTTCACTCATAAAGGAAAAGGTTGTTTTCAGGAGTGAGATAAATCCCACGTGTCTCTTGGGGCTTTTTTGAGGTCCTGGGCAAACCAGAGGACATGATGCCTCCTGGGATGCTTCCGGCTACATGGTCATGGCTTAATTACTGAGTATGATCACCTACGTAGTAAGAGCCCAGGACAGAATGCTCTCCCTTAAGAAGCTACCCACACCAGCTCTTGGTTATGTAGCACAACTTTATTTATTCCCAAGCTTGTGGGCAGCCAAAATATTTATCTTCATAAAGGTGAAGGTAAAGGTACCCCTGCCCGTACGGGCCAGTCTTGACAGACTCTAGGGTTGTGCGCTCATCTCACTCTACAGGCCGGGAGCCAGCGCTGTCCGCAGACACTTCCGGGTCACGTGGCCAGCGTGACAAGCTGCATCTGGTGAGCCAGCGCAGCACACGGAACGCCGTTTACCTTCCCGCTGGTAAGCGGTCCCTATTTATCTACTTGCACCCGGGGGTCCTTTCGAACTGCTAGGTTGGCAGGCGCTGGGACCGAACGACGGGAGCGCACCCCGCCGCGGGGATTCGAACCGCCGACCATACAATCGGCAAGTCCTAGAATCATAGAATCATAGAATCATAGAATCATAGAATCATAGAGTTGGAAGAGACCACAAGGGCCATCGAGTCCAACCCCCTGCCAGGCAGGAAACACCATCAGAGCACTCCTGACATATGGTTGTCAAGCCTCTGCTTAAAGACCTCCAAAGAAGGAGACTCCACCACACTCCTTGGCAGCAAATTCCACTGTCGAACAGCTCTTACTGTCAGGAAGTTCTTCCTAATGTTTAGGTGGAATCTTCTTTCTTGTAGTTTGGATCCATTGCTCCGTGTCCGCTTCTCTGGAGCAGCAGAAAACAACCTTTCTCCCTCCTCTATGTGACATCCTTTTATATATTTGAACATGGCTATCATATCACCCCTTAACCTCCTCTTCTCCAGGCTAAACATGCCCAGCTCTCTTAGCCGTTCCTCATAAGGCATCGTTTCCAGGCCTTTGACCATTTTGGTTGCCCTCCTCTGGACACGTTCCAGTTTGTCAATGTCCTTCTTGAACTGTGGTGCCCAGAACTGGACACAGTACTCCAGGTGAGGTCTGACCAGAGCAGAATACAGTGGCACTATTACTTCCCTTGATCTAGATGCTATACTCCTATTGATGCAGCCCAGAATTGCATTGGCTTTTTTAGCTGCCGCGTCACACTGTTGGCTCATGTCAAGTTTGTGGTCAACCAAGACTCCTAGATCCTTTTCACATGTACTGCTCTCAAGCCAGGTGTCCCCATCTTGTATTTGTGCCTCTCATTTTTTTGCGCAAGTGCAATACTTTACATTTCTCCCTGTTAAAATTCATCTTGTTTGTTTTGGCCCAGTTCTCTAATCTGTCAAGGTCGTTTTGAAGTGTGATCCTGTCCTCTGGGGTGTTAGCCACCCCTCCCAGTTTGGTGTCATCTGCAAATTTGATCAGGATGCCCTTGAGTCCATCATCCAAGTCGTTGATAAAGATGTTGAATAAGACCGGGCCCAAGACAGAACCCTGTGGCACCCCACTAGTCACTCTTCTCCAGGATGAAGAGGAACCATTGATGAGCACCCTTTGGGTTCGGTCAGTCAGCCAGTTACAAATCCACTGAGTGGTAGCATAGTCAAGACCACATTTTACCAGCTTCTTTACAAGAATATCATGAGGCACCTTGTCAAATGCCTTGCTGAAATCAAGGTAGGCTACATCCACTGCGTTCCCTTCATCTACCAGGCTTGTAATTCTGTCAAAAAATGAGATCAGGTTAGTCTGACATGACTTATTTTTCAGAAATCCATGCTGACTATTGGTGATCACAGCATTCCTTTCTAGGTGCTCACAGACTGTTTGCTTAATGATCTGCTCCAGAATCTTCCCTGGTATTGATGTCAGACTGACTGGGCGGTAATTATTTGGGTCCTCTCTTTTCCCCTTTTTGAAAATAGGGACAACATTTGCCCTCCTCCAGTCTGCCGGGACTTCGCCTGTTCTCCAGGAATTCTCAAAGATGACTGCCAGTGGTTCTGAGATCACATCTGCCAGTTCTTTTAATACTCTTGGATGCAGTTCATCTGGCCCTGGAGACTTGAATACATCTAAACTAGCCAAGTATTCTTGTACTATCTCCTTAGTTATTCTGGGCTGTGTTTCCTTTGCTGAATCATTTGCTCCAAATTCTTCAGGTCGGGCATTGTTTTCTTTATCGGAGAAGACTGAGGCAAAGAAGGCATTGAGGAGTTCAGCTCTTTCTGTGTCCCCTGTTTGCATTTCACCATCTTCTCCTCTGAGTGACCCCACTGTTTCTTTGTTCTTCCTTTTGCTACGGACATACCCATAAAAGCCTTTTTGTTGCTTTTAACCTCTCTAGCAAGCCTGAGTTCATTCTGTGCTTTAGCTTTTCTGACTTTGTGTCTACACGTGCTGGCTATTTGTTTGAATTCCTCTTTGGTGGTTTCCCCCCTTTTCCATTTTTTGTACACATCCTTTTTAATCTTAACTCAGTTAAAAGTTCTTTAGATAGCCACCCTGGCTTCTTTAGGCACCTTCCATGTTTCTGTCTCATTGGTATTGCCTGACGTTGTGCTTTTAGTATCTCCCTCTTAACAAACTCCCAGCCATCATGAACTCCCTTTCCTTTTAGTATTACTGTCCATGGGATCTCACCCAGCACTTCCCTAAGTTTTATGAAGTCGGCTTTCTTAAAGTCAAGAAATTGAGTCCTAGTATGCTTGGCTGCTCCTTTCCGCTGTATAGTAAACTTCAGAAGAGCATGATCACTCGCGCCTAATGATCCTTCCACTTCTACCCCACTAACCAGGTCATCAACATTGGTTAGGACCAGATCTAAAATGGCTGTTCCTCTTGTTGCTTCTCCCACTTTCTGGACAATGAAGTTGTCTGCAAGGCCAGTGAGGAATCTGTTTGACCTTATGCTCTTGGCTGAGTTTGACATCCAACAAATATCCGGGTAATTGAAGTCCCCATTACTACTATCTCCCTTCCTTTTGCATGCTTGGCCATCTGTTCCAGGAAGGCATCATCTATGTCCTCTGTTTGGCTTGGGGATCTATAGTAAACTCCCACAATGAGGTCACTGTTATTCTTCTCTCCCTTAATTTTGACCCAAATGCTCTCACTTTAGCTTTGAGGTTCTAAATCTTGGATCTCTTCACAGGTATACACATCCCTGACATATAACGCCACTCCTCCTCCTTTCTTGTCTGGTCTGTTTCTCTGAAATAGATTGTATCCCCCCATTATTACATTCCAATCGTGGGTTTTACCCACATCGCCACCCGCGTCCCAAGCTTGTTTATTCCCAAGCTTGTGGGCAGCCAAAATATTTATCATCATAAACCTGCTTAAATACCAGTGTTTGGCTAACTGGGGAGAGGGAGGGAAGGTGTAGAGAAAATTAAAGGGTCCTACCATCATGGCTGTAATCCACATGACTGCATGCCCAATGTCATATGCATTTGTTAGGAATCGTGGCACTAACACTTGGTTGCTTCCCACTGGAAGATTCAAACTTCGCAGTATTCTGGTAAATATCTGTAGAAAAAGTAATTCCACAATCGAATAACCGAAATGCATTATAAACGGTGTTTGGTATTTCTTACAGTGTGTAAGAAAAGTTGCATAGCACTAGCACAGTGCTTTCAGAATAGATCCTGGAAAACTTTCAGGTAAGTAAGTGTCTGCAACTTCATTTCAACAGAACAATCTTTTGTCCACCTGAGCCATCTTGAGATCTCCCTCAATTTATGTACCATTTGCTATTGCACAGAAAGTCCACATCTCTACAAATTGGTTTGGAATTTCTCACTGCTGCATCCCTTGCTAGCATCCGCAAAGCATCTGCTTATGAGTTGCTAAAAAAAATTAAGTCCCGCCGTGCCTCCAGAAATTATCATTGCAAGTCAGTCAACTAAAGCTAAGCAAAAACCCACTTTCTCAGCAGTGGCCACTAAATATCATGCTTAAGCTTCCTACATTACTGTGCATCCTGAGAGAGGCTTGGTAGTAAGCTAATATGTTCCAGAAGAGTTTTAAAACTATGGAACAATTGTTATGATTAAGTAGGGCTTAAAAGGCCTCAAGGCCTTTTTACAGAAGCAATTTAGCACAAGCTATAAGAATGAGATGGTAATTAAAAATTATAATTAGGGAGTCACAGACACTTGCAGCAGGCAGGAGAACAAAACAGAGGAAGGGACAAAGTTCCTCCCCATATATCAGCCTTCTCCAGCCTAGTGCCCCCTAGATGTTTAGGGATACAAATCCCATCAGGAGAGGACTATAGCTCTTATGTCCTGCTTATGAGTTTCCAGGGGCATCTAGCTGGCCACTGCAGCAAATAAGATGGTGCACTATATGGGCCTTTGGCCTGATCCAGCCCTGCTCTTCTTACCTACATAGGCAGAGGTTGTCAGTAAAGTAAAACTATACTAAGCAAGCAAACAATTCTCATGTTATCCTTGTTTTAATATTATTCCTTCTATATATTAGATATTACCTTTGGAATATAGGGATCCCAGTCAATGTAGCCTATGTTATCAGTGGCCAAGCGTGCAAAAAGGTTGACTAGGTGCTGGAAAGAAAGAAACCACAGATAACTTTTTCAGTACAAGCTTTGCTCCTGCTTCTTCCCTTAACTGAACAGAGGTCATACAAGAGAACTTCAGTACATACAAAATGGGATTAACAGCACATGGTCAAAAGTTTCAACCAACCAAATTGCAAGGGTACTTGATCAAAAGATAATTTCAACTTTAGCCCCGGGGGGTGGGGTGTCAAACACTCTTAGCCCGCACTCCCTCCTCCTCCTGTATGGTAAAAGAGGAGAAATTTAGGAGATTCCCTTTCTAGTTTTAGTTATATGCAGCTTGCAACATTCTCACTTTTGACTTTCAGGTCTCTCGAATGGACAGTCATTTTAATAAGTGTTTACTTACATTGTTGTACATTGTCCTGGCACTTTGCAAGTGTGTGATACATAAATACTTTTGTAAATACTAAATTATAAAATGTAATTCGGGAGCAGAATTATGGTTAATACTAACTAAGATTAATTTCAACAAGCCAGCTTTAGGAACCATGGTTTGTAATTTACTTGTTTGAAACTAATCATAGCTAGAAGCAAACTCTCCCAAACTCCTCCTTCTGGCCATGTGGGAGGAAGGGGTGTGCATACCAAAGACTTGTTGCTGCTTGTGCATGTAATACTAAACCAAAGCTTAACGCAGGGGTCAGCAACCTTTTTCAGCTGTGGGCCGGTCCACCATCCCTCAGACCATGTGGTGGGCCGGACTCTATTTTGGAGAGAGAAAATGAACGAATTCCTATGCCCCACAAATAACCAAGAGATGCATTTTAAATAAAAGGACACATTCTACTTATGTAAAAACATGCTGATTCCCGGACCGTCCGCGGGCCGGATTGAGAAGGTAACTGGGCCGAATCCGGCCCACGGGCCTTAGGTTGCCTACCCCTGACTTAACCGATGTTCACATGCAGCCTATGTCTGCCCCAGGCTTGAAAGCTAACACAATGCTGATGTGAGAAATACAAAATTCAAGGGCCTGAAGTCATGCTTTACTTTACAAAACTCTGACAGTTCAATAATATTTATGGCAAACAAAAATAGAGCCCTTTGCCAGAGCCATATGATTTCTCTGCAAATTAAAAAATCATAGTTAACTGGTGTGATCTGAAAGAATTAGAAAGTACACCCATTTCAATGGCCTAGATTTTGACTTTCAGCTTGGAAAAACAACATTACAAAAAGGTTACAAAATGAAAATTTCGCAAGTAAGAATGTAAACAGGAAGAAGAACCCAACCAACAATGGGCTTCTTTATTCAACTACTGGGCACATACGAATCCTAAATAAGCACAGCCCACCCTAGAACTAATATTCCTGGTCCAATTGCAACACTTTGGTGACAGGGGGGAGTGGGGGAAAGAAGCCAAAGCAGGAATACTTACTCCTTCCCACTGCGGAAGATTCTGAACTGAAACCCACAGGCCTAGAAACTCATCAAACCAGAGCCTGCAAGACAATGAAATCAGGCAAACAGATTTGTTGCTACGCCAAATTCATCATTCCCATTCTTAATAATAAACACTGCTCCCACCCTAATCATAGTAACAATTAATGCTCGGTATTCAAAATATGAAGTGCTATATAAATATTAAATGGCGCACATAATTATCTCAGAAATCATTACACCATCCCACAATGTCAGTCATTATTAGTTATAGTGCAGATGGTAAATTGTTAAGAGCAGCTTGCTTAAGGCCAGTTAGAGAGCATATGGATGAAGAAGAAGAAATTAAAATGGGAGTTTCTGACTCTGAAAGTTTCAGGCACTTTTCCTAGTCTCATACAGAATGTCATCAAAAGATGTCCTGCGGAAAACGCCATTTTTTTAATCAGTGGCCTCCAACACCCAATACTACTTTATCCCTTGGTACTGTTGTCCCCCTTCCCACTCAAATCATTTCTAAACCCACAGTTGGATAATTGAAATTTGACTATTTTATAGCTGCTCCAGACTCCCATCGCTATATTAGAGACACTGGCACATGCCTATTAAGGAGTATTTGCCACTACTGGTCACAGAGCTTTTGAAGCAATGGAAAGGTGCCGCTTGGAGATTCCATTGTGATGTTCAATCACTCAACAATCAATCACATCTGAAGGAGGAAACTCAAACGGCAACACACCTTCAAGCCATGCGGCGAGGCTACCAGGAGAAAACATGATAGGGGAAAGCTGGTATTCAGAGACTCAGGAAAGGGAATGACTTTTTTTCATACTAACCATAAAGAGGTCATTTTATGTTCTATTTTATAGAGATGGTGACATGCCTAAAGCAACTCAAAGCTCATAAACAAGCAAGCATAAATCTATAGTGCATACTGAACTTGTCAACTGACTGGCTTGCAAAATAGCCACTGTCTGGTCACCCATGACAAGTAAGAACTGCCTTCTGGTGATCAGATGGGGAAATGTTACAACTGTTAGGGTGTTTTGTTTTGTTTTGGGTTGGGTTTTCTAGGTTACAAGTGGCGTATGTATGTATGTCTATCTAAAACTAACAGTTTTAGATTTGTAAAACTGATGAGGACTTCAAAGAGAGGTGAGATGCCAGCAGCACAAAATCACTTTTCCATACAATCATTATTCTACCCAAACCTTAGAACCCTGTGCTTGGAACTAAGTCCTGCTGGCTGGAAGGGAGCTTACTTTGAAGGAAGTGCTGTCAACATTAGAAGCTAAAAAGCAACAACGTAAGCTCAGTATACGACTTAAAAACAAAGCAAAAGCCTCAAAACGCACAAAATAGCAAAGTATGGTAAACAATATGACACACACACACACACACAGATAATATCAATAAAACAGAGTGAGTCCATATTGAAAAGGCAGCCTCCTTGAATCTAGGAAGTCCAAATATATATAACGTTTGCTATGATGGGGTGTGCCTTATCAGTGTTTGCCACCCATCAGGATGAAAGCAACCACTTATAAAGCTATGCAAGGAACTCAAGGATGGCACACAGTCCAGAGGAGAGGTATTCTGGGGACAGGCACTTTAGTAAGTGTGGCTTAATATGACCTTGAAGTGATAAGCCCAAAGAGAAACAACTGAGATATGAAGCCACTTAATGAGAACATTCAAGGACAGCCTGAAACAGCTTGGAGATAAATATGGTGCTGTCTCAACTGATGAGGGCAGAAAATATGAGGAAGCATAGTTTCTGAATGTCTATTGCGCCTAGCTGTACAGTTCGCTATCCAACTTTTGACTGTATTCCATAGCTGCATCTATATTAACACATGCAGCTTGATTTCGTTCTCTCCACTCCTTACCATGTGATTTCTAAGAGACAATTTACAAACAGAGATCATTGTTCCTGCAAAGAGGCAAAACCCTTGCTCAGATTCTAAGCAAGATTTCAAACTTATTGGAGACATATTCTGCTAAGAAATCCACTTGGGGGAAGGCTTCCGCCCATCAACTTCTAACTACTTCCCACACATATGTGTACATATTTGTACACATATGTACAAATATTACCCCAATCTTTTAGCAATAGTTGCTTGATAAAGAAGCTGCAAATTCTGAAAAAGGAGCCAGAATAAAATATGCTTATGCCAAAGTCTGCAGCTTAGGTACACTGGGAACAGATCCTGATCACTCAAGAAGCCACGGCTGAGATACAATGAGCTTCTGTAAGTGTGGCCAACTTTTAGGGCATGACTAAGGCAATATTTTACTCTCCCGCCCCCTTGAATTGCAAGCCTCAATGTCACATCACAAACTGCTTTTGAAACTCTCCTCATTCAAAACAAACTTGCCTAGTGGCACAGGGATATGCTGTTTGAGAAATGCAAGCCTAAAGCACCTTTGGACGCAACTAGTCATGCAAATATTTGCACCAATGCATGGTTCCCTTAAACCTGCTTCGTATTTCATTGCTGACAAACTAAAAAAAGATTCAAAAGAGCCACAGTCCATTCATTAGAAATTTTAACCCTTGGCACCATTATTATAGCACTGAAATGCACAGGAACTGAAAGCCAAATTGAAACATGCCAAATCTATTCACACACGTCAATGACCAGAACCTCTTTAATCAAAGGAATGCCAGCTCCAGGACTGTGGGAGTCCATGAACAAAGCAAGGAACAGGTAGGGTAGGCAAACAAGAGTTCTCTCATGCTGCCTCTGACCTTCCTAAGCACATCTTGCAATATGAAAAAAGTAGTGCACTTGGGATAATGGGAATTTTGCCAGTTTTGAGCTACCAGCGAATGCACAGCCTTACCTCCCTTTGGAGACAGGCACTGGAGCCTGAACCGAAAGTCTAGACATTAAAAGGCTTGGTTTGTTTAAGGCTTAGGGCTCCAATATGATTCTGCACCCAAATCAAGTTATTAGAGTTGGTACATCAGTCAATAAAAAGCAATGGTATCTACAGTATTCTTGCTGTAGAAAGAAAAGAGTCAGGCAATGATGCTCAATATCAGCAACTCATTTGCTTCCCACTCAAGAACTAGAACTTTAATTGAATATATATAGAGAGAGGGGGGAGAGAGAGAGAGAGAGTATCAATTGTAAGAGAGTTAATTCTGGAGATCAGCTCTCAGGTAAACTGATTAGATTGTTCCTGTTACAAACAGGCATTCAGAATGTAACTCTACAATGAAGTACATGGCGCAGTTCATTACATATATAATTTATTCAAAAGCCTTCCATGCAATAGATTGTTCAGTGAGAACATCTTGAAGTAACTAAGACCAACTCACCTAAAACCTTTGTGGTGGAGTTCTGGAGGAAGAGTGGTAGGCAGAAACAGTTCAAAGTAAGTGATGGCCTTCTGCATAGTAACATCAAAAGGGCACATTAGCGGCCGCCATTCATCTAGCATCTCGGCTGTTGCATTGTCGGGGAAATACCTAAAGGGAAAGAGGGATGTGATGGGTTGGCTCATATGCACAAGTGGTAATTCAGCAACATATTTAATCAGATGGATAGAATTCACTGACACAAGGTGCAGCCACTAGAAGCCACTAGGCTCAGGCGTCTTTTTAAACAGCATTGGAGAGAATGAAGGAAAGGTGATCATGGTAGCTAAACAGGACCCCAGTGTACAGAGGCAATAAGCCCTGAAAACCAGTAACAGAGGGAGGGGGCAAAAGAAGATGGGATTGCCATCACTTGCATGGCCTGACTGTGGCCATTCCTAAGGTATCTGGCTGGCTTCTATTCTAGATGGACCTTTGGCCTGACGCAGAAGGACAAAACAGATGTTCTTATGAGAACTGGAAGCAGGAGAGAGAGAGATCATGCATTAAAAGAGTGCATGAGGGGATTGTAGTGATGTGCAGCCAGGTCTCCCAAGCAGAGCCCAGAAGCCATGCTCCCATCCAACAGCCACACATTTGGCGAAAGCAAGACTATAACTTTGCTTATAAAATGTGTGGCGGTAAAAAATAATCTCACAATAAAGAATAGTCACTTAAATATTTAAGTGTTTAATTAAGTCTTAATTAGGAAGATTAAGTGTTTTTTAATGTACGTAAATTTGCTTTTTCTTTTTTCTGTATTTTCTTTTCTTTTTTCTTAGTTGTTTTTTCTTTAATTTTCTTTTTGTAGTATGAGATTGTAAATTCTTTGTGTAAGTGTGCAATTTAAATAAATAAAGATTATTTTTTTAAAAAAAAGTTTGTGTCATTAACAGTATGCCGGGTTTATACAATGCTGACAACATTCTTTATGCATTAGTTCCCAAACTACACGAATAGAACAATAAGACTCTCTTTTTTGGAGACCAGTGTTTAGCCTGCCCCAATGGTAGATAGTGGCCCAAACAAGATCTGAGAGGATATAATTCATTTGGAAAGATTTACTTTAAGTATGTCAGTGAATGCATTTCCGTCTATAAAATATACAAGCATAACAGTATCAAAGAAAAATTAACAGCACATTATATGTGAATGCATCTTGGGGAATGAAAAATAGAAGGAACAGCACAGTTACATGAAAGGGTTACAATATGTCAGATTAAGATTAACCTGACCCAACTACTTTGTTTATGAATGAGATAGAAGTAGTTCTTAACACAAGGAGTCTTCTAACCAAAAATATGTTCATGTCATAACTGACATATTTATTAACAACAAATAACTATAGTCTTCACTACTGAGTAAGTGGGGAGGGGGGGTTAAAAATTGCTTACACAATTTAATCTCTCAGGGATGCATGTGTTCTATTTTCCACCAGTAGCTTCATGAATTTAAAAGTGCAGTATCTGAAGGGCTTCTGTTGCCCACTGCTGATGGCAAAACCCCATAAACACACAGGACTTCCCCCGCTTCCATAAAAGGCTAACGGGAATGCCCCCTGACCCACATGTAGAGCTATCTTGCCATTTAAGTCTTTAAAGAGAAAATATTTCTCTTCAAGAAATACATAATGGCTTTGAAAGTTGTTAAAAGTACTTACGGTCTACAGTTTTTCACGAGGGTTTTCAAAACACTTTCTACAGAGCTAAAAAAAGAAATAGAGAGAGAAAGGTTAGGTAAATTACATGATCCTATTTCAAGTGAAGTATATCAAGACAATTGCCTGATTGGGCAAAGATTACGATGATACTGATGCAATTAGACATCTTCTTGTGTGCATGCAGCAGCTAATCTTCCTTTACTCTATAGACCTAATTACAAGGATTAAAGCTGATCTGCCCGATTCCTGACTCTGCTCTTTACTTCTCCTTGAGCATCTGTTGGGACATATAAGAGGAACCACCAATATAACAACTTATTTGATTATGTCATGTTCTGAGCTAAGCAACTTTATCGGGTTTTGAATAAGAGAATGAGAAGTCACGTAATAGTCGTTAAGAGCTCTGGGATAAAATAAGTTGACTAAAATGTATCTTGTATTACTAAGGTATATTTCTAAAATGCATCAGCTCAACCTAATACAGAAAATGTGTCTATCTCCTGAATAAGTCATCCCTGGACCCTGATGACAGCTATTGATGGACGGCAAATATCCTCTTTACTGGATACAATGCTTCTCTTAAAGAATAATTAAGTTACTATAAAATCTGAATAAGAGCATGCTAGCCCTCAGAGTTAAATCTTTAAATTGAATCAATGCCTCTACCAGACAAAATGAGCCAAGAGAGACATTTCTGTGTAAAGAAGAACCTATTTAATAATTTCTCTAACAATAATACTTTACACTCTAGCTACCAAACATGCATTTCATTTTCACCTGATGAAAATAACCTGTTCTAGTTGGTTTAGTAATTTGACGCATCAGTCATGAGTATTTCATTTTCATTTTTAAAATTTCATTTTCATTTTTGCTTTGTTTTGGCAAGAATGGAGCTGGACCAAGGCAGAGTGATGCAGAAAGTGGCAACGCTAGAAAAAATAAAAGACAAAATGGTCCAGGTCTCAGATTCATGTATTCCTAAACCAGGGGTAGGCAACCTAAGGCCCATGGGCCGGATACAGCCCAATCACCTTCTCAATCCGGCCAGCGGATGGTCCGGGAATCAGTGTGCTTTTACATGAGTAGAATGTGCCCTTTTATTTAAAATGCATCTCTGGGTTATTTGTGGGGCCTGCCTGGTGTTTTTACATGAGCAGAATATGTGCTTTTATTAAAAATGCATCTCTGGGTTATTTGTGGGGCATAGGAATTCGTTCATTTTTTCTCTCCAAAATATAGTCCGGCCCACGACATGGTCTGAGGGATGGTGGACTGGCACACGGCTGAAAAAGGTTGCTGACCCTTGTCCTAAACCTTACAGGTGACTAAGATGATAGGAGCTTGTCGATGGGGTAAGCACTCCTGCGTAAGAAGCAGGGTCATAGTATGGCAGATCCTTTTCTTTCCACCTTCGTCTATGGCCTTCTATACCTCAAAGTGCCTTTTCTCATCTATGGTTGGTGTGCCAGCTATACCCTTTCTTGGATAAAGATGACCTTGCCACAGTGATTCATGCTCTTGAAATGTCAAGGTTAGATTGTAGTAACATGTTAAGCAAAGGTCTAACTTTGAAGAGTGTTTGGATAATTTTAACTGATTCACGATACTGTATGTTGACGATGTGATTGACAGGATATACTGCACTGAGCACATTACATGAATATTGAGAATATAGTTATCCACATTTCTGTCCAATTTTAAATGTTGTTTTTGATCTTTATAGTCCCAAGTTGTTCAAGACCGGAGCATTTTAAAGGCTGTATTTCCCAATATGAGCCTGCCCAGTAAGACACCTGATAGCTGCTGTCTATTAGTTGCTGCTGCTCGTCTGTTTAGCATTTATTTTGGGGTTTTAGTTTGTTTTAGGTTTATGTACAAATATACAAAAACTGAACTGATGTAGTTAAACTGAACTGTGGCAAAGCTGGGTAGAGATGCTTAAAAACAAATCTACCTGCCAACGTTTCTCACTTTTAATTAACTCATTTTTCTACACTTTGTAACCAGAAGACATGCACACGTGTACTATGACATCGGCTGTTTCTGTCCAATAATTATAAACACAGAAAGTTTAAGAAGTGCAGTGTGTTAGCCCTCAATGTCATCTATGAACTACTAAAGTTACATAAAAAGTAGAGTGAAAATAAGCAGTAATGTGATTATCATTGCTATTCAGAGCTACACTGTAGTGCATTTGTGAAGGTGAAACCTCTGACAGTGGTCGACGTGGATTATTCAAGCTGCTAAGCACACAAAGCAATTTTTAATTCAGCTTCTCTGAGGAAAGGGAAAGCTGCCACTTCGGGGGAAATTAAAACTTCACGGAAGTGATAGGCAGAGACTAGAAATTTTGGGAGTTAAGGAAGCTAAGCAATAAAGAGCCTGGTTGCAAGAAGGCTGAAAGAAGGGCCCAAATGCAGAACCATTTGAGTCAATAAATATTGGCTGATCATGCTAGTCAACATCTTGTTTGGCAGACCCTGACTCCCCTCTTGCCATAGTAAGAATGAACCCTGAGAATGAACAAAGGACTGAGAAAGAAGGAAGGGTAGATAGAGGCTAAGGCTTGTCCCCTCCTTTTTCCTGCTAGTGGCTCTTCCCCGTGTTTGTTTCCCAAGTTCTGCTCATGCTTTAGAATGAAAGGAGGGACATAAGAGATGCAGCAACATCCATTATGTGACCAGTAAAGTGTTTGTTTCAAACAGGGCAAAGTAAGATAAAACAGCATGACCATATCAAGATGTACTTTTCTTCTTTGTTCTGAAAGTCATGGTGGATTTCTAGCAAAGCCTCAAGAATGTGGAAGAGCTAGCAGCATTTTAAACAACTAGTTGGTGCAACAGAAAATCTCACATCACCTACTCATCTGTGTCTCATTTCATGGTATCCATATGGTTATAAACACTGTGCTCTATGAAGGACAGGAAGAGCTTAGATCTCTCTCAACAACTGCTCATGCTCGTCTATCAGCATGGAATTGAAGAATAGGAAACCTGCCTCCTCTCACCTTTCCATAATTAAACATACTAGTGGAGATGTCTCAGAGCTTATGAACACCAGATTCTACTTACAAGTGCTGTCATAATAGTCTGCTGAAGCACAGCCAACAAAGACTTTTGGACCATCTTAAAGATGAACTAATTTATTATGGTGTACAGTGGAGTCACAACTTGCCATGAGACAGATAGGCTGAAGCACACCAGATTGTTAACCAAGAAAATTCTAGAGAATTATAGGTCAGGATAATCCTTCAGGAATACTGGAGCAATCCAATAAACATTATACAACTAGGCTTCTGAAAAATATTTAATAAAAACTCCCACGCAAACTTAATCATCATAAGATAGGAGGACAGGTCAGAACTATAACTGGTCGATGAACAGAAAGCGGAGGGAGAGAGTAAATCGACAGATCTCACAAGAGAGGTAAACAAGCATTGGTGGTCTGTACTGAGTCATACACCATTTGACATTGATAAGTGATTTGGAGTCAGAGGTGAGCAGTGACATAAGCAAATTTACAGACGAAGCCAACTTATTTGTGACAGTGAAAATGCAGGTACTCTATAAATAGCACCAAGGATCTTTCAAAACTGGGAGAAAGGGGGAAGAAAACTGCAAACAAGGTTCAATATAAATAAGCAAAAATCCTAGACTAAATCATTCTGAGGACATGGAAATGGTTTCAAAATATGCATAGTCTGGGGGGGCGGGGGCAGGGGGAGATTCTTCCAGGTGGCTCAACTAGGACCAGAGATAACCAGGTCCAAATCCCCACCCAGCAATGAAGTTCTGGGTGACCTCAGGCCAGTACTTACCACACAAGGTTGATACAATGATAAAACGGAAGAGAACACATATTCTGCCCTAAGCTCCCAGGGAAAAACTGGAGTCACTCAGCAAAATGGAATGTCCAAAGATTTTTAATTGTTTTTTATATACCTTATTACTGCCAAAAGATGTGATGATAGCCAACTGGCTATTGTTGTTGTTGTTGTTTAGTTGTGTCCGACTCTTCGTGACCCCATGGACCAGAGCATGTGACCCCATGGACCAGAGCACGCCAGGCGCTCCTGTCTTCCACCTGTCTATTACATGGGGCAAATTCATGGAGGAAACTGGCTTTACATGGGACAAATTCATGGAGAAAAGGGAACCACCATGTCCAGAGGGAGTATGCCTTAGAATGCTAGTTGGTGGGGGGACAAAAACTGTGGGAGGGCTCCTGCCATTATGACTTGCCCTGTTTGTGGGCTTCCTCAAAGCACCTGCCTGACCACTGTGAAAAACAGGACACTGGACAAGATGGAACCCTAGTCTGCTCCAGTGACACTTTTCTACCAAGGATGCTTTAAATATATAACTTACTTTGATATATTTCCCAGAACTGAACCTGCACCTTTGGAAATTACTAATCCCATGTATGTCAAACAAATGTGTAAATATTTCATGTTTAGTTAATGAGTTCTAGGAAAGATGCTGCTGGTTTCCCAGTACTGTAAGGGGGGGGGGGGGGACTTGCTTTAGATAAATAAAAAAAGGAATGGCTCCGGAAAAAGGTTGATGGAACACTTTTTGGTTGTTAACGTGAACAGAGATTTTACAAACTACAGAACCTTCTCTAACAATGTCAAATATTTTTATTTTAAGGCTGGAATCCTAAACATACTTAAAAAGGTAAAGGTACCCCTGCCCGTACGGGCCAGTCTTGTCAGACTCTAGGGTTGTGCGCTCATCTCACTCTATAGGCCGGGAGCCAGCACTGTCCGTAGACACTTCCGGGTCACGTGGCCAGCATGACAAGCTGCATCTGGCGAGCCAGCGCAGCACACAGAACGCCGTTTACTTTCCCGCTGGTAAGCGGTCCCTATTTATCTACTTGCACTTGGGGGTGCTTTCGAACTGCTAGGTTGGCAGGCGCTGGGACCGAACGACGGGAGCGCACCCCGCCGCGGGGATTTGAACTGCCGACCATGCGATCGGCAAGTCCTAGGCACTGAGGTTTTACCCACAGCGCCACCCACGTCCCTAAAACATACTTACCAGGAAATAAAACCCATCAAACCAATGCACAGAAATGCACTGCAAGTCTTAACCCAAAAATTATTTTAAAAATTCAACCAACTCTCTTCATCATTCTCTCTCCTTTAGCATTCCACCAAGCTTTGTGGAAAGTTAAATTCATGCATTTCTAAGCTTTGTGCAAATTATGCCTAATAATTAAAGCACTACATTCACCATAACTTTTAAATTTACTAGTCAACAGAAATTAGCAGATAGCCGTATTTTCAGCCACTTCACACAGAATGTATTTTCTCACAAGTAGGCTTAAATACAGTGCGACATTCCCATAAACTGTGGTGTAATGTTAACATTGGGGTTTTTTTCCAGTTTTAAAAAAGTTACATGTATGTGACAAGTGTTACAACTGAACAGGCCATGCAAGAAGATAATGCTTCGGCCAGAACTAAATAAACAAAAAAAAATTGTCCTTACCACCTATGTAAAACATTAAGCACAAATGTTTTAGGTGAAGACAAGCCTGGTCGACATGAACTGAACATAAAGAAGAAAGGTTTAAAAACAAACAATGAAAAAGGAAATTGTAGAATTGTAAACAAAATGACTCAGAAAACAGGCACACACAAACCAAATGATTCCAGTCCTATTTCTTTCATTTTCTATTTATCCTTCTCAATTTACCAGAAGGGGCAACAATGAAATAAGATATTTTAAACAATGTTGCCAAAACACCATGAGAGAAAAAGTCGCACTGCACAATTTTAAATTCTAGTCTAGTCAATCTTAAATTTTTGCAATGGGGCTTACTTCTTCCCCTCAGGTCTCTTTTCCAATTTACACACTTCTTTTACCTAAAACATTTTGAAAATGCCCTGCCCTGTGCATTTACATCAGATGCAATATAGCTTGGTCACAGCTCACAGAACTATGAGTCAAACTCATGCTTGATAAAAAAGCACCTTCCTCTAGTAGTGCCTATGCGCGTGCACACTAGAAAGAAATTAACAGTACGTACATGGGGATCTGTTCCTCAAAGATTAGAAGTCAAACTGGGCACACCAAAGATCACAAGAGTACCTCAACTAGCTTTCCAGATTGAGGTGTGAGATTAAATTTGGGCGAGGTGACGTAGCTCAAAAGTTATAGTTCATGCTTCACAGTAAGAAGTTCAAGATTCAACCACTGGTATCCCTATTTAAAATAGAGTTGGATGACCTGTGGCCTTCCAGGTGTCATTAATTCCAACTCCCATCAGCTACAGCCAGCATGGCCAAAAGTCAAGGATTATGGGATATATAGTCCATCAAAATCTGGAGGGTCACATTTTAGGCACCCCTGGTTTAAAAGACCTCAAGAAGCAAGTTAGGAATGTTAAGTCACTTAAAACACTGACCTTATGATAGCTAGAGATTCTAGTTATCAAACTGGGGGGCTTCTTTGAGTGAACAATCATACTCTTAACCACTTGGCTATTGTTCCAGCTTTATAATCTAAAACTGAGAATTTTCTTAATATGAACAGATATAAGATGCTTTCTATGTTAAGTCAGATCAATCGACCACCTAGCAGCAACTCTCCAGAGCCTGAGGTCGAGGTCTTTGAGAATCTTGTCATCCTTGATGCTTTTAACTAGAGATGCAATGGATTGAAACTTGGCCAGTACACATGCAAAGCACAACTAAGCCATGGCTTGTCTGTAAAGCAGTGCCACCTTTCAGAAGTGGGTGACACTGTGTCATTTTCTGTTTGTAAATGGCCAGTTTTCACTCACAGCTTACAGATATCAAACAGTATTTTCTAAAACCTTAGACTAATCAGATTATTCATCTCATGAAATGTAATTATGCCACTTGTTTGTAAACCAGAAAAGGCACATGAGTAATAGAAGACATTGTGAGCACCCACAGTAAAACAAAAAGCAGAGTCTAAATCTTGTTATCTTTAGTTCAGATGACTGAAGAAAATATATTTGATAAACTGCACAATTAGAGCTGAGAAAAACCAGCAAGTTGAAATTAATATTTGCTGGTTGGGCTATTTTAAGTTTTTAGGCTTTACACATTGAGTTTCTGCAAGCTGTCCCTACACAAGTTATTCCTACAATCAAATTCTGACTTTTTGTCTGTTATCCTTGAGGATCAACAAAGCATCATCCCGTTAGTATCTTATAAATATGTTTAAAATAGAAAAGGAAACCTGTTCTATCTCACATTTTTAAAAACTAAAACAAAAATCTTACTTCGGAAACCAATTTAATCCAAGATGTTCAGTCTTAGAGTACAATATCCGTTCCAGCATTTCGTACAGTGGCCTCCATGGCAATTCTAAGTCATCCCTTGAAAGAAGTTCTTTTTTCCTAAATTAAAAAAGCAGTTTAAGATTAATGATTAATTACAACTGGATGTAACTTTCATACCCCAAAATAGCACAACAGAAAGTCTGGCTGCAACTTTGCTTTAGTCATCACCCCTTTCACACAGCTTCCTAGTAATCCTTAACATGGCAAGAAAATTATCTCATGACATTCTCTAGACAAAGTTGAAGCAATCGTTTAAGATGTAGATGCAACTACACATTACATAGCACTAACCAGGTTTCTCTCTTAATAGGAATTTGAAACGAAGTTAACAAACTCTGTTTGAAGGGAAACTATTGTTTGTTTGTGCTGATAGAATGCTTAACCATAGTTTACAAGTGGCAGGGAAGGGAATTTACATGTCAGAAGGGAAGGCACATGTACAGGCCACTCTTAACCTTAGCTGAGATTATTGCCAATGTTAATTCAGTGTTACATTAACCAAGACAATTTGGTTTGGAGGAGTTTGGACCTTGTGTTGGGCCTCAAATGCACTTTGAAGCAGCAAGACTGAGCGACTTCAGGAATCAGCCGCCCTCCTTCTGCCAGACATGGGGAAAGGGCAGGGAACACCTACTCCTACTGTCATGATGGATTTTTGACACTTCTGAGTACCTTCAAAATCCAGCATGATGAAAGACACAAGCCCCCAACAAAAGCCAATCCAAATTTTGGGCCCGTTTAACTAAAAAGGCTTGTATCCAGCCTCAAAGTCGGCTATTTTTTTTCCAAATTACTCTTCCACAGGACATAAGATACTTCCGTTACACAGGAGCAATGAAATGGTAACTTACTTCAGCAGGTTTATCAAAAGACGTGCAAAACCTTGCATCATGCTGATCTCCAACTTTGGAATAGTTACTAGCTCATACAAGAGCTTGATAAAAAGGACATGGTCTTCTTTGCTAAACTTTCTCCCATAGAGCCGGAGATACCTTTAAGAAGAAGAAAAAATACATAATGTGGAAAACATTTATTTATTTATGTATTTATTTATTTATTTATTTATTTATTTATTTAAATATGGCACCCTTCAACAAGCAAGCTCTCTTGGAAGATAAAAATATAAATATCAAGACAACATGTACACATAGCACAGCAGAAAAACACAACAAAAGCCAATGTTTTCAAAACATACTGAAAGGCTTGGGCAAGTAGAAAGGTGCAGAGACACTGGATAAATGAGCCTCCCTGAGATAGGCATTCCAAATGCTGTGTGCCACCACTGAAAAGGCTCAGCAACTTCTGGTACCGTCAACTATGGCATCCTGCTGGAGCAACAGTCTGAGTTTGGGGGGGGTGGCACTGCCTAGCGGTGGCTGGGTGGTCATTTCCAGAGGGTAATGCATGGAGAGTGCACTTTGGCCCTGTGGAGCCTTCAATGTGGGGTTCCTCAGGGTTTGATTTTATCCCCTATACTGTTTAACCTCCACAGGAAACCACTGAGTATGCTCATTCAGAGTTTTGGCATATGCTGTAAGCAATATGCTGATGGCACACAGCTCTACTTCTCCTTTACACCTGCAGGTGTAGCAGGAGATATGCTGGACTGTTGTCTTTCCTCGGTAATGGACTGGATGAGAGCCAGCAAACTGAAGCTCAATCCAGATAAGCACTGAAAGTGGGCAGTTCCCTGCAGTGGTGTAGCGTGGGTTGTCAGCACCCGGGGCAAGGCAAGTAATTTGCGCCCCCTAACCCGTGGATTTTAGCAGGGGGCAGAGAGCTGCGAGTGCGAGCGCGCGCCCCCCCGATGGTGCGGCCGGCCCCCCCTGCACCCCCCACGCTACGCCACTGGTTCCCTGGACTGGATGGATTGGAGGCTGCCTACTCTTGATGGGGTTACACTCCCTCTGAAGGAGTAGGCATGTAGCTTGTGGGTGCTCCTGGATCCTTTCCTTGCGTTTATGGTAGATGGGGGTTATTGGTTTGTTTTTGTGTTATTATTTATTTTGTGCTCTCATTTTGTAATTCCATATTGTGAACTGCCCTGACGGGTGATATACAAATTAAATAAATAAATGATAATGATAATAAAGAAGAAGAAGAAGAAGTTTGGATTTGATATCCTGCTTTATCACTACCCGAAGGAGTCTCAAAGCGGCTAACAATCTCCTTTTCCCTTCCTCCCCCACAACAAACACTCTGTGAGGTGAGTGGGGCTGAGAGACTTCAGAGAAGTGTGACTAGCCCAAGGTCGCCCAGCAGCTGCATGCGGAGGAGCGGAGACACGAACCCAGTTCACCAGATTACGAGTCTACCGCTCCTAACCACTACACCACACTGGATATGGATAAAGCCATATCCACCTGCCCTACACCTGCTATCATGTAAAATATCAGATGATGGGTAGCTTGGACAAAAGGGGCTTTGCAGAGATTCTGCACGAGGCACTTTGCAAACCCTGCAATAAGTTCATGACCACAGGGCTTGCAAACGCCATTGCAGGGCACTTCCAAAGCACACAATAATAAGCAATTCTAAAGGAAGCCATTCATAGCCGCCTTCTCTTCAGAAGGAAGAATACTTCAGTTTCAGGAACATTTTCCCCTCTGCAACAACTGCAAAGGGACTCCCCTAACTGATGGACCATTGATTTAAAGGGAGCATCTTTGACAGCACACTCCTAGCACCAATCCACTGGTTGGTGCTGAAAGGGCATCTTCAAAGGAGGTTGCTCAATGATCAGTAGTTATGGCGACCAATTTTGAGAGCTGTCAATCACCTGCCATCACTATGACATCATAGTAACAGGTGGGTGGTTCCATTTGTACTTTTTATGTTAAAATATTTAGCTACTTGCTTTGATTGCTTAATCCATTCAATTGTAACTATTCAAGCTTTTTAATGTAAATTGTAACTTTGCTTTATTTTTAACTTTCTTCACACAGTACCAGGGAAATTCCCAGAGCTCAGAAAATAATACTCCCAATATGATATCATAATTAAGAAACTTATTTAAGGATATTGTAAATATGGTAATTTATCTTAGGTATGAGAACCGTTATTTTAAAGCCATCATTGATGGCTTTTCATTCTCTAACCTATCTTTTTATTTTCAGCAAATCTGTGAAGCTGCCAGTGCTCTAAACCTCTTAGGTTTGCAAATTACAATCGTGATTTGTGAGACAACAGTGGCTGACTCTGCTGTTTTCCTGGACAGCCAGCATTTTTCAGCCATAATTTTAAACATCAGCTATTTTAAATTTGGGGAGATTGGAGAGATACACATAGCTTGGTAGCAGCATCACCAGTGCTGAATATATTTTCATAAGGTTTCAACTGAGAATCCTCTTTGTCCAACATTCATATTCTGTACTCATGAAAGGGTGTTGGGAATTCAACACATAATAGAAGGAAAAGGTTGAAATGTAAGTGCTATTGGAGCAGCATATGTTCATAGGCTTACATATGTTTATAATTCTCGGCCTTGGTCCTGTATACCTGAAGGAGCGTCTCCACCCCCCATCATTCAACCCAGACACTGAGGTCCAGCTCCGAGGGCCTTCTGGCAGGTCCCTCGCTGTGAGAAGTGAGGTTACAGGGAACCAGGCAGAGGGCCTTCTCGGTAGTGGCACCTGCCCTGTGGAACGCCCTCCCAGCATATGTCAAGGCAATAAACAACTATTTTACTTTTAAAAGACAACTGAAAGCGGCCCTGTTTAGGGAAGTTTTTAATGTCTGATGCTGTATTGTTTTTAATATTCAGTTGGAAGCTGCCCAGAGTGGCTGGGGAAACCCAGCCAGATGGGCGGGGCATTAATACTACTACTACTACTACTACTACTAATAATAATAATAATAATATCCTATGCAATCATCTACGACTCCCAAATGTGAAGGGTTAGAAGCCCAATTTCTAAAACTGTTAAAGGAGCAGGGTGTCATTTGCTGTTTCATATGCCTTTTTCCCAACCTTTCTTGGGTGGGATCCTACTGACACATCTTGAGTACAAGAATTTCCACTTGTGAAATGGAACTCCCCCCCCCCTCATTTTTTCTAAGTTTCCTAAACCCTAAAGCAGATTTGGAGAGGGTGCGGGGCACACACCTGGAAGCAGGTGTAGAAGTTCTATTGCACATGTGTAAATCCTTGCACTGGTGGGATGTGTTACTTGGATACCGCCCATTATCTCCAACAAGTGCTCACTCAATTTTGTTTTATATTACAGTGGTGCCTCGCAAGACGAAAAGAATCCATTCCGCGAGTCTCTTCGTCTTGCGGGTTTTTTCGTCTTGCGAAGCAAGCCCATTAGCGGTTTAGCGGATTAGCGCTACAGTATTAGCGGCTTAGCGGATCAGCTGATAAGCGGCTTAGCGATCAGCTGTTAAGCGGCTTAGCGATCAGCTGTTAAGCGGCTTAACGATCAGCTGATAAGCGGCTTAGCGGCTTGGGAAAAAGGGGGGGGAAAGGAAAAAACCCCCGCAGGAACTCGCAAGACATTTTCATCTTGCGAAGCAAGCACATAGGAAATTCGTTTTGCGAAGCACCTCCAAAACGGAAAACCCTTTCGTCTAGCGGGTTTTCCGTCTTGCGAGGCATTCGTCTTGCGGGGCACCACTGTACAGGCAATACTTTCATAACAACATTTTGGCTCAGAGTACTGTTGCTCAGTATCCTCTATTAAACAGAAGGTGCAGATTAGCAGCAGCCCTCTAGCTACTATTTCCCCTGAGCACTTCAGTGCTGAATAAGCCATGTGCCCTTGCACTAGGGTGTGGAACAGAAGTGTCAGTGTTCAGGTATGCCATCAAATTGCTGTTCCCTCAAGGCAGAGTTATTTCCTGCTCTTTATCATGACACACCAAATGGTGAACTGGAGGAGCAAGTTTGAAGAGTTTCCAAATGCAAGTTCAACATTCATGTCACTTTCAATTTCCTAGCCATGATTTGCCCTTTTAATTTTGAAGCACGCCCTCTCAAATTATTGTTCTTAACTTATTCACCCTCTGGACCAGGAGTTCTGAGTTGGCTGTCATGCAGTGGCTAATTAATTTCAAAAGCCATCTACAAGCAATTACTTCACACTTTTTTTCAAGAGTGATCTGCTACTTCCTCTGTCAGCTTCCTGGATTGGAAAGAAGAGGGAGAGAGAAGGGTGACCCCATCCGCTGCTGCCTTTGGCCCCACCCACTGATGCAAGCAACTTCTGACAGATTGCCCACAAGGAAATCTGGCCATGGACAGAAAAAAGCTTGCTCTCCCATGTTCTTCCTGTAGAATTGCCAACTCAGATTGCATCTGTGTATGGCACAGAGTCAGTCAAATAGTATGGTATACCACTGAAGCAATGCATTGACATGTAATGCTAGCTATACTGTATATTACTAGCTATTTATAAGCAGGGTTGCTAATTTTTGTTGATTTTCTTGTTTTATCTTTTGGTAAACCACTTTGAGGTTTTTTTACAATCAAGTGTTGTATACATTTTATGAAATAAATAAACAGAAACATTGTAAATTATTTAAACTAGACAACTGTTAGGTAGTATACCTGCCAGGACTCCGATCATCGTGACAGAGTTTGTAAACATTAAATTACAAGCATCTTGCAATGGACTGTGAAAAACAGAGCTCTTAAAACATCTGGATCCAGCCACTACTGCAGGCTTCCTCAAACTCGGACCTCCATATGTTTTTTTGGCCTACAACTCCCATGATCCCTAACTAGCAGGACCAGTGGTCAGGAATGATGGGAATTGTAGTCTCAAAACATCTGGAAGGCCGAGTTTGATGAAGCCTGCACTACTGGATGCAGGATACAGAGATGGGTACAAGTCTAATTTCCCAAACATAACATACCAAGCCATACTGCTTGATCATTCCATTACTTTATACTAACATCATCCATAAAAACAGAATGACAAGTCATATACTATCATAATACACTGCAAAAGGTTAAAACTAGTAGGTTAATAATAAATAATAATAATAATAATAATAATAATAATAATTTATTATTTATACCCCGCCCCTCTGGCTGGGCTTCCCAGCCACTCTGGGCGGCTTCCAAAAGAATATTAAAATACTATAATACATCAAAGATTAAAAGCTTCCCGAAACAGGGCTGCCTTCAGATGTCTTCTAAAAGCCTGGCAGTTGTTGTTCTCTTTGACATCTGGTGGGAGGGTGTTCCACAGGGAAGGCGCCACTACCGAGAAGGCCCTCTGCCTGGTTCCCTGTAACTTGGCTTCTTGCAGTGAGGGAACCGCCAGAAGGCCCTCGGTGCTGGACCTCAGTGTCCGGGTAGAACGATGGGGGTGGAGACGCTCCTTCAGATATACTGGACCAAGGCCGTTTAGGGCTTTAAAGGTCAGCACCAACACTTTGAATTGTGCTCGGACACGGACTGGGAGCCAATGTAGGTCTTTCAAGACCGGTGTTATGTGGTCTCTGCGGCCGCTCCCAGTCACCAGTCTAGCTGCCGCGTTCTGGATTAGTTGTAGTTTCCGGGTCACCTTCAAAGGTAGCCCCACGTAGAGCGCATTGCAGTAATCCAGCGGGAGATAACCAGAGCATGCACCACTCTGGTGAGGCAGTCCGCAGGCAGATAGGGTCTCAGCCTGCGTACCAGATGGAGCTGGTACACAGCTGCCCTGGACACAGATTTGACCTGTGCCTCCATGGACAGCTGTGAGTCCAAAATGACTCCCAGGCTGCGCACCTGGTCCTTCAGGGGCACAGTTACCCCATTCAGGACCAGGGAATCCTCCACACCTGCCCGCCTCCTGTCCCCCAAAAACAGTACTTCTGTCTTGTCAGGATTCAACCTCAATCTGTTAGCCGCCATCCAACCTCCAACCGCCTCCAGGCACTCACACAGGACCTTCACTGCCTTCACTGGTTCTGATTTGAAAGAGAGGTAGAGCTGGGTATCATCCGCATACTGATGAACACCCAGTCCAAATCCCCTGATGATCTCTCCCAGCAGCTTCATGTAGATGTTGAAAAGCATGGGGGAGAGGACAGAACCCTGAGGCACCCCACAAGTGAGGGCCCAGGGGTCTGAACACTCATCCCCCACCACCACTTTCTGAACACGGCCCAGGAGGAAGGAGCGGAACCACTGTATAACAGTGCCCCCAGCTCCCAGCCCCTCAAGACGGTCCAGAAGGATGTTATGGTCGATGGTATCAAACGCCGCTGAGAGATCCAGCAGAACTAGGAAACAGCTCTCACCTTTGTCCCTAGCCCGCCGGAGATCATCAACCAGTGCGACCAAGGCAGTTTCAGTCCCATGATGAGGCTTGAATCCTGACTGGAAAATCACATGGCTTTTCCAAAATCACATGGCTTTTCAGAACCCTGATTATTTTGTAGGCAACATGTTTTGACAGCATTACCACATAACTCCTACCAGAATGAAAACAGGCCTCACTGTAAACAACACTGAGGTAGCAGCAGATGGTTAAAGGAAAAACAGTGTCACACTATGTCTACTCAAGTTCAAGATGTCTTGTAAGGCAATCATGTGAGTCATATTATATCTACCGAAGTAATCCTATCTAAAAATCTTTCCTAGTAAACAAAGTCACTTCCAATGATGCAAAAGGCAGATTGATATTCTGCCAAACAACCCGCCCCCGGCCCCCAAAAGTTTCTTTTTACTAATGTACATTGCCAGTTTCCCAAGTTCCATTACACTCTGGTGTGACTAAAACAGATTTGGAACACCAATATGTCAAGTGCGAGGGCTTGGAGGACTGCTGTTCCCGCACTGATTCTCTTCGCCAGCCAAGCTGAACCGAGCTAAGAGCCAAATCCAGCTGAGCCTGGGGAAGCAAGGAGCCACAGCCATGCCCTTCAGAGGCTTCGACAACTATCCTGTCTCTAACATCAACAACAACAGCAATGCCCTATGGACTGCTATCTCCAGGTATATGGGGAACATTGGAAGCACAGTATCTTTCATTCCTCTGATGCAGTTTTGCTGCATCATCTGTAACAGTGATGAAATGTCTAATGGTATTCCTGGTCCCTAACAAATCACGTGACCTGCACATGAAACTGGGAAGACTAGACTCATCAGTCTCTGGTGGCACTTGGACCAAAGCAAATTAAGCTGCCAGCAAAAGCGAATAAAGAATAAATACTAAATGGAGTACCAAAATAAGAATTTTGAAGTATGAATTTATATCACAAAGTCCTCATTTACAATACAGTATTTATTATAGGTCACCCTAAGTCTATATGAGAAAAATGGGGTGTAAATTTTCTAACTAAAACTCAGGAGGACACTACGCATGCAGTAGCAGGGTTGATTCTTAATTGCTGTATTTGAACAATCACATCTCATCTTAATAAGATGGCATATGAACAAGCTTCATTCCCTTGCACACAGTTGGCTGCTCTTCCCTTCACACACCAGGATGCCTCAGCTTAATTATAAAATCAAAGATCTGTAGAGCTGGAAGGGACCACAAGGGTCATCTAGTCCCTCCAATGCAAGAATCTTTTGCCCAACATAGAGCTTGAACCCACGACTCTGAAATTAACTCTCATGCTCTACCACCTGAGGTGTCCCAGCAAGATAGTTCTATTAAAAAATATATTAAAACAATTAGAACACCTTTTGGCAATGAATAGCCTAAGAGCAAACAATGCCGTAGCACTGTTATGTTAGTGTGGACTGAGACATAGCCCTTATGGGAGAACACTAAAAGACCTCTGTAAGCTGTTTTTAACCTTCTAAAAACAAGCATAAAACATAAACATGGTTGAAACATACAAAAATACCACAAATTGGAAACCATTTCCATTGAACAGCTGACCTCAACATGTCTAAACATAAGCAAGTGATTTTAAGGCTCAATGAAAGGCACTAACTTTTTTATTGTATGATTGATTATTGATTAATTTCTATACCACTTAATATACTTAAAACATCTCTAAGCGGTGCACAAAAAACTGAAGAAACAACGATATAAACAAAGTATTACAAAAATTGAGTTGCATATTAAAATGTTCCATTAATACAAATTTTCTAACATATATAAATCAATATCAATTCATTTTACTTCCAACACACCCTCCCTCTCAGCCTCCGGCTTCTCACCCAGGGCTCAAACAAACTCTCAAATTACGGCACCCATAACAGTCTCACAATGAGAAGAGTTCCTGGAAACAGCAGGCATCACCCTAGTCACTTACACAAGACTTGCTTTTTATGGGCAGGCCCAAGGTGGATGGTACATCCTCAGGCTGCCCACAATTGTGTCCCATTCAGCTGCACTCTCCACACCCAGTACTAGGTGTAGCAGGTTTGTTGAGCATGCTATAGGCACAATACCGAAATTCTGCTTGCTGTCAACACCTGCTCTTTACATTATTTTTGAAAAATACGTAATAGCACAAACAGATTCAAAACAGGCAATCTAGTATACCCTTCGCCCAATTAAACCTTTGCCTTGGTTTTCTCTCTTTAGTAGTGTGAAATGTTAATGAAATGTATCCTCGCAGTCCATTTTATTTTAAGTCACTATTAGAAAGAGATTAGGTCTAGAACTGAAGTGGCAGAAAGTGTTGTGGTACCTTTGTTAGATTGTAGGCCTTTGGGTATGTCCATCATTTTAGTCTTAATTTATTGATTGTATTCCAAGCTGTGGTTTGGGTGCTTAATAGATATATTTCCACCTTGACAATTATCTGGTTTGCTGCAGCATCAGTTTTTGTAGTCAAGTCTGTTACATTCATCTACTAGAGAAACCAAGATATGTATTCCAAAGAATTCATGTCACAATAAACTAGTCACCCCTCCAAGATGCTATAGCAGCAAGGAAAGAAACTGCTACAGACTAACACAGCTTCGCTTTTAATATTTCTCTGTAGGGACAGCACAATGACAAGGCAAAAACATTTTATCAGTGCCCCAGAAGACAAAGAAGTCCTTGAACTAGAAGTTGGTGCTTTTGCCCTTGTCCAGCTCAAAACACACTTTTCTTTTTCCTTTGCTGACACAGCAGTATGAACAAACGTTATGTGAGATGAGTAAGAGATTAAACTCTGCAAGTTACTAGCTAGGCTTTGAACCGTGAAAGTGAAATGCAGTGCTTGTTTTGGAACTAAATGCAAATGCTATTTTGTAATCTAGTTTAAAAAGGCAAGGACAGTTGCAAGTAGCTTATGAAGTCACTGAACAAAACCTATGCGCTAGTTTTGGCAACAAAAAGTGATAAACTATTTTTAGGAGTAATGACCTGCGTATGATTTATTAGCTGCCTAAGTAGAAAGCTCAGGGAACGACTACCATCACTAAAGCTAACAAAACCCTCCTCTTCCCAAAGTCCAAGACTCAAGCAGCCTTGAAAGATGACACTTCCCAAACACAAGCCCACACAGGAGGTTGCACAAACAGAAGGGGTGGCTGCTCATTCCTAAAAAAAGGTCCCCAGAGGCACATGCCCCAGTCAGAAGATGTCCTTCAAAAGCAAAGCTGCAATCTTACAAACACTCAAAGCCCAACCAAGCCCCCTGCTGATCATAACACTTACAAAAATAGTGCCAGACAAAGCCTTGGGGAAGCTGGAGTCATGCAGACAGCAGCAGACAATGGTAGACACGTGGCATAGAACTAAGTTGCTGAATGTAAAAGGAGTAGCACAGGCTACTCCTTCATCCAGGGAACTGTAGAACCTGGGAGCCACCAAACACACCCCAAACAGACGCCAGTTGCCCATTTGCCTCAGGGGCCAGATTTGAAAGAAACGGCTTTTTGAAATACCCGGGGCCTTAGTTGCTACCAGAAACTGGCATAGGTAAGGAGTTAATGCAGTGTTTATTCATCTCCCATTTTAAAAATATCTACCTTCTGTATTAGGGTGGGGGGGGGGAGGACAGGACCGGATAAGGTGTGCCTTAAAGCCACAAATTGTCTAAGCAATCAAAGGATGCCCAACAAAGTGGAAAGGAGAAGGGAGAATCAAACATCATTTTTCCGATCACTGGCAGATTCTTCAGGCTGCACCGCTCACAGTTACCCTGAGGCACCCAAAAAGTTTGTTAAGGACACGTAGGCTGTTTTTTCTGCATGTGTTTTGATGACTTAATTGCTTTATGTGTTCTTACCTGCCCTGACACTTCAGACACAAGGCAGGTTAAAAACCTTACACCCTCTCACAATATTTGTGGTCCTGTCACTTAACAGAGCACAACGGGGACAAAACAGAGGAACTACATCTCGGAAGAATGCATACCCCACCAAACCCTACTACCCTCATTTGGGGTGGAGGGGAGAGAGACATCCATATTACCCTGAGTACAACTGACACACTGCTGCCATGCCCTCCCAACAAAGCGAAACACGAACACCAGGGAAACACCGGGCGGCTGTTAGGTTTCCAAGCACCACAGGACTCTTTTGTCTACAATCCAGAACATATTTCTTTTCCACGGGAAGCTTAAATCCCATTGCAATTGCGGGGGGGGGGGGGGCTTAACTCCCTAGAAACCCAGCTCAAAACCGCCTGCCTGGTTCCTTCCAGCTATTAATTATAGCAACTGTTCTTGTGGTTCATTAAGGCATATTTATGGCGTTTCCTAAAACTCCAGATTACGAATGGTGGTGGGTGCTCTCCCCTTTTCCCTCCCCACTCCAGGTTGCCTGATGTAGGGTGAGGACAAAGTGCCACCCCTAGGCTGACACCCCCCCCCCAGCCTCAGGAAGAGAGAAGAAAAAGAGAGAAGAGGGAACCCCACCCACAAGAACAGAGGCTTGCCTTTTTGTAAATAAAAAAAGGGGGTGCATGGGTGTAGCCAAGGGAGGGGGGGACAACCAAGTCAATAAATACATTAAAATACTTATCTAACTAGGGTTCTCTCCCCCCACCCCACAACAGAAAGCCTGCCTATGGGTGTGTGTGAATGGGTGGCATTTGTTTCCCCAAACCCCGAAGGGGGGGGTGTTTCTTACACCAAACACCGGCAAAGCCCCCAGCGAAAGAGTTGGAGGAAAGGGCTGGATATTGCACTGCAACACCCCCCTCCCCACCTTTCAGAGCGTCCTGACCTAGACGGTCCTCCCCCCCCCAAAAAAAGGAACCCCAATAATAAATATTGCGGTTCTGATTTGATAGATAGAAGACGGGGCTCAGCAGAAGGGAAGAAACAATAACTCCGGGGTGAGGAAGGAAGGGGAAGTCGAGAAAATGAAGAGGCGAATGTGTGTTTGTTGAAAATGTTGAAACTTAATATGATGGGGGGGGAGAAATAGACCCCCCAATAATCCTCCCCCCCTCCCCCCAACAAGCAACCCTTCGCCCCACTCACGTGGAGAGCTTCCTGCTCCAGAAGAGGCCTCCGGGCCAGAGCTCCTGGAGCTGCACGGCCCAGCTGAGGTTGAGCTTGATGCGGGAGAGGAGGCGGCCGGCCTCGGCCTCCAGCTTGTCGCCATAGGGCAGCAGCTTGTTGTAAACCAGCTCCTTCTGAGGCGGCGGCGGAGGAGGAGAAAGAAGGAGGGGAGGCGGAGGTGGCGGCGGTGGCTCGGCCGCAGCGCCGCCGGCCCCGGCCATGGCTCCGGCCGGCCGGCCGCCTCGCCCCTTCCTCGCTCCCTTCGCCCTCTCCGACGCCCCCTTTCCCCCCTCAGCCGCCGGCGCTGCCCCCCGAGAGGGCCTCGCCTCCGCTCCTCCGGCCACCGAACTCGCTCGGCTCCCTGGGGCGTCTGTCACACAGCGGCGCCTGGTGACGAAGCGGCGGAGCGAACGAGGCAACCAGCGCCGGCCTCCGCCGCCAGGCACTGATGGCAGGCAGGCAGGCAGGGAGGGAGGGAGGGGGAGGGAGGGAGGCGCCGAGGTCACTTCCGCTGTGGGGAGGGGGAGGAGGGGGGAGGGAAGGCGGCGCTGACGGGAGGGAGGGGGGGCTCGGGGAGAAGGAGCGCGCGGGAGGGGGAGGGGGGAGGAGGGCGGCCGCTGATTGGATGCGACGCCTGAGGGGGAACCACGGAGAGGAGGTTGAGCGCGAGGGGCCTTCGCTGAGGGGGCGGGAAGCAGAGCAGGCAAAGGAGAGGACTTTTAAATAATAATAATAATAATAACAACAACAACAACAACAATAGTCCTTTTTAATAACAATAGTAATAATAAGACTTTTTAAAATAACAATATTTTAAACCTAACAACAACTATTATTATTACTGCGTTGTTGCTGTTGTTATTATTATTTTATAATAATAATATTTTACAACAAATATTTAAACAACAAATATTATTACGTTGTCGTTGTTTTAAACCTCACAGTCTTCCCCGCAGCTGCCTCTATGGGAAAATCTCTTTTCATTTTTTAAAATTTCTACACACACATACATACACTCCCCTTATTATTTATTACATCCTAAATTTCTATCCCGCCCTTCATCCATGGATCGTAGGGCAGTTTACAGCATTAAAACATAAAAAGTACACATCATAGTAGCAAACGAAAACAATAACCATTCACACGCACATCATCATAACCATCAACGTTGTTGTTAATTATTATTAAATTTTTATCCCACCTTCATCTGAGCAAGAGGCTGGCCCAAAGTCACGCAAATGAGCTTGGCAGCTGAGGGGGGATTTGAACCCTAATCCTATTCCAGCACTCTATAACCACACCAACCACACCAGCCAGGCAGTCAAGAAGATTTTAAATGCATTTTAGCCGTTTTTAGGTTTTAAAGCTATGCGTACGCACACCTCAGATGTTGAAATGTGTCCCAAAATAATTGGGGAAGGGAGACTGGGATATTTGATGTAACAAAGGGTGATGTGGAACCCTCAAAGGCAGGGGTCAGCAAACCTTTTCAGCAGGGGGCCGGTCCACTGTCCCTCAGACCTTGTGGGGGGGTGGACTATATTTTGGGGAAAGAAAAAAAACCGAATTCCTATGCCCCACAAATAACCCAGAGATGCATTTTAAATAAAAGGACACATTCTACTCATGTAAAAACACACTGATTCCCGGACTGTCCGCGGGCCGGATTTAGAAGGCGATTGGGCCGGATCCAGCCCCCGGGCCTTAGTTTGCCTACCCATGCTCAAAGGGATATGGAGAGTTGGCAAGGCATAATTTAAGCCAGGGATCAGCACTCCCAAATCTATATTCTGGATCAGGGCTCATCCTGGGAGCTTGTGAAGTCATAATCGAGACAAAAGTGACTTGGATAACTTTTAGAGTGTGTTTCATTCACACTTAGCAATCACAGCCCATCTGTGCACATTTGAAGCAGAGGGCATGGTTCCTGGTCAGGCAAGTTTTAGTCCTATCTGCTTTCTCTCTATCTGTATGCCTCTCTCTTTCACTCTCTCTTAGAAATAATAACCTTTTGGACTTTGCCACCCATCAGTGAGGAAGTGTATCCAAGATTGGATTGGCCGCAAAGAAACTGTCACGTGCCTGTTGCCTCAACTAGGTAAGACTTAGTAGCTACGTAACTGTAAGGATCAAACACGTTTATATTGAAGGCAGTTTCCTTTGGATGGCTGTTCATGGCCAAGTTTCACGCACCCTAGCTCTTAGCCCCTGGTTAACTGCTGGAGCTATTTCCAGAACTACCATTATCTATATGTTGATTCATCACTTATTCTGAATGATCATTACTGAAGACTCAGTAGCAGTTCTTAGATGGACCGAGCATGAAAGGGGGCAATGTGGACAGTCCTGGAGCAACTACTGCTGCCTTCTTTAAGGTTCTACAAGACTCATTTGTTTTTGCTGCAACAAACTAAAACGGTTACCACTCTAGAATATGTTACTCGTACATTGTTATGGCAGACAGTTAAACCATAGTACCAATTATGTGACTCATTTTTTCACACCTCGTTTCTTAGCATCCTCAAGCAAGGCGAAGTGTTTGCCTTGAATCAAAAGTAACTTCCACTGAGCAAAAGTAAACCACAACCTAAGTTCCCTGAACAAAGCCAGGCTTTTTTTAACCTAACATAGTATATATACTCAGTTCTTCTTGCACCTGAGGACTAAAGAAGACTAGCTGACTAGTTCAGACAACATGAAGCAGCTACTGATTTTCATTTTAGTGCCATACATTCACCTGGTTCAATAAAAGGCACTCTTACCCCCTTCTTTACCCAGTTGTTTATTATCTGGGACTAACCTAGTCAATTAGCAGTAAAAATCATATTATTGGGGAAGTGTACCTACTTGTTCTGAGGCCGTTTGTGCTAACTGCTGCAGGAATCTCAACTACAGTCTCCATGAGAGTTGGCCATCCAACCTCTGCTTTAAAACCTGCAAGGAAGGAGAGTCCACAACCTCCATTCCACTGTCGAATAGCTCTTACTGTCTGAAAGTTCTTCCTGATGTTTAGCTGGAATCTCCTTTCTTGTAACTTGAAGCCATTGGTTGAAGTCCAACCTTCCACAGCAAGAGAAAACAAGCATGCTCCCTCTTCCATGTGTCAGTCCTTGAGATATTTGAAGATTGCTATTGTATCTCTTCTTAGTCTCCTCTTTTCCAGGCTAAACGTACCCAGCTCCTCATAAGGCTTGGTTTCCAGACCCTTAATCTTCTTAGTTGCCCTCCTCTGTACATGTTCCAGATTGTTAACATCCTTCTTAAGTTGTGGTGCCCAGAACTGGACACAGTATTCCAGGTGTGGTCTGACCAAGGGAGAATAGAGTGGTACTATTACAGTGGTACCTCGGGTTAAATACGCTTCAGGTTACAGACTCTGCTAACCCAGAAATAGTATCTCGGGTTAAGAACTTTGCTTCAGGATGAGAACAGAAATCGTGCTCTGGCGGCGCAGTGGCAGCAGGAGGCCCCATTAGCTAAAGTGGTGCTTCAGGTTAAGAACAGTTTCGTTCCGGACCTCCGGAACGAATTAAGTACTTAACCCGAGGTACCACTGTATTTCCCTTGATCTGGACACTATACTATTGATGCAAGCTAGAATAGCTGCATCACAGTGTTGACTCATATTAAATTTTTGGTCCACCAAGACCCCTAGATCCTTTCCACATGTACTTCTAGTAAGCTAGGTATCCCCCATCTTAAATTTGTGCATCTGGTTCTTCCTGCCTAAGTGCAGAACCTTACGTTGTCCATATTGAAATTCGTTTTGTTAGCTTGGGCCCAGTTCTTTAATCTGTTAAGGTCATCTTGAATCCCAATTCTGTCAATAGCAGACAATACCTTCCAAGCATGAACATGCAATCTATTCCCAGAATCACTGGCACAGGACAATATCTTTTTAAAATACATTCATGGAATGTGTAAGGGGCTGCACCCTATGTTTCTTAGCTATGTGGATGCAGAATTGAGGCCCCATTCCACAAGCAGAAATGGAGCAGAATAACATCTGAATGGATTCAGAATAACAACTGAATACATAAAAAGAAACTGGTCACCTCAAATTAGTTATCCACCACAGGGTTTGAGCAAGAAAATACTGTCTGTTTGGTTCCACTGGAGAAAATAAAACGACCCCCCCAAAAAATAAACAATGTATAAATCTGTTTCATGGCAACTATTCCATGGAAATCTGCCTGAATACCTAACATTACTGACCGGTCCCAGAATTTTTAATGTTTTCATCTAGGACTTTGTGTTTCTTTCACCTTTGCAAGTAAGTTTTTTGCTTGAATATTTGCATTAAAAAGTTAGACTCTCTTCTCTCTCTCTCTCTCTCTCTCTTCTTAAATAGTACTTCTGCCAGATTGACCCAGTGTGACAAAGAGTATGTGGGAGTGTACGCGCTCACCCTTCTCTCTGCATCTTGCATACAAATATGGTATTAATGGCTGCAAAAACCGTCATTCTCTTCTGTGTGGAAACTAAAGCAGCACGATAATTTTTCTAATTGCAAATTTTGCTGACAGAATTACTCAAACTGAATGGCACAACGGGGGTGAAATATCTATGAATCATCCCTTGAAATTGCATTTTCAGGAGAGCTGAATTAACCAAAGTAAGATTGTTAAAAATGAAAATAAGGGTTTGTTGAAAATCTGGCCGTGGGTGTGGAATAAGAGAGGCTGTTAAAACACGGAGCCTGATCCTACCAACGTTTACTCATCAGTATGTCCCACTGTGTTCAACGGGGCTTACTACAAAGTAAGCAAAGCTAGGATTGCATCCTGAGACCTCTTTTTAAAATATATAAATGTAATGATTTTCAGTGCTCTTAAGCAGGATGCAGGCATCCCAAAACACAATCTACCTAAGCAATTAAGATTGATTCACATTTCACGGTTAAAGTCTCGTTGTTATTATTATTATTATTTTATTTATAGTTTTCCATTTTACAACAAATACTACATTTCCCACATCGGATTCCAATATTCATGAAATAAGATAAAGTCTCATCCACCTGACAAGGTGAAGTCCACCTGGAAAGTCACAATGATCACAGGAAAACAGTCAAAAATTCAAGAGAGGCTGGCTTTGAGAAAGTAGGAAGGAAGTAGTGATAAACAATGCAATGTAATGGCAAATCTTGTCTCAGATGCAAATTTCTAGCTGGTCTCATGCAACATGGAGAACAACAATATTGGTATATCTGTGTTGGAGTCAGACACAGGTCAGGATGGAAGAGGCAGAGCACCATTGTTAGTTAAGTTAATTCTTTATTCCAGGAAATGTACATACAACTCAGAAACACTTCCCAGTAGGTCTTGCCCCTATGGAGCAGTTGCCAGGGCTGAAAGTCCCTGCCTTCAACCCTTTCTAAGGCTCCTCCTCTCCTGAATGCTTCCCAAGCAGGTGTATCTACGCACCTCTGGTCTCTGTTCTGCCAAGCATATAGAAAAAGAGCTGTTTAAGATACTAC